TCTAAAAAAACTTTTATGTTGTTAATAACCACCCTCTCTTCAGCAATGTGTAAAAAATAGATTGGACTATTGAAGAGAAATGAACTGAGCTTAACACTCTAGTCCATCATAGACCTTTGTGGGTTAGTCCCCCAACTGCCAAATAAGCAGTCCCCCGACCTATGCGCCTGACCACATCTAGAGTACATTTAGACCTTTTCTTTCTGGGCGTTGGTGGCTGAATGGTTTAACATGTGCGCGTTCCATTGAGTCAATTGGTGTGGTTTTGATTCCAAGCTTGTACGTGACAAGGAGTCCAACCTTCTGTATATTACTTCGGGTCCTCAGGTTTCCTCCCACAGCTATATGTTGACCATTGCCAGGCCCTCTGTCCTACACCTTATGTATTTTACTTCGGGTCCTCGGGTTTCCTCCCACAGCTATATGTTGACCATTGCCAGACCCTCTGTCCTACAGCACTGACAAGGCGGGGAACCATGTCGGATGAACTTTTTCGACCAAAACCGGGATCGAACAAGGGATCTCAAGGTTTGTGAGCCACCATGGCCCCCAGTTGTGGGGGTTTAACGTCCTACGTACTTTTCTGCACCATCAACGTGAAGGCAACTGGGGGTTTAACATCCTACTTTTCTGCACCATCAACGTGAAGGCAAAGAGCGAAGGGATACTTATCCATATATACGCTGTGTAATGTGCTATGAGGAAACAATAATTTGTGAATTTTATACTGTTATTGGTGAGGGGATGGGGCAGGGGACACCACTGGTCACAAGTAGAAATAACATGTAGGCTTCCGACACATCTCACGAGTTTACAAAATTGGGTCACAATTTGTATCAGCCAAACCACCAGCATACATATTTTATCATAGTTCTATACATTTATAAGAGATAAATTGTGACTAGTGTAGTAAATAATAAAGCACGTGTTATCGTTTGTTTACATGTCAAAGATTGGCTAATTAAAGACACGTGACCAGTTGCTATGTCCAAATATGGTTCGAAGAGTAAGCTTCCGCAGTAAAATAATCCGCCAACTGTGAGCGCTAAATAAAAATACTGCGGGGTTAGAACCTCAGAACTATCTCTATTAGTTAAAGCAAAGATCTTTTACATTTCCTGATCCTGGAGCAAAATGTGTGTTTTATCACTCCACTGGGGTTCTTTGACATTTAGTATAGGCTATTTCGGATTTCCAAAAAGAATGATGTTAAATTTTATCACTTATTAGCCGCCATGAAAGGAACATAGAAATACTCACCTTACTTGACTATAGGTTTAATTCTTCCATTTTATACCTACACTCGCTTCATGAATCGTCTTTACAAATAATGTTTCTTTTGATTGGTGGTCGTTAAACCACATTTCTTTTCATTCCCATTAAAGAATATAGTCAAACGTATTATAGCTGTGTCAGAATGACTGGCGTTTTTTGTATTTTTATGTCAATGGGAACTTACACAGCCTAATTCCCGACAACAATAGTATTTTTACGGCATATATAATAAAATCGATCCAATTATTACCGCGCTAACGATTTTTGTCCTTATTGTCAATTGTTTTTCGGGGGGTGGGGTGGGGGGTCTGAACATACTTGCCCTCCCCCCATTTTTTTTTTATATAGTAGGCCCTAACTCCTATTTATTTACAACAATTATCAGGATTAGTTGCGGTTCTATCTGTATAAAACAATGTACAAATTAAACACAAACACTTATGTTTACTTTTTGAAATCCATTTATAATACACAAAATACTTTAAATATCTATACAACTTTCTTGTAAATGTCAATGTGTATATGTATATAGTATTGTAGTTAACAAGGTGATTGTCAAATATGCTTTTACAGCACCCCTGAGAACACTTCCCGCCTCCCTCGTTGCTCTGAGCTAGTTACGGCCCTGGCTCGAACAGCAATATATTATTTTACATCGTTGTCTATATTTCTTAGACAAATATAGTGGAGGTACTTTACGTGTAAAAACGTTAAATAATTAAACTCACGTTTGTGTCCAAAGTAAATCTATGATATATTCCTGGTGGTAGGTCAATCAAGTCACCACGAGTCATGTGAATACGTATCCATTTTTCTTCTGTGTCACAGATTTCAAAATTAGACGTTCTATAAATCCGTCTGTAAATTCAATCCAAATGACGTAAATATGTTATATTTATACATCATCCTAACTGGCATATCCTACACTTCTCAAAACGTAAGATACTTTAATCAGAAATACAGAAGCAATGGAAAAATAAAGGAAGAAAAAATTAAATATATTCAATAAATGTACTACAAAAATGTTATAAAAAACATCATTTTAATATTATCACTTATATTTGAGCAGAAATCCAAATTTAAGAAAAGGGGAGGACATAGGTATAATCAACTTCTATCATTAGGCCTGAGCCCAGAGGAAAATTTACACTCCTACGTACGTCTGAGGGTAACTGCCCTTCACCTTACTCCAATCCTGGTAAGACACAGATTTCATAACTGTTCTGTCTCACTAAACCGATACGGCCAGGCCCGGCGGAGTGGGGGGGGGGGGCTTTAGCCTCCCCAATAATTTGGCCGCAAGTACTCTTTTCTCCAGGATATTGCGGCCCCGGGAACCACGCCTATAAGGACCTAGGATGGAAGCCCCCCCAATCAAGAATTGCTTCCGCCGGCCCTGACGATTATGTAAAAGATTATATATTCTTGAAAAGGAAGTTAACATGAAAGATCTGCAATATTAAAAGCGTGGGTGTGTTTGAGATATCAAATTACATCTGATTGGTTTACTGGCTTTTCAGAATATCTAATTACTGTATGTTTTAATAAATAATGCAGACTATGAAGCATTTATTACATTGGGTATAATGTCAGTGAGTCACGCATAAGATAATCAATTATCACAATGACATGACACTTTCAATTTGTTTCGAATGGTGTTTTTTATTTTTATTTTAGGTTATTTTAAATGATTTTGACCTGCTGTAAAAGCTGCCAATTAATAAGGAAATGGTAAAATGGGTTAACAAACAATTTGGAGGACAATGACCACTGTACACAATTATTTACCCATAACTTTCTTAGTGACAGTGCACGATCACTAGCATACAAGTATATATGGTTTACCACCACTAGACCATCCTGTTCTATTACAAAATGGTACACCACCACTAGCCTACCAGTTTAAATGGTACTCCACCACTAGCCTACCAGTTTAAATGGGACATACCATCACTATATCGTTAGATTAAATTGTATACCACAACTAACTCATCAGTTTAAATGGTATGCCAACACTAGCTCATCAGTTTAAATATAATATGACAACTAGCTCATCAGTTTAAGTTCTAGACAACAATTAACTCATCAGTTTAAATCCTATACACGACTAGCTCATCAGTTTAAATGCTTGTTAGTGTAAACGGTATGCCGTCACTAAGCTCATGAGTTTAAATGGTATACCACCACTAGCTCATGAGTTTAAATGGTATGCCGTCACTAGCTCATCAGTTTAAATGGTATACCACGACTAGCCCATCAGCTTAAACGTTATGCTGTCACTAGTTGATCAGTTTAAATCCTATACGACCAATAGCCCATCAGTTTAAGTGGTAGACCACCACTATCTCATCATCTGTTTAAATCCTGTATGACCAATAGCTCATCAGTTTAAATCCTATACCACCAGTAGCTCATCTGGTTAATGGCATACCACCATTAGCACATCAGTTCAAATCCTATATACCCACTAGCTCACCGGTTTAAATGACGTTCCACCACTAGCTCATCAGTTTAAATGCTAGACCACCACAAACTCATCAATTTAAAACCTATACGGCAACTAGTTCATCAGTTTTTAAATGGTATACCACCACTAGCTCATCAGTTGAAATGGTATACCATCAGTGACTCATCAGTTTAAATGGTATATCACCACTAGCTCATCAGATTAAATGGTATACCACCACTAGCTCATCAGCTTAAATGGTATACCACCACTAGCCCACTAGGTTAAATGGTATTCCATCACTAGCTCATCGGTTAACAATTTATATGGATCACCATCATTTGGACAACAGATTAACCATACACAACATCACTAGCTCACCATTTACATGGTTCACAATAATCACATATCACTTTCAAATATAGATGGAGGGGTACAAAAATTAGCCCTAATTATGGTGTCTAAAGTTTTATTAAGGTTTGGTAAAACCAATATGACTTTTACTCATATATAGGTGGAGAGAGAGTGAGAAAGAAATGGGGTTTAATGTCCACTCGACACAAACTAAGTCATTTCGGGATTAACACATGGATCAATTATATTTTCAATAATTCACTTACATGTAGGGGACTTTAGCAGTGAGAGGGAACCGGAGGGAATCGAAACCACACCAGTTGACTCAGTGACAGACCTTATGATACAGCGCACACACGCTAACCATACGACCATTCCCCCCCACCTTCATATACACAACCTTAACAAATACCAGAATGATAATTGTAGCTTCCAGAGTTTTATCAAGGTTATGTTATAAAAAGACAACACCTGACATAATAAATAAGGTAGCATGCAGGTGTGGGGTGACATTAAAACATGGGCATATTAAAATTCATCATTGGAAATCGTATGTTGCTTCAAGGTATGCTACACCATAATCAAATATCAATGAGTGCAGAAAATACTGGCCTTATTTCTTTCATTCTCAATTAACCCTGTTCTAGTTATCAACAAATGTAAGTAAATAAAAAAAATCTGAATTACAAATCATATTTTCACATGTACCTAATATAATGTTAATTAATAAGGTCAAGTACTGTAATATAAATTAGGAAAAAAAAACCCAACTGCAAGGAAATTTGTTAAATAGACTTTGATAATGGGATTATATAAAGCTTAACCAAATCAAGCACTCCTTCACAGGTACAGACAAAAAATAGCAAAAAAAAACCCCAATAAAAACAGGAAATTTTTTGAAACAAAAAAAAAACAAACTGTAAACTATTTTTTAAAGATTTATTTATTTCAAAAGAATATACATGTATATTAATATCACAGTTTTATATCATAAAGGGATTTATAGTTTTATTAATAAATTACTAGTAACATATATAACAGAACTACATGTACATGGTGTCATGTAAAATAATCATATCTATTCTATATATCTGTACATCAACAAAAGAAAAACATAATAAAAACAAAATTATGAAAAAAGGTAACAAATGGATTGTAATAAATAACTTAACTAACCGGAACATTAATATGCAATTACAATAGGTACAGGATGCAAAGTGCTATAATTTGAATCTATAAACATTATTATTCATTGTTTTAGCAAGGACAAAACCAGTTTGTTTGTAAACACAATGTGCATATATATGTAAGATATAAGTTAATATACCCCCCAAAAAAATTATTATAAAATTTACATGTAATCTAGGTGCATTTTTTTTCAAAACTTATCGCATTTAAATATAAATTAATGTACCCCAAATTTTAACATTTACCAAACAAAATGATCAGCTAAATAAAAATGAAAATAAAATGTCTAAAATGATTATAGCATTTTATCCAATGATTATACTTGCAGATAATCATTTTGTTTAAATAATATTTTTAACAAAATCAAGCAATTTGATTTATTATCTTCTAAAAACTATGCAATATTATAATTATGTCATGGAGATTTGTCATGGACAGGGGCTAATCAGGATATACAGTAAATTCACCCACGCTGGCTATAAAACTGTATAAGACAAGCTTGGTTACATATAATAGTGAAAGTTGATGATTTACTGAAGCTGACAAGTATCACAAAGTCTAATTACTTTAATACATCATATCATCTAGCAGATCCATATGGTATCCCCATTGTGATAATGCCCTATCGGTATAGGAGCAAACAAAGTTTTTTGAAGTTTAATATAGTATAATATACACTTATGTCAAGGTAAATTACTCTAGTCTATTACTAGATGTCACTCTAAATTTCATTAATCTAGCAAACAATATGATTGTATATTGATATCAAAACAAACAAGTGAATTAACCTGACTGTGTACTTACACACACTTCAGATTAATCGACTATGTTTACCAAAAACAGGAGAAATATACTGATTTATTCTATCAGGTTGTTCATGTTGACACACAAATATTTACAAACAATAAAATATTTTCACAAGTCAAAAAGAAAATAGATTTAGAAAGAATATGACTTGAAAAATTGAAATTATAAAAACTTTGGTAATATGCAATTTAGCATAGATTTTCCATTAGTATTAATCAATGTTTGGTGACACTTGATGACATATATGTATATGGAAGTGGTGTTTGAAAGAATCCCAATCTTGCCAATGAAGGGATGCTTTTTCTTTGGCACTAATGTATTTAACCAATAATAAGATCTCAAATAAAACTTCAAAGAGAGCAGCTAACTTATCAAGAAGAAGTTATATCTTTACGTAGTGAAGACCAATAATAACAGCTAACTCGAGAAGAAGTTAGATCTTTATGTTGTGTAGAGTCTGTAGATCATCAATACTATTTATATCCGAACAAAATAAACATCTAATTTTAATTAGTTTGTGAAAAAAAAATTAAATGAGATATTTAGGTATAGTGTTACCTATCAAAATAAAAATTAACATTGCATGAATAAATTGGAGCTTTAAACGCAAGAATAACCAAATTTGAGAGATATTTTAACCAATGAAACTGGTTAATTCTCAGTGTAAATTTCAACCCTCAGACTATCTAAAGCTCTGTGATTATTTTTGGAAGGAATACAAACTTCCAGTTTACTTACAATTGGGGTTTGGTTGCAAGTCCTTAAATTCTACACTCATTCAAATGAACAATGAAATTTCTTTATGAGTTACCGTACATAAGTTTTGAGTTGAAACTTTTAGACCATAATGAAATGTCACTGCCAGACTCACATAGACAGATAAAAAACATGGTCTAAAAATGTTGGCCTCTCACATTATTACCAGTTTTAATGCAACTTATAAATGGATCAGATTTTAATTATGGTGTCTAGACTTTTGTAACGGTTCAGTTAAAAGGGGTATAACGATTTTTATTCTTATACAGGTAGATAAAATGACAATCGTCACAAATACCAATATCATATATAGGCTATTATGTCACATGTTTGATTTGCATTACTTACACCCACTAAAAACAGTGTACATGTGAAAACTGCTCCTGTAAGGTGAGCTTAAGTATCTGTGACAGTTTTATTAAGTTAAAATATTTTGCTTAGATTTACATGACAGTTTAAGCTATAAAGTCAAATGCTAATTTTAACTTTATTATCAAATATAAGTTTAAAGATACATTATGGGAGATATGATAACGAGTTGGCAGTTCTCACTGTAATAGTTAAAAACTAGATAATGTAAAGGCAATTTGCAGGAAATTCATTCCAATTGATCCACTCTGAACCGAGAACTAAGTGGTTGAAATTTCCGGCTAGCCTTGATCATCATTACTAAAGTCAGTAGGATAAACAGCATAGTCTCGATTATCCATTTAATCGTTAAATCGTGAAGGAAAGTTATGCAGTAAATCGACTCATAATCCACTAAAGATCACAAGCTAGTGATGCCATCTAGAGTTGATTATGGTCTGGATAGGTTAATTAATGTCTAATTAATAATTTAGATAACATTTCAGGCCTAAGAAAAGGCCTGCAATAGACAGATTTAGCTCTTGCATAATATATGTTTAAAGTAAAGGTTACCAGAAAGCTTCAAATTTTTTTTTAAAATAATGCAAGTAATTATGTCAACATATCCTTTCCATAAGTATAATCCTACATTCTCCGTGAGTAGTCGTAACTTTCGGTCAAAAAACAATCTGAGATCATTTTAGTCCTTCTGCTCATATGTTGACATAATTACTTGCATTATTTAAAAAATTTATAAAGCTTTACTGGTGACCTTTAAATCTTAATTTTAGATTTACCACTTAAGTGATAGTTTAAGTACTGTAAACTTTAACATTTGTAATAGCAGCGGTGTATCTAGTGAATGCAGATCATTAATAATTTATTATTCAAGTCTAAAAGTTAAGTTTAGCTTTATTATCTGTAAGAGTTTTTGTAAGTTTAAGTTCAGTTTCAATCTTTCTGTCATCCTTATCTTCATCTAACCACCTAAAAAAAGGAAATCAAACAATTAGTCTCATGAACACTGCCTATCATAAATTTTGTTCTTGAAAAAGAGCTAATAGTTGAAAAATAAAACTTATCAGAAATATCATTTATTTGGAAGTAGGTCCAGTAGAAATTTATTTCACCCACTCAATTAAGGTGATAAAACCTTCAGTGTTATGGACCGCGTTTGAGGAATAACTTATCATTTGAGATACAGAGTTCGCAAATTAGCTGTGTTCAAATCCAAACTCAAAACTCATTTGTTTGTGACTTATTATCAGGATTAACTATGATAATCAATGTGCTTAGGTATGCAATATGAATGGGGTAAGCACAATTATAAATGTACATTATCATTATTATAATCCACCAAATTCTGTTCATGTGACTTATCGATCAAGTAGGCTATAAATTAATAAGAATAACTAATAACAGTTATTGTAAAATATGAATTATGATCATATCAGACATTCAATATAGAATGTATGATAGCACTCCAAAAGTTCAAAAATAACAATGAGCTCACTTGTTATACTGGAAAACAAAGACTTCACTGGATGTTCTTGATTGTCTAACATTTACTTTATCCAATTTCCAACCAGCTCCTGCTCCAAATCCATCATGGCCTATAATGATCTTCTGGATCTTCCCAATGTCAACAGCTTCTATCTCAAAACTATCAGTCTAAAATATGAAAAAGTGGAATATAACTTTAAAATCACATTGTAATTTAAAGATGCATTATGTAAGAACTAAATCTGCCTATTGCAGGTCTTTTGTCCGGCTTCAAATTATTATTTAGACATTTATTAACATGACAAACTCATAATCAACTTTCTATACAACCGGAGGGTTTGGATATTAGTTGGATTAGACCATCTGTGCCATTAAATCGGTTAACGTTAGAATGGAAAATCAATCCCAGAAATGACAATCAAGATTATGCTATTCTTGTCAAAACTTAAACATTCATAACTTTGCTCAAAATAAAGTAATTTGACTTGAAATTTTCAATATATTCATTTTTCATTACCTAATTTTAAACTTTTTTTAATTAACGTTAGAATGGAAAATCAATCCCAGAAATGACAATCAAGATTATGCTATTCTTGTCAAAACTTAAACATTCATAACTTTGCTCAAAATAAAGTAATTTGACTTGAAATTTTCAATATATTCATTTTTCATTACCTAATTTTAAACTTTTTTTATTCATAATGCATCTTTAATATGATTTTATGTACCAATAATATTTAGTACCTACCGATCCCGATTCAAACTTGTTCTTGTCTTCCAAGCTATTTTTTAGAAATCGTATACCAGTATCGCCCAGACTACCGATGATATTTATATAGACATTGGAATCAGTACCAGAACCCCAATCATTACTTGTGATAGTTTCAACATAATATCTGTACACTGAAACAAATTCCTTAAAACATATAAAATATGCCAGTCTTTGCTAATATGATCCACCAAGACTTGTATTATAAACATATCGTCGCCATGTCAAAAGGGTGTCTCTAAGAATTTCTAAAGAATAAAGAAATAAAACCTTTTGCATTTCAAAATTTCCACAAATCAAGATACAACATTTGGACACATGATACCCAGAACAGTTCTAATTGGCGTAGAGATACATGGCTTAGAAAGAAATGTGCATATTGGGAAATTTTAAAATTGCAAAAAAGTGTATTTGACTAATTTCCCGAGATACACCCTTTTGACACTTCACCGATGATATGTGTGATGTACAGGCAAAATGGCATATATCCATTTTCATTATAGCCCCCAGTCAGTGCAGAAAAGTAGGAATTTAAATCACATTTTATATGATTTTAAAAATATCATTTAATTATGACTTGAAGAGCACTTACATGGTTTTGGTGACAGGGGCAATAACTCCATATAAAATCAATGCATGAATTCGTATTTATTTTATGTATAGCTGAACAATCCCATAATATTTGAAAAAATCTCCAAAACTGTGATCTACAAGAATTACCGATGGACAGAGAGATGGGTGTCAACAGTATACTACAACATATGTAGATGTATAAATATAGGTGTTAAGACTACTGTTGCCAAGACACCTGCCACTGTATTACACATACATTAGGATTCTGCTAAGGCACAGTTTGCTATATTTCAGGTGGGTTTTGGCCTACAGATATAAGGTCATACAAAAAAACAAAAACAATTCTGGCACTACATTTATCTCATTATGTTGTTTATAGGAATGTATGATTATCCAGTATCATTTATGATTGCCAATAACATTTTAACAGGGTTGCACACTTGATAACTGATGCAATTCTGGTTATAACTAGAAATATTTTATAGAGTTACTTCCCATTATCGGAAATTAAACAGGGACATTAAAGTTTAATACCTTCTGGTACTTTAGAATTTGGTATATCTGCTGGAACTTCTACAACAATATCACCATACTTATCATCATATGATAACCATCTATTGATAGGAAATATAATCTCTTCTTTACTACCCAAGTTCGACATAATAACCTGTATACACAGACAACATCATTCAATATAATACATGCACATTTTCTAAGACAATCATATTACCAGACACAATTCTAAGATAGCATGATGATTCTATTGTCTTTATTCAAGCAAACAATTGCAGAGGTGTGCAGGTCTGATGAATGTTAGGGGGGGCAGACCTGAATGCCCGAAAAATATAGCCTAACTTAGGTGGCAGACCTGAATTCCAAACAAGCAATCAATCGATGAGGCCACTGAGCCGCGGGGTAAGGGGGCCTTGCCCTCCCCGAGAAAATTTATAAAATTTAACTTCTGGAAATGTGTTTTTCTGCTATTCTAGCCCATAAGGTTAATTTAAGCAACTTCAAAGTTGTCCAGTGGTTTTGCCACCGAAATACCATTTTATGCCAACCTGAATACTGATCATCCAATCAGACCAATGCAGCTGCATTCACAAAGTAGAGTGGTTCCAGACAAAATGTTTTAATCAATAGTCAATTCAGTACAAATTTGTGATATTAGATTTCGGGCACTTTATTTGGCCAACTGGATGAAATACTAAGTTTTCTTCACTTTACCCGTCTGCCCGAACAGTCAGATTGCCTGACACTTATGGGAGCAGCTGATGACAATGAATCCATGGAATGTAAAAGTATTTCCTTTAGTCAATTCATTAGTTGTGATCCATAGAACTGTGTTTTATAAGAAGTCACGGTGGCTCAGCGAGTAAGGCACAGGCTAACTAACACGGAGGTCCTGGGTCTCGATCCTGGTGTTGGTTCGTGTTTGAATTTGCAATAAGAGTAAGCCATAGCGCTGCCATCTAGGGAAAATTACCCTCATAGCACACTGCATCCACATGGGGTATGCCCTTCTACACCTATCATGAATTTGAATTAAACAACTTATCCACAATCCATTATTGCGTGTTTTGATTTAATTTACAGTTTGATAACCTTCTATATGTTATGTCCATGCTCAGTACAGCTTCAGCACATGAGAATGGGTCAAGACATTAGTGAGACCTTTTTACTACAATAAAATTTACCTTGTCCACATGCCAGCCAGGTCCATGACCAGAATTATCATGTTCTAATCGAATCTTCCTGATTTTACCAATATCAGATGGCTCTAACCAGATCTGTACAAAAATACAAACAATATCTCAAACATATTTTAATCCCATCAAATTTTGAATGTTTAAAACCTCTTTGATTTGGGTTAAAATTAAAATGGCTATTGGATTTGAAAATTTTACATCTATAGATAAAGCCAATGTTGAGATTTTGTGATCCAGAATCAAAACAGTAAACCAAAAATAATAAACAACCAACTTCCATCTAATAGGATAGAGCATGTCTATCACTAATAGAAATAACACACAGAACAACTTAATTAAATACTTGATTTTGACATAAATCAAAAAGGTTTTGCACTCGTAAGTTCTCAATGTCGAACGGTAACAATTTATTTTTATTTTACCCCATTTAACTATATGCAGTTGTATCTCAGCATTTTCTTATTGAATGTGGTTTCAAATCTGAGATCCACTGATCCATGCAGTACTAAGGCAGTTTTCAGTTAAATGATACAAATTGATGAAATGTACAAATTAGATTTAATTACCCAGAAAATCTTACCTCAAATTCATCAGATTGTCCAAATTCAAAGAAGCCAATTCCTTTTTCGCCAAGCGGTAATGGACCAGAGTTACCATCGTTACCAAATACAGTTAACATAACATTAGAATCTGTACCTGCATCATCTACTTCTGATGTTTGTATTTCTATTTTCCAATCACCATTTGGTGCTGGAATTACAATTTAAAATGATACAAATTAAAGGATATGTACCTTTTTTTAAAAAAAAAAAAATTGATTGATTCACCAGAAATATTTGATGAAAATGCCTAATATAATTGATACATGGTAGTAGATGAAATGGAAAACTTTCCAACATTATTTAAGAATGGTAGACTACACTAGTACTGCTCACTCCATATAAAGAAATAAGACCATAAAGTCGATATTGATACATTTTTCATAAATGAAATAAAATGAAATGGGTTTTAACGTCCTACTGTTCTGCTCCTAAACTGGGCTAATGAAGACGGGCATACGCCATACAGTGTGCTATGAGGGAAATTTTGCCCAGGCAGCGGCACTACGGCCTACTCTTATATCGAATTCCAACTGCCAAGGGATTACCAGAACTGTGACAAGATTTTTTTCTGTCCATGTGGAACAATCTGTACTAAAAATCAAGCAACCCTATCATTATGTTTCTACTAGAGATACAAGAGTTACTAACTTTGCTTCTTTTCTGGTGATTTAGGTGCTGGGGTAGGTTTAGGAGTTGGTGCTGGTGCAGTTTTAACAGGTGATGCTACTGGAGCTGGTCTACCTTGTGCTGTAGATAATATTCTCTCTATCATTTGATCACCTTCTCCGACATCAAACCATCTAATAATAACAAATATTAACCAATTATAATAATACTAACAAATAATAACATGTTATTATAACATAAATATTATGATAATAACATTATCTCAAACATATTTTTTCAAATTCAAAAGACATAATGTTACAGCCCATGACATGAAATGAAAAATGATTACTTCCTCCACCCCCGCAGAAATTCGATATATTACCATATACCATATGTATTTTGAGGCCTGATATTCTCTTATTACTGTAACAGCCAAAATTTAATCAGTCCAAAACTATGCTCTCCCTTGCCAACTCAAAAACTGATCATGTTGATATTTAAGTCACCTCGGTCACAGTTAAAGTCAAAAAACAAAATATACATACTGGTTACATTCAAATATAAATTCTCTTCCACCTCTTTGTGGTTCTTTAACCAGTAATTTCTGTAAGTGGAAACCTCCACCTAAAAATATCAAAAAATTATTATGTCAAACATTTTAAAATCTACCATAAAAGTCTATTAACTGCATTATATACTATTCTGTGACAGGACATAAGACACGATTAATACAGGTGGGTTTGTGGATGGACAATCATGGATTAAGCTCCCTTGGCAATCAAATCCCCAATACTGAAATATTTCAAATTCCCTTAGTGTTTTTGTCTTTCATCATTCGAGTGCACAATACACCAAAAAAAATATCCATATAGAGTGAGGGTCTATCCACCCTGCCCGCCTCTCCCCTCCATAACTCCTGCAGGTGACTTCTTTTCAGCCCCCATCTTGCAACACTCAACAACAGACTTGATAGCCGACCACCTACATCCACCCATGTTACGAACTCTATAAAACATACCTTTCTTTTTGTTTTTATGTCCTAACTTGACTTGATAGATGTTCAACAAGCTGACTGCTTCAAGTTGATATAAAAATACCTACAAATATAAGAAAATCAGGAATTAAAGGTTTACTATAAGCTTATTTAAATGAAGATGGACAGCAAACGATTTGTGGTTAAGATAAACAAGGATATTAGCCAGAACTGTGTGTGAAGACCGGATTATTCCTTTATATATTCTAATTTATAAGCTTTGGTAAAAAACTGAAAATGTAAGACAATAGATCAAATGCTGAAAAAGGTAGAAGAATACTGAAAAATGTAGAAGAATGCACTAAGTTCAGAGTAGGACTATTCTAATTCAACTCAGGGAAAAACAATGGTTCACAAAGTTAAGATGTTGCTTTACCTGTTTTTGTTGAGAAACAACTTTTTTCAGAATTCTCTCCCCTGTTGAACCTTTCTCTCCAAATAATTGACACATCAACTGGTTTTTATTTGGTGGCTTTTTAGTATCACCATGTAGTTCAATTTGGTAATTTATGACTGAAATGTGACAACAAAAAATGATAAATAACTTTTTATCTAAGTTTCAACTAAAGTCTCAACCAATTAATCAAGTTTGAACATTCTATCTCAATTATATTAGAAGCAGAGTTATAGTGTCTCAAAAATTGTGACAGATAGACAAACAGACGGGTACAATTAGTAGTAGCTGGTTGTTTATCATCTCCTTCCACAGCAGTAATATCTCAGATTAGAATGACAGACGAACCCATATCAATAGTCCCCTCTTTTCATCGAAAGGTGTGGGACAATAAATGTCTAAAATGAAAATTTTTCAATATCATTACTGTTATAACTTTACCTGGAAGAGGGGCTATTGCTGGCCATTCTACAGGAAATTCTTTCCAGCCATCTAGCTTATCATCAACATCAATACCATCATTAAATATGTGATAGAATCTATCTTTACTATCAACATCTTGTACTATCATCTATAACAAAATACAGCAGATAGAATATTAACTTCATAAAGAGAATATCATTAATAAAATTAACTGGTGTATGAATTCATTCTAAAATATATTCACCCACAATACAGTTAATGGCTGATAAATTTGGGGTTTTTTCATTAAAAATGTTTGGCTGAGTAAAATGTGTGCAAGAATATTTAAATATCCAACATAATTCAATTAAACATACATTATGTAAGAATTAGATAAAGAACTGTCGGTTTTGCTATAATAGCTCAAAAATAGATAATGTAAAATGAAAATATTGATAATTTCATTCAAATTACTTCATTCTGAGCCTAGTTATCACTGGTATATTCAAGACTTAGCCTCGCTTTCCCATTTTTAAATTAAATTTTTAAATGGCGAACCATTCTAAACTAGTTAAAATCTCGAGTATTGGATGACATCGCGAGTTGATTAAGGTCTTGTTTCGTTAATAAATGTCTTATTAATAGTTTATATAACATTTCAGGCCTAAAGAAAGACCTGCAATAGGCAGATTTAGCTCTTGCATATTGTATGTTTAAATTATACAAACTAATTTTGAATGTTTTACTATAAACACAGGTTTTATTTATTTAAAAAGCAAGAAATCAATAAAGGAATTTTGAAAGTAAATTTATAAATATAAATATTATAGCTTTAAGAATTCGTGCCAATATAATTTGTTGGTAAGTGGTTTCCTACTACAGCCATGTGAGGTTTAATATCAACTTCATCACAAACATGACACTTTCCAAACATAAAGTTACCTTTTCTAAATTCCAGGTTTTTGGCTGGCTGTTGTCAAAATAACCAACTCTCATTTTATATAATTCTCCAACATCATCTTTAACATGTACCTGGAATAAAATGTAATAATTTTATATGTTTCAATTGCAAATGTAATGTCAAATTTATGCTCATTTGCTTTATTCAATTATTTATTAAATTTCAATAATCAACAATTTTGGAAAATGTTTATATATAATAAAATATTGTAGTTACCTGAAAACGTTTTGTTTGATTTGGCTCGAAATTGGCTGTAGATTGTGGATCTAACTGCAATGGTGAACTTTCACTTTTGTCACCACAGAAGACAACAACTATATCAGATATCTTAGTATATGATTGTCCACCTGCTGTTATGGTTTGTATCTCGTATCGACCACCTAGAAAATAAAAAATACTTTTATTCTTTTATATTTTATCTCAATAAATATCTCAAATTAGGTGATATAAATTAAGATAATCAATTCAGTTTTTCTTGCACATCAGCATATTTAATTTCAAAGCAAACATATGACATTACCTCCTGTCATGACTAGAGTAAATAAGACTATTTATAATAATCTTACGTGAAGTTTGTTGTTTAGTAGATTTATCTAATGGTGCTACTATATTACTAGGCTGTAATCTGGTTAGAGTTTGAGTATCTTCTTCTTCCCGAGTTCTACTATCTTTACTTAACCATCTAGAAAATTTACAAGACAAAACATAGAAAATATAAAGTAAAATTGCCAGTATTTTTTAAGTCAGGTGAGTACGGCACCTCACACAGACTATAAGTCAAGCCAGCTTACTATTCTGATAGTGTTAGTTAAGTAATGCTCGACTCCCAGAGACGTGTGAGATGAAATGTACACACTAGAGTATAATTAAATGAACCCCAGACAGTTGGAATTCACTGAAGAGAACACTAAAATGCTGACCCTGGAGCACAGAAAAAAATATTAGTCATACAATAACCGAAGTAATGTGTTGATAATTGTTGAGATGAAAAATTTAAGAACAAATAATTTAATCATGTAAAATAAAAATTATATAAAAATATACCTGTTAAATTCGAAGACATATTCTTCTGATGAGTATTGTTGTTTTTTAACAATAATTCTCTCTAGTAACCATGGTTCTCCTGGTCCTTTCCAAACTACAACTTTCTCAAGGTCACCAAGGTCAACACATTCAATCTGAAGTTTGTCAACCTAAGAACAAAAATTTTATTATTATTATTATTAAGATTTGTTTTTCATTATTATTTGATGGCCATTTTAAACATTCATCTTTTCTTATATACAATTTCTCTTTGTTTTCCAATATTTTGATTATTATATGAATGTTGTTTATTGATCATAATTTTACACTTTTAATTTTAATAAATGGCCTGTTTTAATTCATATATCAAGTGTTTGTCTATCATTAAGGCAAAATGAGCCCTTATAGCAAAAGTATATTTAATTACAGAGGATTTCAAATCATATTTACCTGTCCAGGTTTAATAAAAACTGGCTGTGATTTTTCATTCAACAATTTATGTCTTCCGCTGTTAGAGTTTTTACCATACAGTGTTACACAGATATGTGAATTTGTACCAGCCCCTTTCTTTTCAGACGTATGAACAGTAACTTGATATGGTAGAACTAAAAATAAATGCAATTCAAAATCAATCACCTTCAAAAGCAGCTTAATTTAAACAGTATTATTATTATATAATTGAAGAGTCTTTTTTTACAAAGTGATAAATGTCCTATGAACCTATCTTCAAATCTACTTTTTTTTAAGATTATGAATCTGAATAGGATGTTTTTTTCCAGCAAATAGTTGATGTGTCAAGGGAGATAACTTGGGGTTATGGAATCAGACTAGTAATCCCCTCTATTCGCTTTAAATATTAAAATAGAATGATTTATTCCTCCAATTAATATAATTTTAACAAAATGAACATCTTTTTACCTTTGTTAAAATTATCAACTGACTTAATGACAGGCATTTCTTTTTTCAAATCAGCACCGATCTCCCCAACCCAACGACTAAAGTCAAATCGTAGAACTTCTCCTGTTTCTTCATCTCTAAGTAAAACCTTAAAACATAAAATTGGTAGCTTTGTGAACTGTGAACTTTTTGAAAGTATTTCTGCCCTAATTTGTTTTATATTAATTAACCAGTACTATTAATCTTATTAGTTAATCTTCTATCAAAATAAGCCTGTCTATATAAGTGGAAATAATGTATATTGTATTACAAACCAATATAATTTTCTTAGGAGAAGGGTTAATCCCATTCATTTATGAATAAAATATTGTTTATATAAACAAAAATCTTTAAAATTCCTCAAACACAGACATCCCCCTTCCATAATTCTATATTTACTATACTGAGACACAATGAAAATTCACCACAGATTTGACTGGAATAGTGCAAGACATAATGTAAATGAAATCTGATTTTTAGCATGATTGTAGGATGGACATTTACTGACAAAATAAATTTCACAACAGCCCACAGAGGACATGACAGCTTTACAGTAAAACGTAGGCACAAGGGGTAAAAATAAAAAGTCAGTAAATTGTGTACATCTCTAGCAGCCACATATGCCATGGATTGTTGTCGCATGGAGGAGAATGGCGGCTTATGGGTTCCTTTCTACAGATTTTCATTGCATCTCAGTATTATATATATATATATATACCTCTTGAATGAACCATTCAGAAGGAGAATCATTGTCTCCCAGACTGACTTGTATTTTCTGTACTTCACCAACAGAATCAAGTTTTAAACCCTGAAATATTGAAACATGTGTAACAATTATTATAACCCATATTTTTTTTTCCATTTTACTTGTATAAGATAAATTTTACTAACATTTATTTCTGTATAGAAAATGCTATTTTTCAGTATAAATTTTCAGCTGCATGTACTTACATGGAATATATCCTTTTGTCCAGGTTGAAACAAATCTCGATTTTTATCACTAAGTTCCTTGGGTCCAAATACATTCTTATTACCATGTATAAGAATGGAGACTTGTTTATTTTTATTTGATGAAGTAACAGATAAGGATCTTTTATCTTCATCAGCCGTTATAACTGTACACATCCATATACCCTCTGTTGATAATAATAAAACATATCATACCAAAACCAATCAAGCGTGCAATGGGACCATAGTAAAAAAAAAAAAAAAAATTCACATAAATATTTAAAGAACTAGTAAGTGCACAGGACACAGAAAAATGCAGGGTAATTAAATATAAACTTTAATATCTTCTCAATAAAATTTGAATACTGCAGTGGAAATTTTGTGAAGTTTTAATGAAATTTTATTGAAGTCTTGATGAAATTTTAATAATATCTCTATAAAATATCTCTGAAATCTCAAAATAAAATTCCAATGAACTATGAACTATTTAAATTTTATGAAATCTCTTATGTGTGAAATCCCTTTGAAAATCTATATGAAATTTCAATGCACTCTCAATGAGATTCTAATGAAATCTCAAGACAGAATTCCAATGAAATTAGAATGAAATTTGAATCATTTCTGTCAGTGACATATTATTTAAATGTCATTATACTTTAATTAAATTTTAATGAAATATGACCTATTGGTAAATGCATTATTTATGTTCTTTTGCAACTTACTTGATTTAGTTTTTACAGGTTGGGGTATGGTGTCTTGAGGAAGAAGACTAGCAAGGGGAGAGAATTCTTTCATTAGGTTACGATCATCACAACCAGAATCAAACCATCTATAAAAAACATGTAAAATATAAAGCTCACACAATGGAAATCAAAATAATGTAAATTCTTTCTTTTGATAAACATACAATGCAAATATTGATAAGCAACTACATACCTATCACAAATGAAAATTGTCTCTGCAGCTCCTTTGGTTTTGGGAGAAACAATCACCTTTTCACAATACCATCCACAGCCACGCCCTATTTCTTTATGACCAATTATCATCCTTTTAACATTACCAATATCTAATGTACTGACTTCAAAAATATTAAGCTGTAACAGAATACAGATACATTGTAATCAACCTCTAATCTCAATCTTGGTCCTATATATAATCAGCAAGATACAGTCTTCAGATCACTTAAATGATATTGTTTTTCTTGTCAAAGTTTATGGAATCCAACCAAACCAGCAGAATGAAGCAACAGTTTTGTATTATTAAAACCTACCTGTCCTCTCTCGAATAGTTCTGCTTTTCCATTGGTGGCTTTGGTTAAGGGCATCTCTCCTGATTCTCCTAGATGACCAATGAGATTACAGAATATTCGAGCATCTGTTTCTGCCAGTGAAATATTTCCTGTTGTTACTTTGACTAGATAAGTGGTTTCTAAATAAGAAAAAAGAATATTCACTTGAAATCTAAATCCACATTATAGTATAACATGAATTTATTACCAATGGGTTCGGCTGAACAACTTATATACCAAACCAAAATTTCACACTAATTTGGGCCTAAAATCTTTTTTGACATTGCGTTCCATGGCATGTCAAGGGTAAGAGAATAACAACTCTATATGCAAGTATTTAAAATACTAATGAGAAATCTTACCTGGATATGGTGGAATGTCAGGTCGTATAGCTGGTAGATAAACTGTTCCTTCTGGACTTTCATCACTGGTCTTAATCCAATCATTATATTCAAAATTAAATTCTTCTTGGCTATCATCATCTTTCAATTTTAACTGAGAAAAAAAATATTGTCTCTTATCAACATTATTACAGTCACTAATATCTCAATTAACATTTATTAAAATAAAAATATATCATATTAGAGGCCTTATTCAAGAATGGAGCCTTTGCATCAACCAAGACCTAAATTTTGCACTATGATTTTAGAGCTTATCCAATGAAACATCTGATTTCATAAATTATTTTAGTTTAAATTTTCATGAATAAGACTTCAGGCTAGTGATGGGTGAACACTAACATTAATACACCTGATTGTCTCAACTAACATTTAATCTAGCTGAATGTCTCACCCACAGGAGTGCATCCAAAAGTTTCATCGAACATCAATGCATCCAGCTGTCTCACCCAACACCTATGCACTGAAATGTCTCATCCAATTCTGCCTAAATGAGAAATTTATTGTCCATGTCAAACCAAAAAATATATAGATAACTTACTCTGTTAAGAAAGAGGGCAGATCTCTTTGATGATGGATGTAGGGATACAGCAATCTTATATATACTTCCAATGTCTTTTAAAGTCATCTGCAAAAGTGTATTCGTATTTGAAAAATTCATTATTTAAAGTGCATTACACAGCTAATAAATGTATCCCAAGTTGTATGGTAGTTGTATCTATTAGTAAGTGCAGGAGGACTACACCACACAATTATACAAGATAAACCTGCAGAAACGACAGACAATATACACATACATTTCAAACAACAAACATATCTATCAAATCAAGTGAATGGACTACCTGACTGCATTAAAATCAGATTATTTAGCTCACTCTTTGGTACAGATATTTCTTAAATATTCACATTTCAAAAGTCCAAAAACAATTATTTACAGTATTTGTATTGCTTGCTGTACCTCATCAATTTACATAAATTATGGAAACATCCAAAACATTTCTCCTCACCTGTGTTTTAACAACTGAATTAGGCTTGAAGGCCCCAGACTTATTAATTTGTATTGGGCTGCTGTGGCTTGAAGATCCAAACACAGTTAGATAGACAGGATCATTTGTTCCAGCATCAGTCTGTGAACCAATGTAACTGGTAATAGACCAATTTCCTTTTGACGCTTTAAATTTCTTACAAGGTAAGGTATTTGTTAAATTATTAGGCAAGGCACTAGCAATTTTGATTTCTGGAAAACACAATAGGAAAAATATACATTAAAAATGTATAAATATACCAGAAAAGTAAGTCAAGGGCCTTTCTATGATACACACCGATATTGGGATAACTAGTAAGCACTCAAAGTTAGTTTCCCTATACCTAATAGTTTTACCCCAAAGTTGGGTCCCTAAAATATATCTAAAGTTATGTACTCTATAGCATCCAATGACTATAGAAGCATTGCCAGTTAATATTTTTTTTTTCTCAGTTGATAATCGAGTCAATAAGAGTCAATTTATCTACAAAACTTAACAAGCTCCACTCACAGTTAAATTAAATATCCTTATTTAAGCTCTGCTCAATCCTACTATATAGCTGTTGTTACATTTTACTTTGCTGCCAATACCAAAACTGACTGAGAGCAAGCTTAAAACATAGAAAACACAGTTCAAAACAGAAAAAATAATTCTTGCAACATTACTTTATGGAGAATATTAAAGTAAAAAAATCAATTTTACCTTTTGGGTAGAATTCTATTGCTACATCATCAGATTTATTCTTTACTTCAAACCACTGTTGACATTGAAACATAGATTCCAATATAGATGATGGTCCTTCTCGTATACAAACACTTTCTAGATACCAGTTGTTCTCTGAAACATAAAAAATTACCATCACCATGTACAGTATAATGTATATTAATGCAAATTAAAGGTCACCGGAAAAGCTTCATAAATTCTTTAAATAATGCAGGGAATTATGTCAACATATCTTTTCAATAAGTATAACACGATCTCGAATGTCAATGTTACTTGCCACAGGCAAATTTCAACAGGTAGATTTCCACCGTTCTCCGTGAGTAGTTGTAACTTTCCACCAATAAACAAGCTGTGACGTAGTTGTAACTTTCCACCAATAAACAAGCTGTGACGTAGTCGTAACTTTCCAACAATAAACAAGCTGTGACGTAATTTTAGTTAATTCTAATTGGGGGGTTGGATGGCTGAATGGTTAGCATGTGCGCGCTGTATTATAAGGTCTGTCATTGAGTCAACTGGCATGGTTTTGATTCCCTGGTTGTACATGACAAGGAGTAGGGTCGCCTGTCCAACCTTGTGGGTTTTCTCTGGGTCCTCCGGTTTCCTTCCACTGCTAAAGACCCCTACGCGCAAGCGAATTATTGTAATAAAATTGAACCACATGTTAGTCCCGAAATGACCTAATTTGTGTCGAGTGGAGTTAAACTCTATATTTCTATGGGCAGATGGACTAAAATATAAATGAGGGAAATTAAATTATGGATTTAATGGAAAACAAAATTGCAAACTCAGCATTGTAATTCCAAAATTCTACTTCATTAAACATACCTTTGTCATCTCCATCAAATACAACTCTTATTTTGTTAATTTTGCCCACATCTGCTGCCTCTATCATAAAATAATCAACATCTCCAGATTTCCATAAAATATTGTTTCCACTAATAGAATTAACCAATGGCCGAATACCAGTTTCACCCTTCTGACCAATAATATTGATGGATACAATAGAATCTGTAGCTTCTGCTTCTCTGTCTTTACCTGTCTGCATACAAACTATGTACTGCAAGACTACAATAAAACAAAATACCATGTGTAAGTACTGCACAGTGCATGTTCCTGAAGCAACGACTGCAAGTTTTACAAGATCTAGCCCTAGATTAGTCTGAAATTCCCAAACTTTTAGGTATGTTATCTCTGTCTACCACAGACACGCGATACAAACAAATGAAGGAATAGATTCGTTTACAGCCATTGAAAGCTTTTTTTTAATTGATAAACTCACGGAAAACCAAAGAAAAGCAGTCTTACATGTACTAGCATAATGGAAGAACAGAAAAGTAAATTAAAAAGGTTTGGACTAAGAAGTGAAGTAGGTCATAGCATGATCATAGCGGAAAAGCTGAAGGTTGACTGGAAAAGTTCCAGCAACATTGACGTTGAACGAACCTTATCGATTATATCAGCTGGACATTTCAGTTGGAAAGTGCGAGACTTGGTATTCGCGATGATAATTTCTATCAAGGAATCTGAGAGGTCAGGAACTGGGTCAATGACCAATCAGAATTAGTGACAAAAAAGGCAGAGTATTACGTGAAGGCATTGATAAATTAAAGCTAGATCAAGCCTTCTATTGAAGATGTGTACAATATTAATGATAAATTTTCGAAACATTACTTTGATAATCCTCATATAGACAGATCACTGCAAAAATATATCAGAAAATTATATCACTAAAATATGAAGGCGGAGTGGATTTGAAAGATCGATTCCAAACAAATTAAGAACCTAAGGTAATTCTAAATTACAAAAATGCTGCATGAAAAGATACCTGCTAATGGTGTCTGCCCAAATTTAACAAACGGTAGTTCTCTACAAATCTGTTTATCTCCTTGATCTTCAGCCAACCAACAGTCACCATAGAAAACTAATTCTTCTCCTGTATCTTCCCTGGTCAATTTTAGCTATAAATTAAGCATTATTTCTTATTTACAGAACAATCATTTCCTCATTATTCATTTTTGATCAAGATTTTAAGAGCTAATGACAAACTTAAATGTCCAGGATTGTATGTTGGCCAAGAACAATCGTACATATGTTTTTGCCAATGTTGAAGCATCTACCATACATATAACAAACCAGATATCGAACCATAGGAAATAAAAATCACCAGAAGTCAATCTCAAATTGAGCTAAGTAACATCATTTATATATTTTGTTTCTGATAGTGTTTAAGAATTAAATGTCAAACTTACCCAATCTAAATGCCAGGATGGTTCTGGACCTTCATTATTATGTTCTAATCTTATTTTTATTACATCTCCTATATCACCAACTGATATCTATAAATACAAGTTTAATCTCTTAACAGGGCAATTATTTAACATCTTAAAAAATATTATATTATGGAGAGCACTTTTCCAAAATGTGGTACACTACAGGCTCTAAAAGTGGACATACCAGAAACTACACCAAAAGGGTCAAAAGGATATACAAATAGTTTAGTTTATTCCAGACATAGGTACATGTATTTTTAATTTCTTGATGAAAGAAGCACAGTCTATAGTTCTGTACTTTTCCACATTGCCCACGCTAGATAAAATCTTGATGATTTTCAATTAAATGATATGTGCTAACCATAAAATCTGTTTCGTTTCCTCGATCAAAATCTGTTGAATGAACTCCACCATCACCTAGTGGTATAGTATCTGTATTATCTTTACTACCAAATACCGTCAAATAGACTCTAGCTTTAGTTCCAGCATCTTCTATATCACTGGTTTTAACAAGTACTTTCCATTTACCTTCTATAAATAAACATTGAGAACATTGTTATTGAGGCACAGATGGACGGAGCCGGGATAGAGAGAGGGGTACAACTGCCCTTTCTAATTTGGGCAATACTAGAATAGGAAATTAATTTGGGAAATGCTAGAATAGAAAATAAAATGAGAGAAAGCAAAAAGATTAACAAATTAACAATGATGACAAATTAATAGTCAACCAATGTTCTTGATAATCAATCTTTATAACCTTGTTTCAATTAATTATAGTTAACCCAATGCCTTTATTTCTCTGAGTTAACTGTCAATTGATATTTTTGCTGCTAAGAAAGGCAGAAGATAATATTTCTTTTCAGTTGCATGCAGTGGTTTTTATCCGTGTAAAACTTTGAGCACATGAACCTCTCTGCCATCATTAACCAAACAGGCCACAGATCATAATAATTGATCTAATAATGTAGATGTTCTTTAAGTGAGAGAGAGAGAGAGAAATGGGGTTTAACGTCCACTCGACACAAACTAGGTCATTTCGGGACTAACATATGGTTTAATTTTATTTCAATAATTCGCTTGTGCATAGGGGTCTTTAGCAGTGGGAGGAAACCGGAGGACCCGGAGAAAACCCACGAGGTTGGACAAGTGACCCTACTCTTGTCACGTACAACCGAGGATTCGAAACCACGCCAGTCGACTCAATGACAGACTTTACGATACAGCGCGCGCACGCTAAACATTCAGCAATCCAACCCCCTGTTCTTTAAACATGCATTATGCAAGAGCAAAATCTGCTTATTACAAGTCTTTCTTTAGGCCTAAAATGTTATCTAAATTATCATTTAGACATTAATTAACTTATCCAGACCATAATAAACTCTCGATGTCAAGGCTAGCCTTCGATGTTGGCTGGATTAGATTCCTATATGCCACTAACGGCTATTGATAATTAAATCAATAAAAGTGGATAATCAAGACTATGCTGTTTATATTAATGATTTTAGTAATCATGACCGAGACTATGCAAAAATTTCACCCGCTTCTTTCTCGGCTCATAGTGGATCAATTTGACTGAAATTTTCAGCAAATTACCTTTACACTATCTAGTTTTTAACTATTATAGCGAGAACTGCCATCTCTTTATCTTATCTCCCATAATGTATCTTTAAGTAAACTTACGTGATTGTGATTTGCTACGAGTAGAAGCTCTTTCTTTTGAATTATTCTGATCTGAAAATGAAACATATTCAAAAATTGAAAATATATATTAAAAGCTATTCAGTTTTTTTTTATTTTTGCATACTTATTTTGAAATTGATTGGCTGTGAAATTTACATCATAAATACCATAAAATTTGTTGTTTTTCTAAGCAAATTTAATTGTATATAATTTACAAAGTAAAAAACCCTCAAATTTATATAAAAAATATGAATAATCGCCTTCTGAATATAAAACTATGTCAATGTAGCCAATACAATTCATAGGGTAGAGTGTCTCATCATATTACAAAGTTAAAATGAACCTGAGGCATGTCAATCTTAATGATACTGATTTTCTACACTGCAACTTATTGAGACCGACTGGTGTTTGTACGGCACTATGTACTTGACTTTATAATAACTTATACATAGATCAGTGGACAATATCTTGATGACATTCAAACAGGACACATTCATAAAACTTGTCAGATGTGAAGTAAAGGGAATCATAGAACATAAAATGAATGAAAATGAAACATGAATAGAAAAGCATCAGATTTGAATCAGATTGGAGGCATGTAGAATGTATTTGATCAACTGACAACTCATCAATTTCTTACCTAGTAGTCTAAGTTCTCTCTCTGTTAATCCATCACCTTCACCTTCATCTAACCATTTACCACAAGGAAATATATACTGCATGTGTGATTTATCACCAGTTGTTTCTGTTACAGTTATCTTGTCTAAATACCAGCCTGCTCCATGACCTTTACCATCATGGCCGACCACAATCTTTTCTAAATCATCTAAATCTACAGCTTGTACGTCAAATGTTTCAATCTATATCACAAAAAATTTGCAACTAAACAGATTGGGACCAGAAAACAATTCTTGATAAATTGTATAATTTCAAATAAATGCCCTGTTATCAGTCTTTTTACTTTTTTTTAAAAAATAAATCCACTTTAAAATGTGTATACAATTTTACTGACTATTCTAATATAATGTAATTTTACCTGTCCTTTGCGGAATTTTAATGGTTTCTTTATTGGTTGGTAAAAGCCACGTTTTCCAGTATCTCCATGACGACCAAATATAGTGATAAAAACATTAGAATCAGTTTCACCAGCCCAATGATCTCCAGTATATAATGATAATCTATAGGTATGCACTGAAAATATGGTCACAAAAATACATTATCACAAGTTCTCAAGCTTTTTGTGAATATGGACTAGTCCAGAATTCCGGTTTGGATAATAGTGAAAAGCAATAGCATGAGGTGTCTGTGTACATTGTGTCCTGTCTGTAGGTATATCTTGTGTAATTGTTTATAATGTGGTGCATTGGTCACCCTGCAGTTACTAATAGTTATCTATTTATAGATAATTTGATAGACTGCATGTAATTATTTAAAATATCTCAATGTAAATTGTGCATTATGTCCAGCTTCGGTACATGTTTTAAGCCTAAAGCAAAGAATGAGTTTTGGATCTATTTCTCTGTCTGTGATCTGTTTCTCTGTCTGTGATCTGACAACAGTTGACAAAAGATCGACCACCCATGCACAGAAGATGTGCATGTTAAATGTGAGCATTGCCCTTGATCTATTGTTTTATGCACAGGATCAAAATCTTACAAAGAAGGTCATGCTAAAAAAAAGTTTGCACTCAAAAACAAAAGTTCCCTTTCTGTTTACTTACGTGGGTGAAGTGGTTTATTCTTTTTGTTTATGTGGTTGAAGAGTTTTATTCTGTTTATTTACCTGGGTGAAGAGGTTTATTGAGTATATTTACCTGGGTGAAGTGGCTTAATCTCAATATTTAATTGGGTGAAGTGATTTATTCTGTTTATTTACCTGGGGGTAGTGGTTTATTCTGTATATATATACCTGGGTGAAGTGGTTTATTCTGAATATTTACCTGGGTGAAGTGGTTTATTCTGTTTATATACAGGAAGTTCTTGTACCAGACTATTACCATCATCATTTCTTAACAACCAACAATTATATTCAAACACAGCTTCCTCTTTACTTGTTTTATCTAATAAACGGATCTGTAGAAAATATAGATACAACTAGGCTAAATAACAAAAAACAGTTGAACTAGAAATTTAGTGGTATACTGTAAAACAAGAAATTAGTTTGTTAGTTAAGGCAAGGATATATCACAGTGTCAGATTTAAAATGGGTAAGAATATTACAACCTGACAACAGTGGTTGTAGATTTAAAATGAAAATGTTTGTTACCTCCTCTAAATGCCAGCCCTCCCATGTTAATGTATCATCTCTTGTAACTTGTAGTTTATATATCTCACCAATATCACCCACATTTACCTACAACAACAATAAAACACATCTATATACAACAACAATAAAACCAGGGCTAGAAATTTATCATATCTTGCCAGAATCTAAGAGGATTCTCATATATGGAATCTGCGCGAATCCTCCGAATCTTAATTAATAATGTCTAAAAAACAAAATTGTGTTTATTGTGTTAATCTAAAACACCAAAATACAAGAACAATGATAATAATACAACAATGTCAATGTCCCAAAAATTCAATTGATAACTGCACAAACTATTGTAATAAAGGATATAGTTTATGTATATGTATGCACAAATGAAAGTGAAAAAAAACCCAAGTGGCCAACCTTGACAGAGACAGAATAGAAGTGGAATAACCCAGTTTAACCCCATTATATTGATGTAGAACTAGCAGAATCAAATCACTCGAAAGAATAAAATGGAACCCAAAATTATTTCTTTTCATGGTTGGCCTGCTAAAGCAGTTTCTTTTAAATATTATTTAAGAGGGATTAAAATAAATAATAAGGAAACAAATAAATTTTTATCGTAACTGAAATTCAATGCATAAATACAAATGTAAATGGAGTTGCACCGTTATAATACAATTGGTTTTGGTGCTCTACTTTTACAAGACGCTGTGTCGTGATTGGGGAATTTTCCACACAATTCATTACAAAAGCAAAAGACAATGGCCAGCCAGAAACTCATCACTATTATAAGTTAGAAATTAACAGTAAAACAAAAACACAACAAATATTTTATTTTTCATGTAGTATTCTATAAAATAAGTCAAACAAATTTGATTCAAAACACCCTGACTGACATTCAATAGTCGGACTCGACAATTCTCAGAGATTTTTTTTTTTTTAACAAACATTTTACGCAAATCCTTGTAGATTTGCAATGTCAGCTCTCGAAACAATCCTTGAGCAAATTACATGTTTTATCTTTTGCCTTTAATATGTGGAAAGACTCTTTTAACTCTGATAATCTGCTGATAATCCACCAATGACAGGAAAATGATCTGCCAATTATTCACAGATCACTGGGAATTTAGAATCTGTGTTTACTATTAGAGTCTTAATCTCTTTATCTGATATTCTTAACCTATTTTGTTCTTCCAATGGCTTTGATAATAGGGAAATAATTATAGCTTACCTCAAATTCATCGACATTTCCTGGTTCAAATAATTTCTCCTTTGATCCCGGTTCTGGTAATAATTCTATCATATGACTTTTACCTTCACTACCATAAGCCGTTATACTCACAGATCCTCCATTAGCCGGTTTAGAATCTTTCAATGTTTTTACCCATAGTTGGTAAATACGATCTGAAAAATTAAAGAAATATATATCTACCATTACAGGTTTATCACTACAAGTTAAGCATTTTAATACCAATTAGTGGGTGCTTTCATTACACATTATGTCTCACCATTCATTTTAAGGCCAGTCTCACCATGAATCAGGGTGATCATACCATAACAATACCTGTCTCACCATGAATCAGGGTGATCATACCATAACAATACTTGTCTCACCATGAATCAGGGTGATCATATCATGAACAACAACTGTCTCACCATGAATCAGGCTGATCATACCATGAACAAAACCTGTCTCACCATGAATCAGGCTGATCATACCGTGAACAACAACTGTCTCACCATGAATCAGGCTGATCATACCATGAACAAAACCTGTCTCACCATGAATCAGGCTGATCATACCGTGAACAACAACTGTCTCACCAGGAATCAGGCTGATCATACCATGAACAAAACCTGTCTCACCATGAATCAAGCTGATCGTACCGTGAACAACAACTGTCTCACCATGAATCAGGCTGATCATACCATGAACAAAACCTGTCTCACCATGAAACAGACTGTTCATACTATGCATAAAACCTGAATCACCATGAATCAGACTGTTCATATCACGAAATGGATTATTCATACCATGAATAAAACCTGACCTATCATGACACAGACTGTTCATACAATAAATCAGATCTGTTCATACAATAAATTAGACTTTTTGTACAGATGTTAATCATACCTGATGTAGATACTGGTTTGGGAGATGTTTTAACTGCTTTTTTAGCAGCTGGTTGAACTGGTGTTGATTTAACTTGTACTGGTTTATCTTTCTTTATTTTACTAGTTGCTGGAACTGGGGTTTTAGTCTTTAATGAATCAGGGTAGATAACTCTTTCTATTTTCTTGTCACCCTTTCCACTATCTAACCATCTGTAAAAAGTAGGAATCATACAAGATAAAAATTATGACCTCTATAGGGTCCACAAGCTAAAAACGCGATTTTTCGTACAATCAGGGGCCATAATTCAGGAAGTTACTTTCCGATATGCGCGAATATTGAAAGGAACCGAAATCTTTGGGTTATAAGCATACATTTCAAGTTTAAACCAAATCGGATAAAAATTGTGACCTCTACATTGTTCACAAGCTAAAAACGTGATTTTTCGTACAATCAGGGGCCATAATCCATGAAGTTACAGTTTGATACATGCCAATATCGACAGGAACCCAGATCTTAGGGTGATAAACCTATATTTAAAGTTTCGTTGAAATCGGATAAAAATTGTGACCTGTAGACTGTTCACAAACAATTGTGGACGGAGAGACCAATGGATAGTGGCGACGACAATATACGTCCACATGAAAATGTGGGCGTATAAAATTAAATGAAATGGCTGTTATCTGCATTGACAGGTAATTTACATTCTAAATACTTACTTATTACATATGAAATGAGATTCTTCACCATTAATATCAGTGATTATAATTTTCTCTAGAAACCATCCAGCACCTATAGCTTTACCAGTATGGCCAACAATAATTTTATCAAATTCACCCAATGGTACAGCTTCTATCTCAAATATATTTGTCTAGAAAAATAATATCTTAAATTCAATATTATATTTATCAGTGCCAAAAATGATCACATGAATTTCAAAAACTTGAAGAGTGTCTAAAGTTATAACTTCATACTTCTAAGACATCCCACAGGGTAGACATGTTTTGGGCAGGGTCATACAAATCACAGAGAGAGAGAGAGAAATGTCCACTCGACACAACTAGGTCTTTTCAGGACTAACATATGGTTTAATTTTATTTCAATAATTCGCTTGCGCATAGGGGTCTTTAGCAGTGGGAGGAAACCGGAGGACCCGGAGAAAACCCACGAGTTTGGACAGGCGACCCTACTCCTTGTCACGTCCAACCAGGGATTCGAAACCACGCCAGTTGACTCAATGACAGACATTATGATACAGTGCACATACAAATCAAGGACATGTGTCTAGTGGAAATTGAAAGGACAATTCTTACCATTGTAGTTTATCTTTTTTTTAAAACAATGAAATAATTGAGTACTGGAATTATATACCTTGCCTATCTGGAATGGTTTATCTTTATAATTTGGTGCATGTAAATATCTTTTACCACAGTCCGCTTTTTTACCATATATATTGATATAAACATCAGCTGATGTATCAGCTTTAGGTAGATTACCAGTTGTTACTTCTACAGTATAAATAGCATCTACAAAATGAAATATATTTATCAATTTTTGTCTTATTATTTTGTTATGAAATTTCACAAATAATTATCTATTTCATCTTAAGATAAGAGAAAAATATTTAAGAATAAAACAAGGGCATAATGTGTTTTTAATGAATTAAAGTAGCATATTCCCTCTATTCATGCTTGATATGGTTTTGTGATATGATTATATTCTGTTCCACTTTTCTATAATAGTAATTAATGTCGCTTTTAAGCAATTCCACTTACTAATGGGAGTAGCTTCCCCTTTCTTAACTACAGCTGCCTCACGCCATGTATCTCCATCATCATGGGATTTTGAAAGCCAACGTTTTATTTTAAACTGATATTCTTCCTTATTTGACAGATTTTCGAGCTTGACCTGAAAAAGTATATATGTAGTGAAAACACACTTTTGAGATTGTTTAGAGATTCAAATTTAACATAATTTGAATTAAATTGTATTTACCAACAGTTCAGCGATTCACTTTAGTATCTCAAATCCTGACAATATCTCTATTTCACATAAAATAAAACAATAATGTAAATATACCTCTTCCAAAAACCAGTCCCCATGTGTTCTTCCATCAAAACCAATTCTTATTTTCTGTAATTCTTTTAGTTTAGTACCTAAATTTACCTGAAATATTCCATTATAAACATTGAAGTTTAAAGTATTAAAAGTATTAGTATCAATTTTCAATCGTTGAACCGAGTTAGAATCTACAAGTTTTGTTAAAATATCCTTTAATATACTACTGATATTGAACAACTTCCTCCATAAATTGGATAATAATATATGCTTAATTCAGATATGTAATTAATCAAACAGGTTATATTAGTTTGTAACTAATATTAGGAAATAATATTTACTGAAAAGACCTATAGAAAAGTTCTAACAAAGTAAGAATTACCTTGATTTCATCTGTTTGTCCAGATTGGAATGGTCCACCTTTTTTACCAACACCTAATGGTATAGGACCTCTAACCTCACCACTACCATATACATATAGTTCTATCTTGTTATCTGTACCCATATCTTGTTGATTACCAGTAGTAACATAAACCTTCCAATCGCCATCTTAAATAATTAAAACAGCTTGTTTTATGTATCATTTAGCTTTTGCAATAGTAGCAGGCAAAATTATTTTGGCGTCAATTATTTCTCCAGACATTGGATTGGAATCATGTTTAATGTATTATTATAACATTTTACTAGGCCATGATTATGACGTGAGAAATGTAGGGTAAAATAATTAGCCTGGACAGAGGCATTTTTGTTCAGTATTCTTTGAATTGTAAAAGGATTTTCCTATGCGCACTTTCATTAGCAAAATATAACATAATCGCTTAGGCTAATGAGAACACCCTAAAAGTGGGTTTATATCTAAGATATTATTGGTTTCTAACCTTTTGGTTTTTCTTGTAATGGTTCCTTTGCAACAGTTCTTTCTGAAAAAAAATAGAAATATAGAAGACAGTTGATCGATAAAATAAGTTGAATCTATGATCTAATCAAGAATATTATTTTTGCTGTATTGAAAATAATTATAATATGTGATTATATAGGCCAACATTGTATTTAATAGAAAAGAAACAGAAAATTGAATCAAAGTGTGCCATATTGCCATTAAGTAGCAGTAAATATGAGAGATAATAAAGAGATGTAGAACATTGGTGATTGCATTACTACAAATACTTGTACAATGTACATATATAGCAGGATAAAAATTCACATAAATTTTTTTAAATGGTATATACACACATAATTCACAGCACACAACACACTATAGTATCTGTTATATACTATTATGTAGGTTATCTTGAAAATAATAACATAACATGAGGTATTATTAAATCACATAGGTTTATTGCAAACCAAAGTCCAGCAAAAAGACACACTTTGTGCTAGAATTTCAAAATTTCAACACTAATTTTAAAATCTTCATGTAAAACCAAGCTGATTTTAAACTGCTGTCTTTAATATTTTTGCATACTTCTCACAGAAGCATGGATGCAGAAATGTTTTGAGACTATCAAGATCCCTCATTGGTTATTGGTTATCAGATTTTGGTTATATTTTTGTATTTTTAACAGTTGTAGATAATAAAGGACACTTGGTATTTTAAAAAATTTTGAATAATACCTCACACAAAAATTATCGTCAGGAAAAGGCAAATACCGTCAAAGTCATTTTGAAGAAATTCTATGAAAGATACCAAGCATTGCCTACAGAAATTTAGATTAATTGAACAAATTACGATTTCCTTGTTATGTTTTTCAGCAGACAGTCAGTGGTGATTACCATATAACCAATTCATATCTGTTTTTCAAAATGACTTGGACAATTTTTGCTTAAGCTTGATGATGTATAAAGCACATCTACCAATAATAATTAAATCTTTGTTAGTAGTAAAACAAAATATACATATGCAACGTATTAATAAAGCTATTATTATCAACATCAGTTATGCAATTAGTAATCAACTTCTACATGTTATGCACTTAGCATTCACACCAAATTATTTGACTCTAAGTCTACAAACACACAAACATACCACTAGGCTAACTTCTACAGGAAACTCTTCATAGAGAATGTTCACATTGTGAATTGTTGTCTTGTTCAAATGTGAAGGAAATGGGGGTGGGTATGCATTAAGTCAGAAAGTTCTTTAATATTGAAAAAATGCAGTCAGTTTAATACCTTTAATATTGATATCTACTGACATTGGTTATAATTTAAAAATTACAATGCAAATCACACAAATCTAATGAAGTTATGATTTATATATAAAATGTAGTGTTATAGATATGTAATGGAATACACTTATGAAACCCACTGCATGATTTATGAACAATAAGACAAAATAAATTAAAAATATAGGGAAAGAGAAGGGATGGGGATAATATATAATGCTTTCCATGAAGTTTGATCATAATAATTATCGTTCATCTTTGGCTGACAAAGAGGTTTTGGAGTCTTAATCTATTGTAGGTGATGTCCCCTCGGCCTTTTCATCTCCCACATTTGTTTCTTTAGGTGTAGCAATTTCTTCTGAGTCATTAGCCTTTTCTATAGAATTTTCATTTTCAATTTGCTGTTGTAAATCTTTTGAGTCAGCTAATGGTATTTTAGAATCCAAAGATTCTTCTATGACAGGCGATGTATCTTGTGTACTTTGTTCTGTTTCTTCAGTTTGGTTGAAATCTGATTCAGCTGTATTGTTTGATATTGCTTGATCATTATCCTCAATTTCTGTCACTGGTTGCACATATTCATCATCATTATCCTCATTTTCTGTCACTGGTTGCACATATTCATCATCATTATCCGTATTTCTATCACTGTCAATCTTTTCTACCTGAGGAACTACCTCTGATGCATCTTCGGGTTCAGTTCTTTCTGTGACCTCATCTTGTTCTACTTCACCGTAATGATCTGATTTAACAGATTTTGAATCCTCAATTCGATCTTTTTCGTGATCAGGTTGATCAGGAACTGTGTCTGTTCGATCATCACTTACTTTACCCACATCTGATTTTTCTGGGTGTGTTGATTCTTCAGGATCCTCATTTATTGTAACTTCTTGAGATTCTCTTCCCTTAGTTTGAAAATCTTTGTTGGTGTCATTATTTTCTGTCAGCTCCTCTGGACTAGATTCTTCAACTAAATCTGGACTTTGTCCTAGTGGTGGCAATCTATCTTCTGATGATGTTCCTTCAGGTTTTTCTGAAACACTTGGATTGTTTTCTGAATCTGGTGCCTGCTCATCCTGCTGTTCTGATACTGAGTGAGTTTCATCATCTGCTGTTGATGTCTTATTATTTTCTTTTACAGCGTCTGAAGGTTTTGGTGTCTTATTATTTTCTTCCATAGCATCTAAAGGTTTTGGTGTCTTATTAGTTTCTTCTATAGGTTTTGGTGAATCAATGCTACCCTCCTTTTCAGGAATTTCTGTGTGAACTTCTTCCGTTTCATCATTTCCTTCTACTTCAGGTCCTGACGAATTGATGGAAGCTTCTTTATCTAGAATTTCGGTTTTCTCTTTGTTGGGAGAATCTTTATCTTCTGATCCCAGATTGTCTTGCAGCTGTGAAACCTGTGTATGGATCGTTTCTGATTTTTCTGGCACGGGTAGAACAATTTCTTCCTCCTCTTCCTCCTCTATGGAGTCTAATTCCTGGGATTCAAAGATACTGTCACTTTTTGATAGTGAGTTAGCACCATTTTCCGTTTCATCTTTAGCTTGAGAGACTTCCTCCTCTTTGCTACCACTGATAGGAGGTAACACAGCATACTTGGAGGGTATATCAGTGGGACTAGATGGACTTAATGAAATGGTTCTCTGAAAATCAGTTCCATTTCCATTATTACTATTTCTCCTTCTATTCATACTATTTTTGGAATTAACCTTAGTTGAAGTTGGTCTTGGACTTCTAGAACTTTCTGACTTATTAGGATTAGAAGGGGGTTGTGAAGGAACGCTTAGATTTGATTTTGTTTGGGATTTGTGAACAGACTCATCAGAGGTGGTGTTTACAGCAGTATCTACAAAAAGAGAAAAACGTCTAGAATTTGAGGTAAAAAGCAAAGAAATAAGTGCATCACAAAGAAAAAGCTATACTATATATTAACATATTTACATGCATAAAGAAATTAAAGTATATATTTTGAATAAAATCTACAACTACAAAGCGAGATTAACTTTAATTCTTTTTTAAAGAAAATATCATTTTAAAAATAGCACACAAACAATAAAGTAATATCAAATGCACTAATAAGAAACAGAATTAAATAAACTGAAAATTCTTTGGGGGATGACCACATTCTTAACATCCCACATCTTCTTCAGATTATCGACCCATGACCTATGATCTGAAGATGATCAGTCGTTGTATTGCCAAACATGCTCTTCATTTACGAAAGGTAATTATATGTAACATCATGATACCAATTCTAAATAACGAAAAGATGTCCGATCCTCTGGAGGCACCAAATTCAGAAAAATATACATGTAATCATAGCCTAATTTTAAAAAAAAACAGCAACAGGCAAAACCAATATGTGTTTCAATGTTTTCATTTATAGCCCTGGAAGTATGAATAAAACACTTCCTTGATTTGATCCATTGCAGAACAAGGGTTTAAGACTAGAGAATAGATGTACTGTAACAGAAGTATTTAGACCCTTCATAATCTTCATATTTGTATAATTGTGTGTACAAATTAGACAAAAAGATTACAACCAAAGCTTCCACTCTCTGTATTTTTGTCTTAAACTAATATATCACTACTGAAGATGCTTAATCATACTTTAAATTATGGCAATTGAAATGGCTTCTAGCTAAGAGACATAACTAGTTTTATGTTTTATCATATGAGTGTTATCAGAGAATATATTTAGTTTATTAGTTTCTTCAGATATTCTATAAAAAATTTACAATGCTTTAATTATTTGATTGATCTGAAGCCTATGTACTGAATATTAGAGGGCAATTATAAATATTTGAACAACCTAATATCTACCCATAAATATGAAATAAAGCTGTCTACTAAAATGTTAATGTTTACTAAAAATATTTTATTTCTAACATCCTGATCTTACCTCTTACTTTAATTTCAGAAGGTGGAACAGGAATTACCGCATCTAAAAATCATTTTTCAAAATTTGTCTGGTTATTGATCAAGAACAAAAGGCTAGGTATTATATTTTATTGTCGCAGATCAAAAAGTCATTATAGACACCCTTGCCTTATATTGTCATTTAAACCAAGATGGTCATGGTCACCGAGTCTGGAAATTGCAATTGGTATTTATTGTGAGATACATGATTACATCTGAGAAATTAACATCTTTGACATAGTCGGAGCTTCAAAGTCCAATTTAATTTTGTTTTCATTATTTCAATATGGAGTATATAAATGAAATGATGTATTTATGTGTAGGTAAAATGATTCTGTCAATTTTGGATTAGGCTACTGTTTCCTTTTATTTTAATAATATGGCTCTATCTGCTTTTGCAACTAAACATTCTGTCTACATTTCATACATAAAATGAAATATTTATTGTTACCATCTATATTTATATATTTGTGACTATCGTTGGTCTGTTTTAGGTGGATGGCTACACTAAGGCTGCCCCATGGCTGAAATTTGGGGTACATGGGCAGTTCAAGTCGGAAAATGACATAGTCCGGGGGGGGGGGGGGGGGCCTCATTGCACTATCTCTTTCAGTTTCGTAGTTATACTACTTCCGATTCTGGGCTCTACCTGTAAACTGCGTAAACAGCTAGTATTGACATAAACAAGGGCATGTATCAATTCAGGGCAAAGGTATGTTTCTAAGGGGAAGGTAAGAGTTGGGGTTTGCAATCATTTTTGATTTTGATTTCAAACAGTCAATTTATTCAGAAAGATTGGTACACCTATGGTCTTGGTAAAATACACATGGGTCTGCTTCAGATTCCACACCATGAATTGAAAATTCTAACCGCAAAGCCACTCCTTTTCCTAGTCGAAGATTTTAGTTCTGTACATGTCTTCATTATAGTACTTTGCTACAACTTTGCAAGAATTCAAGATCAGATATTTAAAGGGTATAAATCTGTTCTCTTATTTTTAAGATCTATAAGACCAATATCAACTATTGAAGTACACATCTTTGAACAGTTATTTTAAATTATGATGTCTGCATTTAATTCTTCCTATGTAGTTTTCCATGGCAATGATTGAAACTCAGAAATTGTCTTACATCAATTTTTCTTAAAATAATAATTTAAAATTCATAATTGAAAATACATTTTCTAAAAACAAAAATGAATAAATAAATCATGTAGTATTATATTAGATACATGGAAAACCACAGCAAACATGCACACATGTGTAAGTATAAAATGCAGGACCACTCTAATTTAAAATAGTGCTGATTAACAAACAAACAAACAAACACAAACCAATTGCTTTTTTTCCTAGATTTATTGTAAATAAAGTTTGTTTTATAAAAAAAGATAACAGAATAAAATAACTAACAACTACTAACTACTTGTATTTGTGTAGTACGAACAACAAGTTTATAACTAAAAAAAGTTCTTTAAAATTGGTCATAAAAAGTAACCACAGGTAGAAAATTATCACAGAAAAATTGCCACATACATGTATATATTTAATATCCATTTTCACAGAAGTTTAATCTACCTGTCATGTGATTCTAGCAAAAAATATAATATTATTATGTCTTATCTATAAAAGTATAAGATATGCCATGTCATGAAAGTCTTATTTATGAAAGACATCATAATATTTTCATGGACATTTATTTTGAACAATATAAAATATGTCATGGATATCTAATTCTATATAGAAAATATGGTTTTTTTTATCTAAAAATATATATTATGCACAATTTTACCTAGAAAAATATATAAAGGTTTATGTAGGGGAATTGAAGTGTAATCTATTGTAAAGGAATTGTATTTCTTTAGCTTTACATAAGTTTATATATCTTAAAATTATTATCCATTCTTGATATTGTCAGTGGAATGTAAATATATATTTTTATCATTAGTGAATAAATTATGCTGGAAGACATTAGTTTGTATTTGGCCTGTAAGGGACAATGTTCATTAATCTGTTCTTGGCAGTGAATATTAAACATTAAAAGTTTATCGATGTAAATGAATAATTGTTTTACAAGAACATACAGATATTACAAACGCATACAAAATTACAAAGAGCACTTACAGTTGAATGTGGTCCTACATTTTAAAAGCTTACACATGTATACATATACACCCCTCTAGAGGGCAAACATTTTTTTGTTAAACACATGCAAAGAAATAAAAGTAATTGCGTAATTTTTTAATATATCCCAAACTGTGCAGTAAAAACAATGTGCTTTTCTATTGTAGATATTAAACCTATCAACTTGAATTATAATTCAATAGCATTTATAAAGAAGAAAATTTATTTATCGCTCCAATTTAAAAAAAACAACCCTTATCAATACTTCCATGTGTGGAGCACTTTAAGGATAATGAAAACTGTTATTAGCATGAAGATCTATACTTGAGCAATAAATTTGTATAAATACTGAAAACATATAAATTACCCTAATCTACGTTGTCTAATATATATACTGGTGCATATAAATATATATTCATATACACTTTAACATAAGTAATTAAATAAAGAGACTTTAAGTAGCAATATAACATATTTGATAAAAGGGGATATATAATAACCAGGGAAAATACAGTATAATTAGCACTGGGGTATAAGCGTGCAGAGAATATTGTAGCAGTGAGGTCACACATTCACACATATATCTTCACCTACCGCTAACTGGTAACATTCTCTCTATTATTCTATCATCTTTACCCGAATCTAGCCATCTGCAAAATTAAATCACAATTTGTTTATAAATTAAAGATGCCTTGCCATATACAAACAGTTTGATTTGATGATATATTTAGACCAAACCCATATTTAAACTAATATATCTATCAAATCTCTCTTATAACATTTTTATAGCAAGGAAAAACTCCAAACCTTAAAAGCCTATTTTAAGCATCTTTGTTTGTCGGGAAATCCAGTCAATCTGAGGGACATTTCATTTTCAGTTTGTACTTGTCTATAATCTCTATCCATTTAGCATAAATATCAAAGTAAATTCTGTGATTATCCTCTGCCTACTTCTTTTTCTGCCTTTTAATCGCAGTCTGTTGTACGGTTAAGTCTCTCACTGTTGTCGCAATTGCTAGCGTTAAGTCAATTGAGTAGACAACAAGCGGACAAACTGGCAGTTTTTAACACCCTTACATTTTTGTCCTGCACACGCCCTGTGTGTGTTTTTCAGGGAATCAAGTATTTTTCCAGCAAGATTTGGGTTTCTACTTTCTATATAACAAAATTGCCATTCTACCCTGAAATAACTACCCTATAATAGCTTTCGTTGGAGGAATGTATCTTTAATAAATGCATATATACCAGAATTTACCAGTTTATTTCAACGACAATCAGGAACAAGGCAAATCTATATCTGTTTTAATCCACTAAAAGGCTGATTCTTTAAAATATTTTAGTTTAAGTTTTCACGAATAAGGCTCCTGTATACTTACTTATTACAGGGGAAGACATATTCAACTTTAGATGTTGAACTTTCTCTAACAACAATTTTATCTAAGAACCAGCCATCTCCAGCTCCTGTACCATCATGTCCGACCAGACATTTGGACAGACGTCCTAGATAAACACCTTCAACTTCAAACACGTCAACCTTGAAACACAAATAAATCATTATGAAACAAAAATTCTTTGAAAATTCAATGTATTATTTACAATTTTTACAATTAAATACCTAAATTATAGTATGTACAAAAAAAAGCTTATAAATAACGATTCCATACATTTCTTTGGATGCCTGACATGTTGCACATTCACTGAACAACACAGATATGTCATTTCGCATGTGATCGTATGAGTTTAAAGCCTAACAAAATGTGTCTTTATGTCTTATTTCCAAATATCAAAATTCTACTATGGTTGGTATTTTGTACTGTTTTTAAAATTTGATGTGCGACAAATGAAGACAGGCTGTGTCTTTAAGTCACTGAGCTAGAGAATTTTTCAAATTAACTTACTTGACCAGCTTGGAACTTTTTGCTATTTTTTGTCTGATGTAATAATCTTCTACCACAGTCACCATTTTCACCAAATAGATTTACATAGACATTAGCAGCTGTAGCAGCACCCTTTTCTTTACCAGTATATACCATAACACTATATGTTAATACTAGAAAAACATAAACATTATGTTAAAATTCAATACATAGTCATTTGGAGACTAACCTACTATTTTTTCCATGAGTTACATGTACAATAATAGAGAGTAGAATTTTGCCCAGACAGTGGTGTTTTGACCTTCTCTTCATTAATGACTACTTTCAAGGGTATATGGGCTGACCTCATTTTTTTGTCCAACCTAACAACTAGACACTCTTTCCTTGTCATTCCTGCAGGCATGACCCTGACAAGTGGGAACCCGGATTGAAAAATCCTAAGGTTCTTCTTCGCCCATGTCAGGATTGGCCATGGCTACTTGACTACCATAGCCCCTATAAGCCTTTTACTTTTTATCTAAAATGGTTGTAAAATTTATTACCCCAAAGTTCCCTTCAAAAAGGTTAAAATCACCACAAATGTTTCCACATAAATATCATGTCCTCAAAGCAAATAGAGTCTTGATAAGCTAGTCAAACAATAATCTGGGCAATCAAGACTCAGCAAATAGTAATAACAAAAGAATAAATGGGGACCAAGATAAAAGTCGGGGCAGACTGTTTACACTTACAGTTTAAAAGCTAGCTTGGAATACAAATCATTCAGCAATCTTGTAATGGGGAAAATATCCTGATTTTGTTTTCTGTACTTACCAGGTAATTTGTCATCCTCATCTTCAGCAACAGGAAGTTCTCGTACTATAGACCCATCATCATGTATAGGAGACAACCATCGATTGAAAGTTAATTTTATAATTTCTTTAGATTTTAAGTCCTCCATCTTGACTTCTCGTACTTTCCACAAGGCATCATTGTTTTTATTTTTGGGTTCGACTTCCAAACGAACTTTGAAAAGTTTGCCAGCTTTTGACAAGTTAGCCTAGGATTAACAAAACAATAAATCATAAAAAACTAAATCTGAATATAACATAGATCCTATTGAGTTTTCTTTTTATAGTTCAAATTTTGTTTTATTAGGATCAGGAAGAATCTTTAAATCAATTGTGTTCTCTTGTATCTAACTATGAAATGGTCTGTTTAGTCAAGCTTTAGGCGAGAGGTGCACTGAATTCTGAGAGACATGTACAGAGCAACAGAGGACAAAATAAAACAAAAGATAAATAAAAATAGTTTAGGTCATTGAGTCAAAGTTCACTTTTGTACTTACAGTAAATTCATCAACACTCCCACTTTGGAATATGGGACCATTCTTTGCTGGTGCTGCTAGGGTTATTGGTCCTGTATTACCCTTATCACCATAGGCAACCAGACTAACATCACCATTTTTTAAAGTTTCAGCTGAAGATACTGTAATCTTCCACATACCATCTGAATTAACAATAAAAGTATTTTAAATGTTGTAATTTTCCATTAATTACTTCTTTTGTTACTTCATTTTCTTGTGCAACAAAGCACAGTTATAATGCCATTACTGTGTGGTGACCTCTAAATCAAACACTATAAGGGGAGCCACGGTGGCTAGGTGGTTAAGACGTTGGCTCGCTAGCCTGGAGGTCGGGTGTTCGATCCCTGCATTGGCCGAGAAAGTTCATCTGGATTTTTAGACGTGGTTTCCCCTTGTCAGTGGTGCAGAACGAAGGGCCTGACAAGGACAGCTGTCTAGTCCTTCAGATGAGACGAAAAACTGAGGTCCCATGTATACATTGGAATGCACGTAAAAGATCCCTTGGCAGTTGGAATTCGATATAAGAGTAGGCGATAGTGCGGCTGCCCGGGCAAAATTTCCCTCATAGCACACTGTATGGCGTATGCCTGTCTTCATTAGCCCAGTTTAGGAGTAGGACGTTAGACCCCATTTCATTTCATTTCTTTTCAAACACTATAAAAATCATGCTGCAAAATATCCACAGGTCATGTTTGACTTTCATATGACAAGATTATCAGATTTTTGATATGAACTTTGCAAATATATTTGCCAATGTAAATAAATCCTTTTAGATTAGCATAAAAATATATCTACCAATTTTCTGGTACTACAGCAACACATTTCTGGCAATAATCAATAATGGAAACACTTGGGTTCAGACAATTCTCACAGATAGCTTTCAGGAAATCATAAGTGCTTTCTTGTGAAAACTTGTGAAATTTTAGGCTAGATAATTTTGCAGTATTTCTAAATTACAGGACATTTTAATATTGAGCCCTAGTGTAGCTAGAACTGAGATTATTAGTAGCAACTCACCCTCTAATCTCGAAGATCTGGGTGTTTTGGGTGTTCTGGGTGATCTGTGAGTTTGAGCTTGGCTATGATCGTCATAATTATCATAGTCATAATCCAGATTTCTTCTCTTGGGTATTCCAACTGAAATAAAGAATAATATAAATATTAACATGTTTTGTTTAGGTAATATATGACCTTAACTACAGTGTATCTACATAGAGGTTTTTGTATGCACAATTTAATATACGATTAAACTAGAACTTATAAGGTATTTTTGAAATCACTATCAAAATCTGCAAATTACTTTTGTCATTTCCATGTATAATAGCTTTTGTTTACAGGTCTAGCATACTACAATGATCAAAACAATATCATCAGAGCTTGGACTGACAGAACAATTTAATCAAGTGTTTGAAGGAGAGGGGTGGTGGCATGATCACCCCTTGTTTCCGATAATGTAATAATTTTAGTGTTTTGTCAAACGGTGAATGTTTCCACTGCCTGACTTCTGTTCTAATTGTAGTATTATACTCAAAGTTAAGTAGCTGACAATGTATAAAATTCTAGCCAAAATACAATTCAGACAAAGAATACATTTATAACTCACATTCTATAACTTCTGGATATAAGCAGACATTCTTTCCTCCAGTATCAACTGTTGGTTTTAATTCTCCATCTGGTGTTAATCCTATAAATAATCCACGTTGTGTGGCTGATTCTAACGTAATATAACCTTTATCTGGATATTTTGCAACAATAAAATGTGAGTCTTCATCTTTCCCTCCCTAAAAAAAATTAATAGAATATAATAACTAATGAATAACAGACAAAATGAAAGAGAGAGAAGCAGGGTTTCATGTCCACTCAACAATAAAAAAAATCATTTCAAGACTTAACTCTAAGCAGATCATCTCCGGACAAATTAATCACGACAGAGATGGAAATAGGATTTCATGGCCACTCAACACTAACCAGGTCAGTGCTCACTCTGGATTTCATTTTTTTTCCGCCAATTTTCCATTTAATTTATCAACCATATATTTTTTCCGAAAATTATCGCAACGGTTAAAAGAGAATTGCCATACAGAAAAAAGCTATCACCCAAAATTTTGCCAGATTGGATATCTTATCGCCAAAATTATATTTTTATCGCAATTGGTGGAAATGAGTGTTGAACCAGGTCCCTGAAAGACATGACACTAATCTTAACATCAGAAATATATTCTTAAAGGTATTTGTAGAAAAATTAAAAGTTCTGCTTGTTAACCAAAATAGATGATAGTGGCAATAAAGCATTCTATTACAAGTAGTCTTCACTTACAAAATACTGTTAAAATAAATTTTTGAACTTACTTGACAGTCAATTCTTTTATCTTGCATGCGAATAAATCGACCAGGATTGATTAAACTTTCAAACATTCTAACACCATTTTCAGCTACTTTATGAACTTTAAAATGAGCGGTACGATTGATCTTTCCTGTACCATACATTCCTTCTTCTGAATCTTGAGCCAGTGTCTGTGTTTTAGACGTACGTAACATGATGACGCCTCTATTACGGAACATTCCCTGAAAACAAATTACAAGTCATGAGAAATTTGGGATCTTAACATAGATTAATATGACTATTGATGGCAATTAATTGCCCTCCCGATTAACTTCAGAATTCAAATTGTGGCTCTATATGGCTAGTGATGTGCATCATGCATGAGGAAGGGTCTAATGCATCTAGAATATCCGATACCACTTCACATGTGTTTTAGAAGTATCTAAATTCATAATGGTGAGTAATCTACAATATATTGTAAAAGTAATTCTTTAATACGACTAAGCAGTTTGGAAGGCAAGGGAGTAGCCCTTCACCCTATTGTATTTAAACAAAATTAAATTTATATCCATACCAAAAAAATTATTTTCTTGGGAATATTTGAGGAGTTTTACCCAGATTTCTTACCTTACAATAAACATAAAAGATCCTCGAACTGTCGGTATCTACACCACCTCTAGGGTCAGCTGGTCGGCCATTATCTAGTAACGTTAGAAATTGTAGAGGATATTTGACAGATTCTAATAAGACTGTTAAATCATGTTGTACATGAATACGGAAATCACAGTAGGCTCCCCCTTTACCCTAAAAATATACAAATATAAAACAATTAATAAGTTTCTTGTAAATGGTGATAAAAACAAACTTCTAAAGAAGAACTTGAATACATTTACTACCATAAGCAATAACATGTAGTATTCCAGGAGTTTGGATACAGCAGTTAATATTCCCCACCATGTTTACAAACCATACTTATAACTTCAAGTTTACAACTGAAAACATTTAATGCACAAATGCTACTTCACCCCATTGAGCCACCTTATAAATGTACTACTTACATGGCCAACAGTTCTACCATTATCAATAGCTAGATGATAATTTTTATTCAACAAACTACCAAAAGATCTGACCATACTCTTCTTAGCAGTAACATTAAATACAACTAAAATAAAATATATAATATCAGTTATTAAGCTGTACATGAAATATCTAACTTTGGAGTGATGTGAAAAGTGAAAAGTAACTGAAAACAAGTGAACTCATGTAATTACATTTCAGATGTCCCATGCTAAAAACTAGTTAAGTCCTAATTTGCCAGTTGTAGATATCATTTCTGTTACAAATCATATATAATTTACTATGTGAATAATTGATATAAATATCATCTTTTCTGTCTCAAAATTTTGAAATTAAATTTTCTTGGAAAAGGTCATGGAATTTAAGATGAGTTAGAAATGAAACTATTTCAAGGCCTTTAATAGATTAACTGGTTATCTTGAATTAAATTCAATAAATTAAACATAAAACAGCAAATTGTGGGGGGTTTTTTGAAGAAGAAGAGGATTAAAATAGATAATTACCCCATTCTTCTTTTAGGTCACCCATAGCATCCACACTACCATCTCCTTTAATACGTAAAGCTTTACCAGTTAATTCTGATATCAGCTTGATCTGATTCTTTGAGTCAAATTTCCATTTTTCACTTTCCCACTAAAATAGATAAATAACTGCAGTAAAATACCATTCACAATAATCCAATGATCAAATATTTACAATAATACATACAATAGGTATGCTAACTTCTGATGTCTGACCTGCAGACTTGGGTAATGATATGAATATCATCAAGCTAATTTGAAATTACATTTTTCTATAATTTCAGGACATGCAATCATCTCTCTATGTGACCAAGATGTGAACTGTTTTAAACTGTAAAATTTGTATATTTAGCATATTAGAAGTTATGACACCTACATTTCGTTTCTCTAAAATATCTCCCATGTATTCTTCTTGAGCCTGAATTTCACGAACAATTTTACCATCATCCTCTCCTTCATCTAACCATCTGTTATTAAGAAAATTAAGTTTAATCCTTTTGTAATATGAAATAAACTAGAAATTCATGTGTTTCTATACATTCATGTAATTTTTTGTTTCGAAAAATTAGTTGTAGTTGAAAACCATTGGGTTAAATTTTTGTAAAAATTTTCTTTGAAGATATTTTCTAACACTTACTTTCCACAGTAAAAATTGAAATATTCATTTTTAATGGGATCTTTAACGACAATTCTCTCTAAGTTCCAACCATTACCTGGCAAATAAAAATAAAGATGTATCTACAGTAACATTCTATTTAAAGAGGAATGAATTAGCAGGGGACATTAAAACTTTGGAAGATGTATACAGGTTTGTAAAAATAGGCATGACTTCACAATACAATTACATTGGTGGTGTTCTAATTAGATTGCAAGCAAAATTTGGAACAGGCATGCAGAGTCAAAGCCCAGATCTACATGTTTTTCAGATTTCTCAAAAGTTTGACAGTTGCTCAGATGCAAGACTTTGCTTTAAGTTGGCTCATTATGCACAGTCAAATAATAGTAAAAAAATATATCTATATAATTTACAAAAAACAACCCACATTAATTAAATTTTGTACATTAAAGTTACCCAAAATATACTCTTTCATTTGAGTGAAATAACTGAAATTATGGATGTTTTTTCTACTATTTTATTGGCATCAGAAATTAAAAAGTAACTGTTTTTTATATTGGCATAAAAGATTACCTTGTCCAGTTCCATCATGGCCTACTATAATTCTCTTCAATCTACCCAGTGATACTGCCTCTATTTGAAAAACATCACTCTGTAAAAATTAAGATTTCTATTTAAAATACATCACTCTGTAAAATTCAGGATTTCTATATGAAATCCTCACTTTGTAAAAACCAAGATTTGTAAAAATCAAAATTTCAATATGAAATATATCACTCAAGATTTTAAACTAGCTTGATATTAAAATGTTCTTAGATGGAAAAGATCTAATCTTAATTTCATCTTCATTATTGGGCACACAAATCTAAAATGACGCAATTTTTAGAAAAAATATCATCAATATTACCTGTCCTTGTTGAAAACTATTTGCCTTAGCAGGTTTTAACTGACGCACACCTGTGTCTCCTCGATCACCATATATAGTCAGATAGACATTGGCATGGGTACCAGAATTCCACAAATCTCCAGTAGTTACTGTAGCTTCGTAAGTCACAACTGAAAACACAATAATATAGGTAATAATTTAATACAAGCAATGCGTATACACATTTTCTTTTTAAAATTTTCAAATACTGCTGGTACACTGATAATCTGTAAGTATAAAACATTTAATTTTGTAACTCTGAAGCCTTATTGATGAAAAATAGTAAAACTAGCGTGTTACAAAAGTCAGATGCAATTCTAAAGATAGTGATTTTAAAGCTTAATTAAAGCTTTAGAGATCTTCACCATTTGTTAAAATGGAAATTTTTTGATTCACCATGAGATACATATACAGTAAAATCAATTAGATTATAAGAAATTTTGGGGAAATATAAAGTTGTTGATTTGACAATATTTGATGCATTAATTGGTTTGGTAGATTAAGCCAACATTTAGCTTTACAGTCGAAAATGGAACCAAATTTACTAGACAAAGAAATTCTGCTCAATCTGCTGAAATGGATCCTAATTGAATAGAAACATTTCCACAATTACTAGCAACTAAAGTCAGATATAAGATTAAACTAATTTCAAACTTTGATTTGATCAGAGTCTAGGAGATTTAACTCCTTTAACATTTTATGTTCGATTCATTTTGTAATTATGGCCACCTTTAATAGTGTAACCATTGTTACAAGGCTAAATTCGGGAATCTTTGAAAAATGAACCAGCAAAGATGACATTAATTACCTGGTAATGTTGGTTCACCCTTGCGTTTAACAGGTATTTCTCTACATGTCTCCTGATCACCACGTTCACTATCCATCCATTCTTGACAAACAAATACCAACTCTTCTCCTGTATCAACATCTGATAGTCGGACCTAGAAATATATTTATTTTGCTATTATCGATTTCAATAACATACAATCTATCAAAGGATTTAATATAATTCATCTAATTAAAATATCATGATGGGCTGAATGTCTTCTTACAATTTAATTACAGAGATACATAGGGCCTCATTTTTTCACCAGGATCAAATACAGGACCTTTGGGTTAGTTAGTCAGCGCCTTACTCAATGGGCCACCATGGTTCCCCGGTCTCTGAATGGAAGGTTAAGAACATCACTGCATGTTCTGCGTCCTAATACAAAGGAAATGTAATGATAGATGATGGATGTGAATTACATCATTGTACAAGAATGTTCAAGGATTCTGATGACTCAGACTTCCGAGATCTGTTAAAAACCTTCTTAAAATCTGCCTGTCGTCTTCATTCGTTCAGTTTATGTCATATTTCATTTCTTTTCTTAAAATCGGTTTGGCCTAAAGTATACATCAGGTGCAGTATACATCTGTCAGGTTATTTGTTCAAAAACAGTCAACAAGTTTTCTTATAGATCAAAACTATATAAATATGTGAAAAATGAAATGAAATGAAATGGGGTTTAAGGTCCTACTGTTCTGCTCCTAACCTGGGCTAATGAAGACGGGCATACGCCATACAGTGTGCTATGAGGGAAATTTTGCCCGGGCAGCAGCCTACTCTTATATCAAATTCCAACTGCCAAGGGATCTTTTATGTGCACGCCAATGTGTACACGGGACCTCAGTTTTTTGTATAAATATATGAGTATACTAATGAACACTTACCTCCTCACAATACCATGCTGGATGACTTCCTGTTTCATCATGTCCAATACGAATCTTATAGATCTCACCAATACCAGGAGCAAATATCTAAAAACAGACAATACAAGATAGAAAAAATCTCCAAATAACTAATGAATACATTTCTCTACTTCATTATTATGTTGGCTGGTAAGCAGTGTAATTTTTATTTTGTGAGCATTCACTCATCCTTTGTGATACCTGCAGGCAGTCTGGGCTGTCATTTCTGATATATTGTCAGTCAAGCAATTTCTTTTTTATATTTTGTGCTTTACATTTTACAGCTGGAGTTGTTTCAATGGCATTAAATGATAATCCAAGTAGGAATCAGATTTTTAAAAATATAGCCTGTTTACAAGGTTTAATTGACAGAGTCAATAATTATGCTTAATATGAATTCCAGTAGGGTTTCTCCTTGCGGGTAATGTAAAGCCAGCAAGTTTGGAAAAAATCTAAAATACTTTGTAAAGTATTTACAAATTTTATGAATGAACATATAAAAGAATCAGATTATTACAGAAAAGGGTTATTAATTATACTGCATATAAAGGGGCGACGACAATATACTTCCATATGAAAATGTGGGCGTATAAAAATGTGAGCCTTTAAATTAAGTTCTCTGATAAGTTATCAACCGATGGGATTCCACCAGGATTACTAGTCCCACTCTCATTGATTCTATAGATTGACAACCATGTTAACACATGCTATACAGTATTTAAGTTACTCCTTCGTGTAAACCTTTAATAAAACCTGTACTAACGATCTCTCATTTAACGTTGCTATCATTTTCTTACTATACTATATTTATTGATTTGACAATATATGTATATGTTTGATAAAGAAATATTTTTCCCCTAAATGTCAATGAAGGCTTTCTTTGTCAAATAATATCAGTTCTTTCTAAAGATTGAAGTAATCCACAATCTATTGTATCGTTCGTAGACCTTTATCTGTAACCAAGTAAACATACAATACAATACTGTACTATACATAACAACATGGTCTGTGCACTATTTTTTGTTGTTGTTGAAATTTAAAGTGGAAGTCTCATTTTTTACAGGGATTCAAAATAAAAGTTCTTTTAATTATGAAATAGACTAATTAACATATCTGGAAGTCACAAATATTGAGCCGTTTGGAAACGATGGCAATAACAGTTTAACTCTTGCAGAGGATTGGCTTTTGTTTTTCCATTAAGTGCTCTAATTAACGTGAATATTTCATATCTTCGTAATTGCTCAATGATAATTAAAGCACAGTGATAACATGTCAAATTCTATTATTTGCCAGAAAATGACATAACAGCATGGGAAGATGTCACTATACACATGTTTGAGTCAAGACAAGTTGTTCCCGTCACAGAAGTGACTGTTAGTCAGCAAGCATGTCTCTAACTCCACCTGCATTTTGTTTTTCTGAAAACATTTTACAGAATTTTGGGTAGTTGCTTGAGACTAGAATAAATGTTCTAAGGGTCTTGTATTGCCTGGATATTTTAATTAAAGCGGCCTCAAATTACTTCACTCTGAGCCTAGATATCGGCTATACAATTATAGCCTAGCCTTGTTTGTCATTACTACCGTTGTTACGATAATAAACAAAGTCTCGATTATCCTATTTAATGGCAACCACATTGACCACAAAACACGTCTAAATCTACTTATATTGCAGCCATCTGATAGCATTGAGAGTTAATTATGGTCTTGTAAGTTAATTATATAACAATTTATATAACATTTCAGGCCTAAAGAAATACCGGCAATAGGCAGGTTTAGCTCTTGCATACTGCCTGATTAATGTTAATTTTCACTTTCACTAATCGGCCTACTCTTTCTGGAACATCTAATTCCACTTCGTATACCTAACAACTTCTGTTGTTACAATGTTATCCCTACTCCCAAATTTCCAACATATTTTGGTTGGTGAATATCAGAGAAGTGTGCTGCCTTGTAGTGGGCTCTAATTTAGCCCGGCATGATTAATGGATAGAGGGGTATTTATTTTAATTGGGGGGTTGGATGGCTGAATGGTTAGCGTGTGCACGCTGTATCATAAAGTCTGTGATTGAGTCAACTGGCATGGTTTCGAATCCCCAGTTGTACGTGACAAGGAGTAGGGTCGCCTGTCCAACCTCGTGGGTTTTCTCCAGGTCCTCCGGTTTCCTCCTACTGCTAAAGACCCCTATGCGCAAGCGAATTATTGAAATAAAATTAAACCATATGTTAGTCCCAAAATGACCTAGATTGTGTCGAGTGGACGTTAAACTCCATTTCTCCCTCTCTCTTTATTTTAATTATTGCTGATTTATAATGCTAATTTTGATTAATGTTTTTATTCCAATTTTTGTATCAGTAATTTATTCATTAATAAATGACAATTTACACCATATCAAGATATTTAAGCTGATTATTGGATTGAAGCACATAAATTTTATTTCTGCATTAAACTACCCTTAAGAATTCAACAAGAACTTTGCACCTGTTATAAAGTTGAAGTTGGTGAGGCAGAAAACTTTCCTACAGATAATCAATAACATAATGCATTCTTTTAATGCTGAATTTGTTGTCTTAATAACATGATAATAACTCTTCTATGTTATGAGTAAAATCAATGGAAGTACTCATCTTGTGCATCTGTTTTATATATGATGAAAAAAATATTTATAGTATATTATTAGTTTATATCAATAAAGGTCCACCGAAGCGCCATGAACGGCTCATAAGTTTGGGTTAATAATAATAATAATAAATGTCCAACTTCACAAAAACATGTGCTCATAGATATCTACAAAAATATAGTCTTTAGTTCTCAGTTATAATTTGTTTGAAGTAAATGATTTTCTAAGTTTCTTGAATGTTGTTAAGTAATAGCCGCATTGACTTTAGTTAACAGACAGCGATTTACATCTTCTAGAAAGGCTACTCCAAACAAACTGTCCATTTATATATAGCATATATATATGGCAAAGTTTTATTCAACAATAGGCTTGTGCACAGGTCTTTAGCAGTGGTAGGAACCCAAAGAAAAATCCACGAGGTGAGGCAGCAACCTTTCTCCTTTTTTACAAGAATGGGATCAAAACTACCATACAATTCTTGGACACCCAATCCCCCACTAATTGCAAGCAAAAGAAATATAGGTACTAAAAGTTTACTTCAGAAATTATTCAAAGGGTCTATAATAATCTTCAAGTAAAATATGAATATATTGAAAAAAGTTCTTTTATTATTTGTTGGATTTCTGCAGATCTATAAATGAATTTTTCGCACAGACCGCAGGACTATCATTGATTGAAAGATTCTGTGATCCTCGTTCTATCCTGCAGTTGATGCTTTAATCAGTGATGAGAAGATGGACCAATTGGATTTGAAAGAATAGCTCTGTTGTGGACTTTTAATATCACCTGACAAAATGATATAAGAAAACTAAACTACACTTTTGTCCTAAATAATCAATGAGTTTGTTACTATATTCTAAATAGATACCATCTTTAGAACAAATAAAATATAAAAAAAAACATGAAATAGCTCTTCCTAATCAATACGTTTATAAAACAATGTCACCTCATCACCATAAATATTTTGAACGTTTCCAGGCAATTTGGAATGGAAGTGCAAATAAGTCTTTTATTTTTATTGTACACATGCGATGCTGTCATTAATAGAAAAAAAGCCCCCCAGACGGAAACCAAATATTAATGATAATATAACTCTTAGAAAAATGTCATTCTAATCTGTTTAGAATAAAACTGAACATAACATGTTATCAATGTGGAATAAATTATCATCTTAATCAAACTAGCACTTATCAACTTATAATAAGGGTTAAATTGGGTGTTGACTTGATCATGATTTAAAATATACAAATGACGTTATAAAGATATTGAACCAAAAAGTTAGCAAGATAATTAAAGTTGCATTATGTAAGTGCTATATCTGCCTATTACAGAGCATTTTTTTTCTGCTTTCAAATGTTATATAAATTATGATTTAGACATTTAGTCACAGGACAAGCCCATAATCAACTTATTATTCCATAGGATGGCTTGAAATTGAGTGCATTCTAAATTTTTCTCAAATACATGTTATCAGTCACAGAGATTTTCGATAATAAAGGCCCGACAACAAGGTTATACACAGCTTTATATTCTTATATATTAAAAGTCTTATTGGGATTAAAAGTAATATAAATTTAAAACAAATTTAAATGCATCCACTGTCTAAAATCCGATAAAAGTAGCCATTCATAACTTTCCTCAGATTATACTAATTTTACAGAAATTTCATTTTTCATTATCTATTTTTCTAACTTTTACAGCAAGAACGACCACATAATCCCTCTTTAATATTGCAATTTATATACTAGATTTTGGTTCAGTATGAAAAAAATCCATATAACTTCTACTGCCTAGCCTATAGGTAACATCATACAAATACCATACACTATTTAAAATCATATCAATTATTTTGTTCCAATAATTCACACTGACAAAAACAACATTATCAAACCAAATACAATGCTAAAGACCAATTTTGACATTAACCAGATTATTTCAGGACTAACATAGGGTATATTTTTATTTTACTATTTACTAATTAACCTGCAGGCAGGGGTGTTTTAGAGGTGAGAGGAAACAGGAGCACCCAGAGAAAACCCATGAGATTAGGCAGTCAACCCAACTTCTGATCACATACAAGACTGGGATCAATCTCATCAATTACACAGATAACACTAACAACAGGCTGTTTGATCTATTGATCTACCACACACCTGCTAGACCACTCGGCCAACCCACAGAAACCAATTAAGAGAGAGAGAGAGAAATGGGGTTTAACGTCTACTCGACACAAACTAGGTCATTTCGCGACTAACATATGGTTTAATTTTATTTCAATAATTCGCTTGCATGTAGGGGTCTTTAGCAGTGGGAGGAAACCGGGGGACCCGGAGAAAACCCACGAGGTTGGACAGGCGACCCTACTCCTTGTCACGTACAACCGGCCTCAATGACGACAGGCTTTATGATACAGCGTGCACATGCTAACCATTCGGCCATCCAACCCCCCAAACCAATTAAGAGAATGGCTCAATCCAGTGCATTTTACCACAGAAGGCCAACATGTATACATATTAGGACATGCATTAACGTAGAAGGTTCATCTAATTCTATTTTGTTTTGATATTGTATAAACATAGCTAAATATAAGACAGAAATAGCAGAATATTTTCCTTTATACATGTATATGAAATAACACGAAGAGAAGTAAAATGATGAATTTAATTTCAGTATCATCTCCCTTTAAATATCCATTAAATTTATATTCATATTAAATTCAAAATATTAAATAAGAGTTAATTAGTCCTAATGTTTAACCCAACAAGAAGTAAAAGGGAGAATTTAATTTTGATATTCTAGCTCCCTTTAAATTTATATCCATTAAATCATTGAAATTTTATTCATAATGCATAGAAAATATTAAATAAGAGTTAATTAGTCCTATGACTGTATATAAAGAATGATTTCAATTGGAGATATAAATACACCTGGTAGTTAGGTAATTGTCTGTAAGATGATTTATATAAAAGCTAATATAACAGTATATATATCTCATTATGTCACACATGCATATTGCTGTGTGTACCTAGTTACACCTAACAACATGACAACATTTTTCACAAATTCTATTGATGTAGCTCTTAAGAAAATAATTTCACAACCAAACTCTTAATTATAAATACAACCTGTAAAAGGTCTAATTTATATGTACATGTTTTTCATTTTATCATGCACACCACACCCTATTCATTAAATAAACAAGCGGTTGCCATGCAAGATAGGTCTACATTTTGCAAAGAGATGGACAAAAAACAAGCTAAAAAAAAGTGATTTTTCGTACAATCAGGGACGATAATTCAGGAAGCTATGATCCGATATCCACAAATATTGACAGAAACCAAGATCTTTGGGTTCTAAACATGCGTTTTAAGTTTCATCAAAATAGGATGAAAATTGTGACCTCTTCGGTGGCCACAAGTTAAAAAAGTGATTTTTCGTACAATCAAGGGCCATAATCCATAAAGTTACAGTCCGATACATGCCAATATCGAAAGGAACCTAGATCTTTGGAATATTACCTATGTTTCAAGGTTCATCAAAATCGGATGTAGAGTGTCCAGAAACAAATTGTGGATGGACGGACAGGGGAACGACAATATACGTCTCCATGAAAATGTAGGTGTATGAAAATGAATGTAATTCCATTCAGATGTATTTGCAGTGTAGTCCTTTATATAAAACCAATTAGGTTTTATGTAAAAGTGTAGTAGGCTATAACAGAATGAATGAATGATACATGTTTTAACATGCTACTATTCTGCTCCAACAGCAGTACCAGGTTTAGATGAAGAGAGGCCCAAGGCTATTCAACTTATGAATTCTACATCAGCACCCTCACGACTAGGCTGATGTCAGATGTTTATGACTACAGTGTGTGTAGTACCCGTTGCTACATGTAGGTACTGCGTCAGCCAAGTCACGTGACACAAACGAAATGAAATGAAATGAAATGGGGTTTAACGTCCTACTGTTCTGCTCCTAACCTGGGCTAATGAAGACGGGCATACGCAATACAGTGTGCTATGAGGGAAATTTTGCCAGGGCAGCGGCACTAAGGCCTACCCTTATATCGAATTCTAACTGCCAAGGGATCTTTTACGTGCACGCCAATGTGTACACGGGACCTCGGTTTTCCGTCCCATCCGAACGACTAGACAGCTTTCCTTGTCAGCCCCTCCGTCCTGCATCACTGACAAGGGAGAACCACGCCGGAAAATCTGGATGAACTTTCTCGGCCAATGCAGGGATCGAACACCCGACCTCCAGGCTAGCGAGCTAGCGTCTTACCCACTTAGCCACGTGATCCCCACGTGACACAAACATGAACTCTTTTAATATATATATTTTTATAGCAGGGGTACTCCCTTACAAATACATTGTTTTGAGAAGGATTTGAAGCAAAATTTTGATAGATTAATTAGTTTGAATATGTTTTTAGTCCAAATATATCATCAAATAACCCAGTTTGTACGTGGGAATGTATCTTTAACCCTTGAGAGTAAAACTAAAACACAGACATGGCCTCGTCACACCCTTAATATACCTATCAGCAGCAAATGACTGTAAAAAAATTTTACTAAGAAGTCTATTCCAAGCTTTAACAATCAAAACGTGAATGAAAAAACGGTCTATCAATAGCTCTTTCTTCTCAGATTTCTTAAATTTGGACATGAACAAGAGGATATCTCTGAGATATGCGAAATTTTCAATGGGGGGTCTTCCTCGTGAATTTGAAAGAAATTCATAAACAAAATTTGATGAGAACATACATCAACATTAAATGTAGGCATTTTTTTACATCCTGGATTCTTGATATAGAAATGAGAAATAAAATTAGCCTAATGATTTCCATAAATGTGAGACTTTATGACTTACCTCAAAATCATTGGAGTTACCACTTTCAAAGTAATTGCCATCAGGATCTCCAAGATTGAGTGGACCAGAATTGCCTTTTTGACCATATATTGTAAGAATGACTTGAGCCGAGGTACCGGCTGATGGTTCATCTCCTGTAACAACACTAACTCTCCATTTTCCTCCTGAAATAAAACATGTTTTCAATTAAACTTTACATCAATACAAAATACACATTTTGGAAAATACTTTGAAAAATATCTGTAACTGAAGAAGTCAAATCACTGCCACAAAAAGTATTTATAAATTGTGTGGTGAAAATTTTCATAACTTGATACAATTCTGAATATAATTTGAACAAAAACAAGGATAGAGGAAACTGTATTTCTAAATAAGCATGGTAAGATATGTAAAGATGTTCTGTGTGCATTTAGTGCAGGGCTCCTAATTAACAGAATAAATAACGGTCAATTTACACACAATAAAATTAGGAATTTCAACGACTTTGATTAAAATAAGTTTAATTTGTCTACCAACATTTAAAAACTAATTTATAAATATGCTAAAAATTGCCATCTGAGATAAATAAACTATGCAAAAACATGGCCAACTGGCACAATTTTTAAGTCAGTCTTAATTTAGAGGGTTTGTGTGGGTTTTATCGCCAATAGGTTCTATTACCGAGCATGTAAGAAATAATTTTAGTTTCAAGGATGGATGCATACTCTTTGCAGTGTTTTGTTTGATTATATCTAATACCACTTAACACTGCTGTAAAGGAAGCAAATTTCTGTTCCAAATTATGACTGGTCAATAGTCCGATTAACAACCAATAGCTAACTGTGTAGTGCATAACAATATCATTACTCTTTAAACAGAGCTCCAAATTGACTCACGATTTTATTATGCTCAATTAACCAGTGCATAGCAGAATATTGCAGAAAAACTAATTGTGTGACAAACAAGCCTATCAAAACGGATACAATGTAAACAATACTGTTTGGAGACGAACAATACTTTCACCATTTTTAATACCGTAAATCATTGTCCAAAGTATTAGGGAAGACCCCAGATTAAACGAAGGGCTGTCATGTTGCTGTACTTCGGATAGATTTGAATGAACGGGAAGAATAGACACACTCCCTCAAAAGCTCAAGTATCAGAAGCCAATCCAGCAATAGTCAGAGAGGGATTTCTCAGGCCATTGCGTCAGGTATATGGGATGGATGTGGCACATCCGAATTCTCTTTTTAGAGAATTAGTATTTAATTAGTATTTTAATCACTTCTAATTCCACTCACTTGATTTTATCAATCTGTCTCTTCTGGTGCGACGTTTATTACTGGTATTTATATCTCGTGCACTACGTAAAGAACCTCCACGTGTTGATGGTGGCATGGGTGTATACATAAAACCAACCATAGCTTTAAACTGTTCATGACCAGCAACTACCAGAACATCAGGACCATTAAAAAGTTGAGCTAAACTTGTAATCTGAAAAAAGAGAGACAAGTTTGAAAATGTTTCCTGGTTTATTTCTCATGATGAAGTACTGACTTGTTCGATGTAAATTAATGCTTTTGGTTGGCCATTCCTAAAATGTACATGTCCAGCAGGACTCTAATTTCAGCCGTAAATGTACTTTCTTATCCCCCCCCCCAAAAAAAACTGTCAATAAAATTGACTGACTTATAGAAATTATAACAGTTAGTATCTTAACACCTATTTGTCAAAACAATTAAATTTGTAATATTTACTGTCCAAACTACTCCAAACAGTACCAAACATTTAAAATTTTGTTTCCTGAAATTCACCTACTAACGTCTGAGGTGAGAGCTCTGATGTACACTAAAGCAGAATAAAATCATTCCTACTTACCCGTCTGCCATCAATCGTGTAAAGTTTCCTGACGGCAAATTTAAACATATCACTCATATCTTCCATAACTTGATCAAATGTTTGGGCTGTTTTACGATTCAATAGCATTAAATGTCTGAAAGAAGGGTCTCCATTACGCATCACAGTAATTTTCTTTGGTCTTTTCCCACTGTAAATAATTCCACCACTTCGCGCCAAACGTCTCCTTTTAGCCCTTGAGAATTCATCATATTCATGTTCTTGTAGTAGCACATTTAATTGCCGCTGTCCACTAGCAGGCTTCGCTAAGTGCCACGTATCTGGAGGACAAACTCTGGCTACATCTACTCCACGGGCAAAATGACCATGTGTGGAACAAATATAACGGCCTTCATGCATAAGACTGTCTGTGTTGTAAATATGAGATCGACCTCGAGGGGTATAAACACTACGTACACCAAACGGTAAAGATGGTATCAAACGTGTAAGTTCAGACAGTAAATTATCAAACTTTCTGTATCTTTTAGGATGAATCGCAACCTTGGCAGCAGCTTGTTTATAATCATTATCTTTGTAAAAGTAGCAAGTTTTGGCTTGAATGGGATCATGTAATGTTTTACGATAGTTAAAGTAATAGCCATCTCCACTTGATCCAGGGTTATATTCGTCAGCCATTTTGATTTCCTTTACTTAAATCTGGTTTTCTTATTCTATCCAACACCCTGTGAGCACATTCTGGAAAGATTCAAAGAAAATACTAATTTACCGGGACTAGGCTGACTTTCAGAGTCAACAAATAAAGCTTATCACATAATAATAATAATCACCGTTTTTTTTTCTTTTTTTCTAGATTTAGTCCATTACTTAATCAAATCCACAAAATGACATGAGTGGAATTGTCCATATATAATGAAGGCGGATCACATGACCTGATCAGGATGACCAAGTTGAGAAGCAGACAGTATAAAGTTTGAGACTAGGTCTACAGTTTATGTTAGCAACCAAGTGCAATTAGCAACCCTACAAAATCAACCAATGGGAAAATATCCCCAAACATTTGATGGCTCGAACATATGACAAAATGAAGTACTAATAACAGAAGTCAGACTGTAGATACTCAACACTGGTACCAAAATTATTTGATGTCTTTTTTGAAAATTATTCTAAACCTATTATCCCTGGTTAAAGTTAATTGGTAATAAATTATTCATGAGAGTTATACTTGCACGGAAATTGATTCTTTTTAAATGGTCGACTGTATGATAAAGATAGCTCAATATTGTAGCTTATTTAATATAAACAAGATCATTCAATTCAATCATTTTAACACAAACCGTTTTCAATATATTGACTTTGAGTGAGTGTATTATCCAATTCAATTTATAATTCATATTATTATACCTTTGGGGATTATTCTAGACACAAGTATGTACTTTTACATACACATTAACTTTCATTCATCTACCCATGGACCCTTTGTCTCAAATTTTACAAAGAAAATTTTAATGAAAATTTTAAGAGATCTTTTCTATATTTTGGGTGAGAATAGACTGTTTTTTTTATATATTTATTTCTAACACTACCACACATCAGTTTAAGCCCATGACTTAATGACATGTATGGTTCATGTGCAGACCGTGTAAAGATTATTATATTTGTTGTCATAGAGACAATTTATATACATTCCCCATCCTATTCTCTATTTTCATGCCTTCCAGGGATTGCAGTGATAAGAGTGAGATCCGCTGCAGACAAGATTGATAATAAATACCAATAAAAGACAAACGATTAGTCAAATGTTTATGTCAATGATTTTTTTTTTTTACAAATAAATCTTATTGAACTACTTCGGTATCTTAATTATTCAAAAGTTTTGGGAAAAAACAGTAATAAATAAATTGACTTTTACTATAAATATTTCTTGAAATATCATCACCAAAGATTTTTATCAACAATAAATGCCTTTTAAGTTTTATTAACAACCACACATTTATAAATTCGATTTTTGTCTTACAGAAAAATATATTCTTATACTATTATAATTTACATAAATATCAGAGTTGTCACTTAAGGCTAGCACTCCAATCATTGGTGATACTTTAACCTTTTTGTCAGGTAAGAGATAAATTAAAAAAAACACTTAATAGATCAATAAATGGTTTCAGAAACTAATGTTGATGATAATAATAAAGTAGTAACTATGTACCTTTAAAACAAAAATCACAATCCCACCCTTATATACAACTAACTCACACACATCAATACGATACATATATATTGGTATACCTGATCAATCAAATCACTTCACTTTGATCTAATGAATGGTACATTTGTTAGTTTATTAGTTCTACTCCTTTCTGTAGCATGTAGCACTGGTTATTCATACAAATTATTAGGTATTATATAGTAGATAATTGAATATAACACTGAGTTTTATTATAACAAATACTTTTTACAAAATATCTGGTTAATAATATACAAATGTACATCTACTCTAATATATTTTCAAATTAATTGAAACCAACCAACCATATGATTAGACAGGGTGGGGAAGTCTTTGCACAGTATCCTTGTTTTATTGTTCCTTTTTAAAATTAAATTTCTGGAATATCATGCTATAGATTTTGTCCTTATCAAGAATGACAATAACGCTCGAAATGCGATGAAAACTGGAAAGGATCAGAATCGTTATATTTTACTAATATGTATGGCTTTAATCAGATTGACCACACATGCTTCAAAGTACCTAAATATAACACTTTTTGACTAAAATCATATTGAGTACACAATTAACAATTTTTGGAACTTTATGTTAAGACTTAGACATAAAACAAGATATAATTGCCATCCGATATTAGTAAGGTTTAGTACACATTAACAATTATTGGAACTTAGTTTAGACATCTTCCTGTAAGGAAACAATCAGTATGGTAGAACACTAGTTTAACATTTTGATATGAGAAAATTCTTCGGCTATTATAAAATCTGATTTAAAAAATAAAATAAAAATTGTGAAAACTTGATTATGAACTGATAGGTAAAAGAGTAACAATAGACGCCATCAACAAATGTCACAAATAATGCTTCTTTATTTAATAAATTTGATTGCATAGACTTATAAAACACCCTCTTTTAGGGCAGTACATAAATACAGTTTAGTGTATAAAAATAAAAAAAACTTCAGAAAAAATAGAAGAGTTTCGGTTAGAGCAAGGATATATATATATATATATATATATATGTGAAACTAGTCAAATAAAAAAAGACAAAACGAAGATTGAAATTTAAACCCTTCTGGAACTCCCACCCATTCAAAAGGTTTCAATCCAGGAATGATAGGTTAATGATTTAATCAATGAGAAGATGATTAACTAAATCTGACCAAACAAAGGAAGCAAACAATTACGCCGAGAAGATAGTGTGAAAAGACTCAGCTTTTAATTCCCATAGCAATCAGTCAATTATTACTGTTAGTGTTAACCGATAGAATCGCTAATCAATTTCTTCACGCACCTGTGAACTTCATTCAAATGTCTTGACGACACTTATTTCATACCCAAAAATATAGTTAAAAACATAAATATATACTGTACTTACATAAATTCATATCTGATAGTCAAAATCCATTATTTTTTCAGAAGTTGCATGATATTTTTACGTCAAGTTGGTGAAAACGCAAATTCGTGATAAAATTGGGCCGTTTCTAATCACGTGATATCAACTAACACTAAAGACAGGTAGTCGATGCGCATGATCAATACAGGTTAACAGTTAGAGATATTTACTAGGTAGTTACTAACCGAACACCTTTCATACCTTTAGTGGTAATTGATCTCCAGATAAAACACGAGTTAACTCCCTTAAACTGAAAATGCATAAACTCGGATTTTCTTCACGACACCGTGTTTTAAACCAACCTTTTGATATGCATGAATTTTTTATTAGGTTTTTAATCATTATTTTTATTACTGCTTTATATGTAAATAACCTAATTAAAATACTCAGTACTTAAACTCCGGTTACGGACTTTCCCCCCCTTTACTACGTGCTTGCTCCATCACTATTTGCCTCGACCCTCCCCTAATCCCCGAAAAACGCCAACCATGGAGGAGGCATACCCATGAAATTATGCTTGCCCATTCAATGTGTCACTGCCCTACCAAATGGATCCCATATTTTTCTTTAAAACAAGTCTTAAGATGACTCTCAGGCGCTGATCCAAGAGGGGGATAGGGCTGGGATGAATTAGGAGCTAGGGCCCCCACCCACCCTCCCCGCTCAGGCTCAATAATTTTAATCTATGGGGTCCAGCTCCCGAAAGTGTCGGAAATGACATTTACAACGTTCCATTTTCCAAATTTATTAGGGTTGGCCACCCAGAACTCCCGCCGTGTGTTTTTTGTGTTTCGGTGTTCGCTATATATTGTCACTAGAACACTCCAATTTATTGTTCTGCCCCGACTGGGCTAATGAAGACAGACATCCGCCATACAGTGTGAAATGAGAGAAATTTTGCCCGGACAGTGGCGCTACGGCCTACTCTTGTATCGAATTCCAACTGCCAAGGGATCTTTTCACGTGCACACCAATGTGTACGCGGGACCTCGGTTTTTCGTCCCATACGAACTACTAGACAGCTGTCCTTGTCAGGGCCTCCGTCCTACACCACCGACAAGGCGAAACCAAACCGGAAAGTTTCTCGGCCCATCACCGGGATCGAACCCGCGACCTACAGGCTAGCGCGCCAGCGTCTTACTCACTTAGCCACTGTGGCTCCTTGAATTTCGAATAACTTTGTCATGTATGAATTGGATGTGCCGTGTTCTGCTCACGCCTATATTACACTGACCGGGAAACCCACAAATAAAAAATAAAATAAAATTTGACGCTCTACTACCGCATTTCCCATTCATTGCACGCCAATTTGTACACGGGACCTCGGTTTTTCGTCCAATCCGAACGACTAGACAGCTGTCCTTGTCAGACCCTCCTTCCAATGCAGGGATCGAACACCCGACCTCCAGGCTAGCGAGCCAGCGTCTTACCCACTTAGCCACGTGACCCCCCCCCCCCCATATATGAAACAAACCACTTTATTTCACACGACTAAATGAGGAGACATTACCTTATTTGGTCTACCAACCATAGGTCGATTAACAGCCAGAATTTGGTGGATATCTTGACAATGATTATGATTTAACCAAAATATCACTGGGTTTTTTTTTTATGTATAACTATAAATTCATGTTCATTAAGTACGTGTGATTTGACTCTATAGACAGAGTGAAGCAACAATTTTCCAAAGAACCCAAATTGTCTCAAGGATCAAAGTATTACACTTAAGCGTTTAGGAGCCGCGGTGCCTCAGTGGGTAAGGCGCTGGCTAACTAACCAGGCGGTCTGGAGTTCGATCACGGTGTGGGGGTCGAGAAAATTCCAGCTTGGTTTCTCCTTGTCAGTGATGCAGGAGTGTTTCGTTTTTCGGGTGGGACGAAAAACCGAAGTCTGGTGTAGGCCTACATGTTGGCGTGCACGTCAAGAGCCTTTGAGAGTTGAAGTTAGAAATATGAGTAGGCCATAGCGCCGTTGTCCGGACAAAATTTCCCTCCCAGTACTTTACATGGCGTATGGCCGTTTTCGCTAGCCCGATTGGTGCAGCAAAGTAGGACGTTAAACCTTATTTCATTTCATTTCGGGTTTAACGTGACGTACATATAGTGGTTTCAACAGAACAGAACTTTAGACCCCTTATTCCAACAGTTTAATAAAAATAAAATATCTAAAATGTTACCAAAAACCAGCCTTACAAAACAAAACATTTATAGACACACCATACTCATAATAGGAAAGCGTACATACTTCATTCATTTATCCTCAGATAACACAACTCTACCAAGACATTTTTTTAAATACATTTTATTCGTTCTTGTTATAAGCTGAATATTAAATATTCCTGCCTTCATTACCCCGGTTGGTACAGAAATCTAGGACGTTAAACCCCATTTCCGTGTTGTATAGTGGTTTTTTTTTTTTACCCAATTGTAATAACTATAATTAAAGAGGTAACACGTCAGAATAAAAGTTCAATATAAAGTTCTAGACTCTACGCCATAAAGAATATTCTTATTAAATAACATATTGATCCAAAAATTATTCAACCCAATCAATAATGACTGACGATAAGGCCATTATTTGAAGTTTATTAAATAGTTTTTGTTGATTCCAAGCCGCCATTGTTATGAGTTTGCTGAAAAGAAAGTTTTTAACAATTCTGGTATCTTTAACTGCACGCAAGCCTATCTATTACTGTTACAATTTTTTTTAGGTAATAAGCTTAAAGATAGATTATGGGAGATTAGATAAAGGGCTGGCATTTCTCACTATAATATTTAAAAACCAGATAACTTAAAGGGTATTTGCTGAAAATTTCAGTCAAATTGATATACACTGAACCGAGAATTTAGCGATTGAAATTTCGGCCTAGCCTCGATCATCATAACTAAAGTAGGTACGATAAAAACAGTCTCGATTATCCATTTCATGATTTAATCGGATCCTAATCCAGTAAATATCGCAGGCTAATGTCTAATTAATAATTTAGATAACATTTCAGGCCTAAAGAAAGACCTGCAATAGGCAGATTTAGCTCTTGCATAATGTATGTTTAATAAGTATAGTATAAACAGTTTTTACAGTAAAAATAAACCCAACATGTTGTGCAATAGTTTTAAAATTAAAATAAAATAATGGACATGACCAAGATTGTGACAACGTTTAAACTGTGACAGCTTCTTTCATAAACTGTTCATATCTGGTACGAGCAGGATGAGCGTCATTTTCACATCTGTTTACAGCAGACCATTTAGGAATCTCAGAAAATAGTCTCAGCATTTTGATATATCCCTGCAATAAAAGTAAAACTGGAATTAAATTTACCTTTAATAATTAAATTTAATAATCAAATCTTAAAGTTCTCCAAAGCATAAGAGTTTGGCATTTTATCGCTGGGGTTTCTTCGTAGATAGGATCTGATCATAACATCTCTTTCCCACGTACATACCAGCAAACCCTACCCTTTATTTGACCATAAAATACCATTAGACGCCGCGACACACGTGACACACTGACAATGTTTTATCATATTCCTGAAGCAATGGCACTAATTAAACGAAACACTGCGAGGAGTATGTGTTAAAATACGTATTGTTTGAAAGAATTAATGTCCAAATGCATGTTGTAGCCGCATGGCTTTCTTAATTACGGTAAAAAAAAAAGAACAGGCGGCAACCGCCAACAGAATAATTTGTATCTGCTGGTTCACTACTTAAACATGCATTATGCAAGAGCAAAATCTGCTTATTACAAGTCTTTCTTTAGGCCTGAAATGTTATCTAAATTATCAATTAGACATTAATTAACTTATCAAGACCATAATAAACGCTCGATGTCAAGGCTAGCCTTCGATGTTGGCTGGATTAGATTCCTATATGCCGCTAACGGCCGTTGATAATTAAATCAAAAACAGTGGATAATCGAGACTATGCTGTTTATATTAATGATTTTAGTAATGATGACCGAGACTATGCAAAAATTTCAACCGCTTCGTTCTCGGCTCATAGTGGATCAATTTGACTGAAATTTTCAGCAAATTACCTTTACACTATCTAGTTTTTAACTATTATAGCGAGAACTGCCATCTCTTTATCTTATCTCCCATAATGTATCTTTAAGTGAATCAGAGCCCCGTTGAACGACGCACAAGTAAATGTACACACAGAGAATGCCCAATAAATAAGCACACAAAGCCTTTGAAAACTATGTCGAGAAAACCCTGTCTTGTATTGCGTAGTATAGATTTGAACGTAAACGCAAGGATAGTTCTTCGATCAAAAAATTCTCAATCTCGACAGGGTTCCTCCATATAGGTCCCATTAAACAGCCTCACAAAGCTTTTTTTTTTTTTTTTTTTCCTCAAAAAAACCGTTTATTTAGAACTTAGCCCTGTATCGCTTCTATATCGTATGGGGCGCCGTTTGTAAAATAATTATTTAATTTTTTATATAGCAAAAAACATAAGATTTAACTCCGAATATATATATTTAGATAAATATTAGAACACAAATGGCATATATGTAAATATCAAAAAATATTGTAGCTAAAAGTCGAGTTTTTGGTCTATGAAAAACTTTAAATGTTATATCTTGATTTCACATCGCTTAGTTAAATATATAGCTAAATGTGCTGTTTTTCGTAGGTATAAATGCTAAATACTAAATCACTGAAAAATCTAAAGTTAAATATTTAGCTAAATATATAAACATTTAGCTAAATTCTAAATATATAAACATTTAGCTAAATTCTAAATATATAAACATTTAGCTAAATATATAAACATTTAGCTAAATATATAAACATTTAGCTAAATATATAAACATTTAGCTAAATATATATATTTAGTTAAATATATAAACATTTAACTAAATATATAAACGTTTAACTAAATATATATATATTTAGTTAAATATATAAACAGTTAACAGTTTATGTTTAGCTAAATGTATAAATATTTAACTAAATATATATTTGTGGTCCCGCCAATATTTCTATTATCGTAAGCGACACAAAAAACTGCGCATAAAATGATGACGTGTACCCGACACGTGAGCCTTGGCACAATAGGCCTACTAGCAATTAGAAATGGAAGCTGACCACGAACTTGTAACCCGAATCACGGCCGCGGTACTCCGTGCCGTTCGCACAGATCAAGGCAAGGTGCAGTCAATGGAAAGTTGTACACTACGTCATCGTTTAGTGTGAAGTCGCTTACAACAATAATTATTTTACAAACGGCGTGGTACGGTTGCGCTTTGTAAATTTAACTATATGTTTAGCTAAATATATAATTATTTAGCTAAATATATAATTATTTAGCTAAATATATATTATTTAGCTAAATATATATTATTTAGCTAAATATATATTATTTAGCTAAATATATATTATTTAGCTAAATATATATTATTTAGCTAAATATATAAATGTTTAACTAAATATATAAATGTTTAACTAAATATTTTAACATTTAACTAAATATATATTTAGCTAAATGTTTAAACATTTAACTAAATATTTAGCTAAATATTTATATATCATCAAATCTCTTGTTTTGGTCTTAATATTCAATGCTAAATGTTAAATATGAAAATAGAGACAAATCAAGAAATATTTATATATATTATGTTAAATATTGAGTTTTTGTTGTATTTTTAGTTTAAATATTAAAAGTGAAAAATTTGCACAAAAGTCGAAATTTAACTATATATATAAATTTAAATTAAATCTAGTGTTTTTTGCTATATAAAAAGCTAAATAATTAATTTACAAACGGCGCCCCATAATATCGAGGTTCACAAGATTTTTAATGGGTGAAATTAGTCAGAAATTTGCGATCAATAAATTGATCAATGTTACAATCCACCCAAAACAAAAACTACAAGAATTGTAGCTCAAAACAACAACAGACTATGTAATGACGGGTTATGTAAGGACAGGTATGGTGGCCCATGGTCGCAATAGCGTTTTTGGGGTTATTTTTTGTATTTCATTTAAAATCATAAAAAATAAAAGTAAAAAAAAAGAAAAAATCTTTTTAAAATTTAAGAAAAAAAAAATCTTTTTAAATTAAAAAGAAAAAAAAATCTTTTTAAATTAAAAAGAAAAAAGAATCTTTTTAAATTAAAAAGAAAAAAAAATCTTTTTAAAATTTAAGAAAAAAAAAAATCTTTTTAAAATAAAAAAAAATCTATATAAAAAAAATTAATAAAATATTTAAGATTAAAAAAATTTATAAAAAAAAATAACATTTTAATTAAAAAAAAAAAATAAGTGAAATAGAAAAAATCAAAAAAAGAATTCTGCACGTGGCCCATCGTCGTAATAGTGTCTTGATTATCCAGACTCAGTATAAAATCAGCCTACGACAGCTATCATTCGACTCGAGTGACCAGAAATACCTCGTGGCCCATTGTTGCTATAGTATCTCGATTATCCTATGTAGCATAACTCGAGCGACAAGAAACGAGTTTGTAGTTATCTCCCCTTCCGAAAGGAAAAAGGTTAACAGACATCAACACGTGAAACACAATTTTTCCACCCATGACGTCTATGGACTTGGATATATGTATTTATACATATGCAAGTCAATAGAAATGTATAATTAATAGACTATAGAAGTCTAGCGTCATTTAGACTAGTTTATCCAGTCTAACTAGAACTAGGCCTACATACATAATGACGTTTGAAGTCATTGACTTTAATGACACCATTCGGCCTACTAGTGCGCAAGGCCTATTCTCCCCTCAAAAGGCTTATGTAATGTTTTTAAAACACTTGGTCTCCCTGAGGTCGAATTTCAAAAGTAGTTAACAACTTTGAAACTAATCCTCGAAGTATAGGCCTACTACTACTAAGTAGCCGGGGGGGGGGGGCGAATGGTTAGCACGTGCGCGCTGTATCATAAAGCCTGTCATATCATAAAGCCCGTCATTGAGTCAACTGGCGTGATTTCGAATCGTTCAGATTATCCTGTGTGGGATCTATGAAGAACGTATGGTATAGACTCGAGCGACAAGAAACCAGTCTATAGTTACCTCACATCAAGGCACAAGTAATTTTAACTAAAATCTATTAAAATTAAATTTTAAGTTACAATCGATCTTCGTGAAACGCATAAATTTAAAATTTCACTTTGATTTTAAAATCTATGTTAGTGATTTTAGCTTCAGTTTTTGTGAAACCCCTGCTCTCCCTGAGGTCATCGCTAGTCCCCCGCTACGACCACAGGAACGGGTAAGAGGTGCGAAAGTGCGATGGCGGACAACATCAATTTCAAAGACAAAATAGAGCATGATAGCCTACGTGGACTTCGTCTGGGGCCTGTTTTACTAAGATAAAATTCAGATTTTAGTATTTGATTGGATAATAGATAATATTAGATTTATTTTAGTGCTTAGCTAATCAAAATTGAAGTATCTACAATTATGTTGACGTGAGATAACTACAGACTCGTTTCTTGTCGTTCGAGTTTATACGTTCTTCATAGATCCCACACATAATAATCGAGATACTACTGCAACAATGGGCCACAAAATGTTTCTGGTCGCTCTAGTCTAATGATAGCTATATACTGGGTCTGGATACTCAAGACACTATTGCGACGATGGGCCACGTCGGGAATTATTTTTTATCTTTTCTTTTTCAATTTTTTTTTTTTCATTTAATTTTTTTTTTAATATTATTTATTTTTTATTTTTTTTAAAATATATTTTATTATTTTTTATATATATATATATATATAGATTTTTTTTTTTTCATTTTAAAAAGTTTTTTTTTTTTTTAAATTTTAAAAAGATTTTTTTTTTTTTAAATTTTTAAAAAGATTTTTTTTTTTAAATTTTAAAAGATTTTTTTTTTTTATTTTGTAAAAAAAAAAATGTTTCTTTTTTTTTTTTGTACTTTTATTTTTTATTATTTTAAATGCAATACCAAAAATAACCCAAAAAACGCTATTGCGACCATGGGCCACCATAGACAGGCGAAGGTGACGACAATATGTCATATTATGTGGGCGTGTAAAAACGTTAAATAATTAAACTCACGTTTGTGTCCAAAGTAAATCTATGATATATTCCTGGTGGTAGGTCAATCAAGTCACCACGAGTCATGTGAATACGTATCCATTTTTCTTCTGTGTCACGGATTTCAAAATAACCGTTCCCTGATGTTATTAGACGTATTTCAGGATCCTCATGTAGATGTTCCTCATAAAATCTGGCCATCTTAAAAAAAACAACAAAACCCCCAACAAACTATCAATATCTTGCATAAATTATATAATTTATTATGTGTTTCCGGTGCATTCTTTTCAACAATTTGACGTTTAACAAATTTGTATCCCCCAACGAAACTATCATGGAAAAAATAAATACCTGCACAGGAATATAATATATCCCTATTGGTTGCGCGACTCTGTGTTCAGAATGCAAATCTTAGTCAAACGTTGACAATAGTAAAAGGCTTTCATCACTGGCCTCTTTTGTGGCAAGTGTGCTAAGGGTTCCTCGTGAGAACAAGTGATAACTAAAGTAACCTCACCCGGACCGCGGGGATGGTGGCTGGCAGTTGGGGCATTCGCAATGGTCGTCAAGAATTGGTTGTAGATTATGTGTGTCGGGACGAAATCCATACGAAGAGTTGGAAAGGGGGGCATAAACAAGGCCTAATCGTTCTAGCTCTTTACCGCACAAGTTATAAAAAAACACCATCTAGACTGAGATTGAAATTGTGACAATTAGTGGTTAGTAGCTGGGTCGACGAACTATTGACGACCGTATGTTTCTAAATTATTCTCACAGACCTGCATGATCTACAGTCTGAAACAAACATTTATTAAAAGAACACAAATAAACTTACTCTTTTTGCATGCTCTTCTGTGGTGTCGGGAATAATCTCCAACCAATCATAGTGTTCATATCCATGTTTTATTCTTAGTTCTTTTAGCTGATTTTCATCATCACAAGCATCGTCCGATACCTATATAAAAGTAATACGAGCTCTTCGGTTAAAAAGATTGATGGAATGCAATGGGGTTTAACGTTCTACTTTTCTGCACCGACACTAATGAAGACTGGTATACGCTATACAATGTGTTACGAGAGAAATTTTGCCCCAACAGTTGCGCTAGGGCCTACTCTTATTTCGAGTTACAATCGTCAAGGGTTCTTGTCATTCTGAACATCTGAGACACGCTACCTGCGGAGAAGTATCTCAGACACAGTCAGTAGCCATGATATCCATATCACGTGATCGACACATCACAGGTCATGACATTGGCCATCCCAAACTTAGGCTGCCTATCTACAGCTAGCTCCGGCTGAGAATACATTCTGGGAAACGTATGACGTAGATGGGTCGCTGCGTGCAGTATGGACATTGGCGTCAATGGGTCATGAGGTCAACATTGTGAACAATAGGTTTATCTTCAGCATTGTGTCCGTTGCACCCATAAAGACTAAATAATTCGTACAGTCCCAACATGTTCTCTCTTCTTCCAATGATTTTTTCACAAAAATAACATCTACAACTCATAGAATTGACGTTGTCTTCAATGACAGCGTCTGCGAGGGTTGTTCATAGAGGCCGCCATATTGCACTATTTTGTGCGTCGGTCGGGTCTATTTCAGATAATACACAATCAATTCTGTTGATGTTTTTAGCGTTGGGATTGACTAATAGTTAATGTGTTTCAGTTCTAAAACAAATATTTTAAACTTTAACGCAAATTTAGAAAATAGCCAAATTTTAGCTGGGATTACTGAGCAAAATGGCCATTCACTGTATACGTGCGAAAAAAAAGCTAGCCACCAATTAATTTTCGTACGTTAGTTACGTACGGGGTTCTTGTGTACACGGGACCCCGTTTTCTCGACCCACCCAACGACAAGACACTGTCCTTGCCAGGTCCTCCACCCTGCACTACTGACATGTGTGTGTGTGTGTTGGGGGGGGGGGGGGTCTGGGCGGATCTTATAATTGACACGAGAGAATGCTTCGATAAGCTAAAAGAGGTAATGTATTTTCTAACAACTGTTGAAACATCAAGCTAGAAGGAGGAATGCTGGTAAAGGTTTTGGGATTTAATCTAAAATCAAAGACTTGAGAACTTTGTGTAGAGGTTCCAACGGTTCTCTATAACAAAGCAAGTGACATTGCAGCATTGGCACACAAGCCCACGGAACGCCTTAAACAACTTTGAATATAGTATAAGGATACTGCTAGACAAAGGCTATATCCGCTAATAGGCATTACAAAATAATGCTTACCTGGATATATTTGACACCAGTTCGTTGAAATAATTCATCAGTACTTAGGAATATCGGTGGAGATGTTTGGTGAGGAAGAGATGGATTCGATTCATCAGAATCTCGAAGCCAGATCTTCACCATGACTGTATTCAGTGTTGATACAGGTATATAAAATAATGTTTATATTGGAGTAGGACTGGAAAAATAATATTTAAATAAAAAACGACTTAAATATGTACGACAAAATGATAAGCTATTACGTTTGACTCAGCACGTTTACACACTAGTCATTATGACCTTTTAAATGAAAACATACGGAGGTCAATCAATGATTAAGGTCACAATATTTTCAGGTCCGATTTCATGTATAATAATCGGAGATTAAAAGTTAAAAATAAGCTTAACGGCGGTTATAAACTTCATTTATAGAACATATTATCAAACAACATTAGCCTATAATATATATTATATATTGGCCAAATCTAAATATATATGAAATTTGAATTACATAATACGTGATATAGTTTTCAAAAGTTTGTAACAGGAAGTTTGTGGTTCAAGATTTTTAAAATCTAGGTTTCAGAAACTGATGATTTTCCCCAAGTATGTAATATCTTTGTATCGGGATTGCTGTCCAAATGACTCGACAATATTAACTTAACCCATCTTCCCCAAGTCCTGTTCAACTAGCACAATACTATCCTGGTTTCCCATAGTTTAACATTTATTATAGTATTTGATTGTCGACAATACAATGACAACAACATCCTGGTACACAATTGCAATGCAGTTTTATGGTGTAAAATACTTCGATATTTTTTAAATAAAATCTTCCCATACAAAAACATACATGCATCAAACGCCAAGAACTCGCGGTAACAGACCGTTTCATTGGCTAATTCCTCATTTCAACCAGAACGCCGGTAATATAACAACTCATCCATATCCTAGTGTAGTGAAGACAAGTAAAACGAAATTTTGAACTATAAAAAAAGAAACGAAATAGGATCTGTGTTTTAATCAGATTGTCCAATGTGACAACTATATACAAAATGGCAGGCAACAGCACCCACCGCTCCAAAATAAAAGTGTAGCTGTACTATTATATTGGATGTAAGCACTAGTTAAAGATACATTATGGAAAATTTAATAAAGAGTTGGCAGTTTTCACTATAATAGTTAAAAAAAAAATAGATGATGTAAAGGGAATATGCTAAAAATTTCAATCAAATTGCTTCACCCTAAGCCGAGAAAACCTTATTTTAAAATCTTTGTAGCCTCGATTTTCTTTGTTAGCACTGTCACGATAATTAACAACGTCTCGGTTATCTATTTTTGCGTTTAATCATCAACGGACGTTGAACAGCAGATCGGATTCAAATCTATTGAAAGACATGCAATAGGCAGGTTTAGCTCTTGCATAGTGTTTAACTTTTAGAAACATTTGCTTTCAACGGCTATGTTTGCCCCCCCCCCCCCCATTAATCTGGTCTGCCCTCTGTCCCCCCCCCCCCAATAATTTTAGAAAATAAAAAAAGTATTTGTGATACGTTTCGGTGATCAATACCTTCTACGGTGAATAAATCCCACATCCCCACTCAGTCATAAACTTGCATGTTGTAGAGCATTTCCGACAATCTATTTTTCAAAATTTTCTTGGCGAGGTCCCCAATGGACTCGCTACTTTGGCGCTCACAAGGGGAATTCGTTGAGGTTCGCAAGTCCATTCGTTTGACATTTTGTTCTCTAGTCAGATAAACTAGTGATCAGGCGACGGACGGTATCTGGTCAGATCTATTTATCTCGACGATCGGTGCCTGGGAATACTGTAAGACAGCATTTCCGGCAGTCTATTTTTCAAAATTATCTGGGGGAGGACTCCCTACTTTGACGCTCGTGAGTGGGCTTCGTCGTGATTCGCAAGTCCGTTCGTTTGACACTTTACCTCATCGATCAGTGCCTGAAATACTGCCAGGCTGCATTTCCGGCAACCTGTTTTTCAAAATTTTCTGGGGGAGGCCCCCTACCCCTAGTTGAAGCTCGTATCTTTGCCCCCTTAACCTTGGACTTTGCCCCCAGATTTGCCCCTCCAATCACCGACGGCTGGCGCCGCCACTGCCGTTGGGGCGTTTTCGAGATATTCGGGGTCAAAAGTCAAATGGGTTCATTTGCACTGATAGTGAATGCGCAGTCATTCTTGTATCATGAAAATAAGCTGAAAATGATCGAAAATAATTACACTTTCAATAAAAATGTAAACTTAATAAATTCACCTTTGTTCTTTGTGACCCCAGATTGGCCCAGATGTCAAAAGGTCAAATTTTCCGTTTTAGCACTAGGAAGATTTAAAGTAATAAATGTCAGCGTAAAATATAAAAAAAAACTAAAGCGAAACCTGTTCTAATTAATAATAGAAACATTTAAAATTTATCTTTAGGTGGTCTTAGCACCGAACTTTTACTTTGGAACGTCAAAAATGATCTTGCATAACAGAACCAAAACGCTTCGGAACCTGTTTCAAAAATACGTAAAAACTGTTAAATCAAAATCTCTCCGAATTAGTTTTACAACGAATGCTATACATAATGATACTAGTTGTCTGAAAAAAACAGTTGAATAGTTTCATGGCTGGACTCCAGCCTGCAGGCCGCGTCACAAAGCCTGCCAAAATTTTCCCCGCTAACATTCACCAATACGACATACATATCCTGTGAACTACTACGTACAATGCATTCGTCGGTTTTATCTGCATCCATGTCCCGGCGAAATTCATAAAAACTCATAAAAAATTTGCAAACTTTTAATCTCGTCGTCAGATACGTGTTTTCCCGTCACAGAATAACGTCGGTTTTCCTAGACTAGGATTCTCGGAAATCCATGCGGCCTGGAGTCCAACACTGAAACTATTAAATTGTTTTTCAGATAACTAGTACCATTATGTATATACAATCGTTGTGAAAATAAATCGGAGAGATTTCGATTTGACAGTTTTTACGTATTTTTTAAACAGGTTTCAAAGTGTGTTGGTTCTGATCATTTTCGACATGCTAAGACCCCCTAAAATAAGTATTGTACGTCTAACTCTTCATAAAGTTTATCAACATGTACACCAAGCGCTCAATCTTCGCGTGCAACCTGGACATCACGCGTGCAGGTGTTCCTAATCGTCGGGCTGTCGATTAGGGGAACCCTTACTTTTTTGTCCTGTATACGCTCCATGAGTGTTTTTCGGGGAATCCAGTATTTTTCTAGTAAGATTGGATATCTCTACTTTCCATATATACCAAAATTGCCATACTTTTATTGGAAATAACCACCCGATAAATACTTTTCTTGGAACCTATACAAAATAAACATTGTACCATTGTTACAGTGCACGAATCGTGTATCATAATGCGTTTCAGTGCCATTTGTAACAAGGGACTCGAAGAACGAGGCTAGACATATTCCACAAGTCATGTCAAACGGTGACGCCATATTCTTATCTGGAGAGCATGTGCAATAAATACTACCCGTGTAGACTGGAATAACCAGACACTAGAGATTGCCATTTGATTGAGACTTAACTGGCGTATTTCGCCGAACATAACTGATTTGAAATTACAATAAAAACGGATTCGATTGAATGTAGATCAATTTATATACATTCATATTACATTATTATTATATGCGTTGCGACCCAATTGTGTCAATTTCTAGGTCCCAAATATTAGCGATTTTGCTCCTTTAAGAGTCAAAAATTCAAAGTGTCAATATCATAATCCAATAGATCTATAAGAAGTAATGAGAACCTACCGTAGTCTGCAGATGGAGTGCGTGAAATAGATGATATCGCAGACAACCTGTAATAGTTGAAGTGACCTTCTTTATATATGCGATATCATGTATACTAAGACAACGTATATGTTTACATGGAAAACGAACCCGGATGCACCGATTTATATTCACGTGGTACGTACATTAGCTGGCATATTTTGAACGGTATACCGAAAAATAAATCAAATACATAACAAGGGCAAAAGGGCATTTATATACTTTGGCGAATAGAGATACATATATAAAATTAAGTTAAATATACATCCGTTCAGGCGAAAGTGTTTAATTTGATAGCGACATAGCGGACGTAAAATACAACTAACTAACAACAACAGGGTTCAATGAAAATTCTATCCAAACCATTCATAAAATTATTAAAATTCTTTTGGGTAATATTATACAACGCGCTTACAAACTTTTGAAATCGGACTAAAGCAATGCATTTTATTTCTTTACTATAGTAATTTGCATTTAGGTATGACATTTCGTATAATAACAAATTCGACCCCGTCTAGAACAACGCCTTATGTCCAATGAGTTCACCGAGTTCCGGTAAATAAACCGCCCGCGTACTGGCGCGTTTTCTCGGTTCAGGGTCGAAATCAAAATTCTGCCCTATTTATTGGGGATTCATTGCTTAGATGGTCAAAGAGCGACCAAATTTTCGTTGGGTTAAACGCTTTCTACCACAGATGGAGCAACATGTGTGACAACCTCTTGCTTAAAAGCAGGTATGAGTTTCACCACGGGAATCTTGAGATAGACAAAGAAACTGGAATTAGCATAATAAAGTAAACATGTAAATGTCCGGCATACATTTCAACGTAAGCAATAATATATCCATTCCACTCAAAATCATCAATATTAACGCAAACCTGACAGAAAATGTATATTCAAACCCTTTCCTTCGATTCTATATAAAAAAGTCAACATACATCGCCATGCAAAAGGAGAGAAAGAGGGAGGACTATAACTTTTGCACTATATCGTAGTAATTAATGGTGTCCTGTGTAAAAGGTAAAACTTGTTTAATTGGATATTTCTATATCGAGCAATTCCATTTGTTAACAGTTGTTCTTCTTCCCTTATTCATCAACAATCAATCTAAGAACTCGTCTTTGTTTTTATTCTCTGTGAATACTCGCTAACTTATTCAATTACAGTCACCTGTTTACAGCGAACGGTTACTATACTACCGTACATGCATGTTTATAAACAGTGACTGACACGTGCTCTTATAACGTCACAGTTGGCGTCTCAATTTGTTAATATTAAGGTAAAATAATTTGTACTTGGGGTTCTGCATTGTGTTAACAATTTTAATATTGGATAATGTATGAAATATAACAAATTTACAATTGCTGAGTAGGTGGCCCACTCCTTTAAGGCTTCTATTCTTCACATGCTTGCGCATAAATGATTTTAGTCCAATTCATGTTACACCATATAATGCTGAAGGAAGGTGGTTGAGTCAGTTAAACTTTACGACATTACCTTCTATAAACAAGCCAACAGTGAAGCTGATGTCCCCCACCGAAATTCCGAAATAATAGATGACACATACTAATTAATTGCACGTTTATCTTTTTCAAAAGTATCCAGCAATCAAATTGATTATCAACTATACACTAAGTTTCGTCACTCTCTATCAGATATAATCAAAGTCAAAGATAGCTTATCTCTGCTTACCGTAAGCAGAAAATGTTCATCACCGAACTCCATCAAGGCATTCACCTAATGTTTGAAAATTCTACCTCAATTAGAAGGAGACTTATTGCGTTTCAAAGTCTTGACCAGTCAAATTGCTTATCAAACTGCTTACCCCACATTTCATCACTCTCACTTAATTAAAACTAAAGTATTGACGTGATGAAACTATACACCAAGTTTCATCACTCTCACTTAATATAAACTAAAGTTATGGTGTCCCAAAGCATCAATCAATCAAATTGCTTATCTCTGCTTACCCTCAGCAGAAGATTCTGATCTTCGAACTCCATCAAGGCATTCACCTAATAAACGCCTACACCAATTTTGAACATTCTAGCACAGGCACTTGAAGGGATTAAAATAAAACTTCTTACTACTGCTTGACTATATATTATACTATAATATATAGTCAAGCAGTAGTAAGAAGTAGTAAGAAGTTTTATTTTAATCCCTTCAAGTGCCTGTGCATTCTAGCTCAATTAGAAGGAGAGTTATTGTGTTCCAAAGTCTTGACCAATCAAATTGCTTATTGCTTAATCAGAACTAAAGTTATTCTGTCCCAAAGCATCAACCAATCAAATTGCTTATCTCTGCTTACCCTAAGCAGAATATGCTCATCTTCGAACTCCAACAAGGCATTGACCTAATTAACACCTACACCAAGTTTGAATATTCTAGCTCAATTAGAAGAAGAGTTATTGTGTCCCAAAAAGTGTGACGGACAGACGGTCGGATGGACAGCCAGACGGACCCATTTTAAAAGTCCCCTGCTTTCTTCGAAAGGCGGGGCCGGGGGGCAATTACAAAATAATCAGGAATGACATGCCTGTCTTTAACTTCTATATCAATAAAAGATATATTCTTTCCAGGACAACTGCGACATCTGTTTAAAACTTCCAATTTTATTTGTATCTGAAATATAGCTTGCCCGAAGAACGGGAAAACTAAAATTACAAGACTAGTGTGCTTTTTTTCAATTTTGGGATACTGGGTTTAATGGATTGCAAAATAATTAAAGTTCTGACTGTCATAAGAACATATCTTTAATTTTAACAAATCATTTTAAATTCGCATTCAAAATTGATTTATATTTCATTGATACTAATTCCCATGCATAAACATGCTTTATAAAACAAACAGACATTAAATTAAACATTTGATATAGAGACATTTGAAATAAAAATTAAAGTGGCCTTATTAGGTTGGAGATAAAAAAAAATATTTTTAATTTGAAGTGACTTGGCTATACAGTAAGTATACCCAAATTAGATTGTATTCAATATTTAAGACAAATCTGCCAAGTTTAACATTCAATATACCAGTTGTAAATGGTTTTAGTCTTTAAATCTTCACACTGTATACTATAATAATTCTACATGTGACAATAATATAGATAAGTATATAGATATTAACTGTTGCTTGAAATAACATGACTCTACAAAATAAGTGATAACATGAATCATGTTTTCATAATACAAAGACAGCTCACATCTGTTTGTCTTTGTTATGTTTAAATACATAAATACAGCAAAAATCATTAGCTATTGTGACAAAGTACTCCATAACTTTCATCAAATTGAACGATCATTTAGGTGCATAGAACTTATTGACCTCCAGCTGGGTTTTGATAATATATATGATATTGAGTTTTTCAACTCTGTATATACTTCTGTTAGTCACATTCTAATTAAACATGTAATTAATCCCATATTTACAAGCTACATGTACATATGACCTGTGTACAAGCTCCGCATGACTTCAAAGGAAATACGCATCTGGTCAGTTAATCATACCATGACCTGATAAATAGACAATTCCATATATGATCATGCATGACTCTTATCCACTTGCCCTATTGTCGGAGGCTATACAACCAGGAGTTTGCTGACAGACAGATGAGCGGGGAGGAGAAGAGAAGAGTAGAGACGGAGAAGAGAGGCTTGGACAAGTGCATTGACTCACCCAAGTTCAGCCGCTGTCTTGGCAGAGGGGCAGAATGGTGGATTTACTATAGTTAATGTACCATCCTGATGTGTTCCTGTATAGTTTAAGTTCCTATATTGTTGATGTTCTGGTTGTATTTATGTATCTGTTTCATATTCTGTTCCCATTGTAAATAAATGCTATATTTACTAAACTGATCTATTGTTAGCACTAAGATTGTGCTACACTATGACAGTAATGTGAAATGCTCAAATAAATATAATGAAGAGTAAAGTAAGCAATTATTCTGCAGTGTTTTGAATGAGGTGGATGACAGCTTACATTGCCACTCATAATCATGAAAAATTACTGGACTCCCTGGATATGCTTTTGAGTACATGGTACACACTGCATCAAGTTACTATGTCCTTTTATACAAGCCATAAACTAAGTCAGAAAATTTGGCACATTTTGATCTACAGGGGTTAAAGGTCGTATCTTATAAGCAGCTGATTGCTGTGTGTCTCTTTGTAAAGGATGTGCCAATAACTGAGCCATATAAACATATAATTTTGTTGGGTTTTTAGAAACTTCAAATATGTAGGAGAATCCTCGATGGTCCAGCTTACATAATCTGTTGAATATTTCCTGAAATATAGTGATACAAAAAAAAAACCCTTGTGAAGAATTGATATTGGGGAAAAGTTTTATGGACATTTTAGTCATAAGTCTAATATCTGCACGCTTAAAATCAATGAACGTGTGTCACAGGAACAAACTTGTATATGATCATACAAAAATTTAGGATATGTTTTATAAATTTAAATCAACTTCTCTAAATTCATCATTAGGCTATTTTTTTTAAATAGTCAAGTGAACAGATTACTAAATTTTGTTAAAGTCGCTGATCATCATTGGAATTTAAATCCCTTGCAAACTATAATTATGAATATTAACTATAAGTCCAAAAATATTTAAATTCCATTCAGTATTTCATGGGAATCCTATTAAATGTTGGGTAAAATCTTTTGAAAGGTATCTTTTTAATCTAATTAAAGATACATCATGTAAGATTTTGATAAAGAGCTGTCTGTTCTTGCTATAATATTTCAAAAATAGATAATGCAAAATGAATATATTGAAAATTTCATTCAAATTATTTTATCCTGAGCTATGTTATCACTGTTTATAGTTTTGATAAGATGATGTGTGCATTGATTGTTTATTATCGTAACCACGGTACTGGTACATTTGAGACTTAGGCTCGCGCCTCCATTTTTAAATTAAATCATTAAATGGACAAAACTGTTCTAATATAGTTAAAATCTCGAGCATCTGATGGCATCAAGAGTTGATTATGGAGGGAGGGAAATTAGGTTTAACATCCACTCAACATTAATTAGGTCATTTCGGGACTTACATAGGGTTCAATTTTATTTCAATAATTCGCTTGCGCGTAGGGGTCTTTAACAGTGGGAGGAAACTGGAAGTTGATAATGGTCTTGTCATTTTAATAAATGTCTAATTGATAATTTATATAACATGTAGGGCCTAAAGAAAGACCTGCAATAGGCAAATTTAGCTCTTGAATAATGCACCTTTAAATACCGTTGATTGATATTTTGGTTTGTTTTCTCAAAGTGACCATTCGTAATTTACATTTTTTAGGAAACTATCAAATTTCTTGCGGTTTAATCCACCCCATCACTTAGATTGATTATTTAACGTTTAATTAAAAAAACAAAATCAAAAGTAGAATATCACCCCGCTTGGATTCAATCAGATTTAAAACAGGTCCATCAATTTGGTTCATGGCAAATAAAGATGGCAGCTGTCACGTTACATGGGGAGCAGCATAGATGAATGGAATTTTCAATTTGACATATCTTTGTAAATACTGAATGTAAGGCTACACAAAATAAATGTCTTGTTTTTCGGGCAACTGACAGCTGAAACTATAAGGGGGAGGGCGGGTTATTTTTTTTTTTACCTCATTTCTGGCTAGAGGATGGTGCAAAATAAAATTTGGCTATTGTTGAAAATTGTTGGGGCGGGAGGGCGGCCTTGTATTTTTATTTTTTTTTAATGAGAAAGTCATTACTCGTCTACGGTTTTGCTTTCAGTTATATATTATACATACTTAGAACATAAACCCAAAAATCAAGTCTACTCAAACACTGAACACTGACTGAAGGGAAAGTAATTTTCCATATTTAATTCACGTAATGTAGCTTACTAATGGTAATGGTGACAACCATAATTAAAATTGGTTTAAAATAAAATTCCGTACGACTATTAATAGACGTCCATAATAACGACAATATTTTAAAGAGTAAGCCTCTGTCAGCATGTGTATCAAAAATAATCATCACGGTAAACGACACTTAGATCTAAATCTAGTATCGCTGGTTTATAATGATTGACCTAATTCCAACCAATGCATGTCACGTGTCATCGGGATTCGGGAAATGACTGTTTCTCGGGATATTCGGTGTGTTTCTCAGGATATTCAGTGTTCTATCTGGGGTTTATATCGAATGACTATTTAAATTCAACTAACAACTGGTCAGTAAAACCATCAAATGTGTAATCCAATTATTATTTTCCGGATTATCAAAACTACTGTTAAATGTGCTAATGACCCAGATTCTGACTAAGGTATGGTGACTATCATCGTATCGTATTCGTAGCCACAAGTTATAATAATTAACCTGTTCTACGATTCATTGTTTTATAAGTAGGATTTTTTCAAACATGGACCGACTGAAGCCGGCAATAATGAGCCGATTAAGATCGAATGATTGAAATACATTGCATTGTTGTCAATCACTTTCGGTGTTTAACACGAATCAAATTCTAGTTCACAAGGGGAGGTAATTAAAATCACGTGATACAAAAATGGAGGTTCTTTCGATATCAATGAAAAAGACCCGTAAATGAGCGTTTGCATCTAAATCAGTTTAATACGTTTGAATGGATATTCACGTATGGGGCATGTAGATACATGCGGCATATTCTTTTTATGACTTGCTTATCGATGTTCGGGCGGGCGTTACATATTTTTTATTTTTCATCAAGACTAATAAATAGGCCGCACGCGCAACCAATTTTGCGTGCGGGCGGTGCCCGAGAAACAACTTATTTTATTTGTGTTGCCTAATTGAACCATTTTTAAAAGGAATTCTATAGCGTTAAAATCATGCCTGTAGAGTCTTTAATTAAATGCTAAATAAACAATCTGAGTACATTTTAGTCTAGATTAAGCTGGGCAATTGAAATATTGTCCAAAAATGCAACTGATGATCAACAGTTTAAGTTTATATACTAAATAGACAAAAGCTTACTTCACATTTATTTTCTTCTGATAATGGTTCATGTATGTACAGGGAATCAAAAAAAACATATGGTGATGATTCTAATGTTTTCTGTGACTGAAAATAAAATAAATTGGCATGTGAATTACAATTCTAAAATATATAACAGTAAAATCAGATATTTTCAATTCGCTTTTTGTTTAATATTCCATATTTTATATTTTACCTGGCCCCAAGTCAGAACCAAATTAATTGTCGCTTTGATGCATATACTGACCAAAAATCTCGAATCCAGGTTCCATATAATAGACAGGGGAGTTGGATGGATGAATGATTAACGTGTGCGGCTGTACCATAAGGTCTGTCATTGAGTCAACTGGCGTGGTTTTGATTCCCCGATTGTACGTGACAAGGAGTAGGGTAGGGCCACCTGTCCAATAAAATTGAACCATATGTTAGTCCCAAAATGACCTAGTTTGTGTCTAGTGGACGTTAAACCCCATTTCTCTCTCTCGATCGATATAAAAGACCGACCCTTTGAACCATCTAAGCTGTAAAGGCTTGTAAAGATATATTGCTGAAATAAATTTTAAAAAAACAGCCGGCAAAAATGTACTCAAGTGTCATTTAGCTGTCAGGGGACCAAAGATACTGCATAAAGTAGTAAACATCCCTGGATCACCCTATCTTCGGTTAGGATTTAGATATTGACCAAGTAGATACCTGACAAATTTCAAAGTAGAAATGTTTCTGTAAGGAAGATATTACCTCATAGTTTGTTGATTCTATAAGACAATTAGATCTACCATAAAGAAAGAGTATTCTAACTATATAAGGTGGAGGTAATATGGGATCTTCTACTGTTGGTATAGTTACCTTCTCATCACTATATAACAAAAAAATATAGTACATAATGAAGAAGGAAGAAAGAATGGAGAAAAGCTTAGTACATAATGAAGAAGGAAGAAAGAATGGAGAAAAGCTTAACATCCACTCAGAACTAACATAATAATTTTTTATTTCAATAATATGCTTGTAATATGTGGAACTTTTGCAAAGAAGCAAATCCGGTTTCACCTCCATTCAAAAACATGTTGTTTGTTCTTCTAAATCTTCAAAAGTGATTGTCTAATTAAAGAAGTAACTACTAAATATAACATTGCTATCATCTGAAAATTCTTATTATGTTGTCAATGGTTTTATGACTGATTCATTTATCAGTCAAGACCAGTTGCAGTGGTTGAAGAGGTGTGATTTTCTGGTCTTACAACTATGATATCCATATGTAAAGAGATGAAGTGATATGGGGTTTAACGTCATACCAGGCTTATTAAGATGTGCACATGCCATGCAGTGTACTATAGGATATGAGGGACATTTTTTCCCTGGCAGTGGAGTTCCTGCCTACTCTTCATTGAATTTCAACTGTCCAGGGTTCTTTGAAGTACAAACTGTTGTGTACTTGGGACCGCAAGTTTGTGTCTATGCCTGGGTATGACAATGGTCCTGATACAAGAGTGAGTACTTACATGGCATCAAATAACAAAGACATATCAAATGTTTCTGTTTCTCTAGTAGCAGAACATCTCAAATCCTCTAATAAAGCTATTATCTCCCTTGGATTGTTTGTGAAATCACTCACCTATCATGAAAAAGAAAGAAGTTCTAATACATAATTTATTGGGTCAGTTGTTCTTAGTTACAGTAATAAAGTTTATTAAAAAAAAATATGAATACAAGCCAACGATGATGCTGTTGTCCTCTGCCAAATTGAAAAAGTAATTAGATGACACACATTTTTTTCATTGCATATTTATATTTTTAGAAAGCATCAATCATTTTGCTTATCAGTGCGTAATGTGAGCAGAAAATGCTCATTATTGACTCAATTAGAATCAAAGTTATCGACCTCCAAAGTCTCAACCAATCAAATTGCTTATCACTCTGTTTAACCGGAGCCGAAAATGCTCATTATCAAACTTAGTCAAGGTACTGATATTATGAAACTACATCACTTAACTAGAAGAAAAGTTATCGTTTCCCAAAGCATCGACTAATCAAATTGCGTATCTCTGCTTAGCTTAAGCAGAAAATGCTGATCACCGACCTCCGTCAAGGCATTCTCCTAATGAACACCTACACCAAGTTTGAAAATTCTAGCTCAATTAGAAGCAGAGTTAATGTGTCCCAAAAAGTGTGACAGGCAGACAGACGGATGGAAACCATTTTAATAGTCCCTTGCTTTCTTCAAAAGGTGGGGAAAAATATTATTAGTTATTTAAAATTCCTACATAAAATGAGAAATGGTATTAGGTAAGCATACTTTGCCTTAAAAAATTGTGTTGGACCCATTATCTATACATTGTACTTCAAATAGAATATTTAAGATATATTAAGGTCGGGAAACGGTATATAATAAAATTGGTTATCTTTAATGGGTAATCTAAGACTCCAGACATAAATTGGTTTTTGGATGCATAATTTTATTCAAATACGATCAAACAACAGCTTCATGTAAAGACTGGATAATAGTCAATCAGAGTAAAAAAAATATTTGGGGTATCAACAGTGACGATATGAATTATAAGGTATTTTTGAAACCATACAAATCTACAAATAACTTAATTGTCATTTCCATGTAGAATCTCCTTTTGATGCGGTTGGTAGAGTACCTGGATTTGCTTTCAGATCTAGATTACAGAATGACCAACACAATATCATCAATAAGAAAGATTCCAAATACAAAGCAAGCACAGATTACACACTTGTAACCAGCAAAATGTTTACAGGATAATGTAATACTCGTAATTTCTTATCAAATGATGAATTTTGCCACCGCTTCACTTCCGTTCTATTTGCAGCATTATACTCGACATTTAGTACATGTAGATGACAATGTATAAAATTCTCGCTAGACAATTATGAACCAGTTCCTCACAAACGTTAAGGATATTGTCTTGGGGTCTGGAAATACCCCTTGTAGATGAAAACTTACCCATTCAGCTGTACTATCCAATACTACTAAGGCAAACTCATGTTCACAATTGATCTTTGATTTACTATTAATATATAGTCTCAAGGCTTTCTGAACAACTTGAAGCTGTGTAAATTTATCACTGAAAAAACAAGTAAATTAACTTTCAGAATTAGAAATCAACAAAAAAACGTGCAATAGATTAAAAAAATAAAATCGGGGGAAAAAGTCTTACCCAGCTCTACTTCTAAAAGTATCTTTTTCCATTTCAAAATTCAAGTCTAAACAAATAATCTGAAATGGACAACCAAAAACATGCCTTAAAAATATGAAAGTACAAAATCAATAATATAGTTTAGCCTGCATCCTTGCTTTAAAAAGTTTTCCATGTGTCTCACAGTCTTGGATTTGGTACATATAATATACCTGTGTAAACCAATGGCATTCATAGATACATCACGTATGTCAAGCAGTGATGGGATTTCAAAATTTTTCTTGTCGGACATTTTTACCAAAAATAAAGGGGCATAACTCTTATCGTTAATTAAGCAGGCGGATTCAGACCACAATTAAAAATCATGTATCAACAAAATATTCGAATTCATATGTAATAAAAAAAAATAGGTGAGCCTCACTGTCAAGGCTGTTTAAATCAATATTAAATTGTAGGCTACTTCAGGCCTGCTTTATAGGTCCATGAATAGGTCAATTTCTTTTATCAAACTCCTAAATCAAATTATCAAATTAGTACTTATTCTGGGAGTTCAATTAGAAAATAAAGCAAACCTAATTATTTTTGTCAGGAAATAAAATCATTGGTTTTAATATGCATTCTTATCATTGATTGTTGTCATTTTCCTTTAAAACTGATACTAGTAACAAACTTCTAACTACATGTATTCACCATGGTGATGTTTTACTGGGATTTTAATTATGTCACATGTCAACACACTAGCTGTTTTTGCTGCATTTTCTAGAATGCAGAAAACAGTTATTAAAGCAAGATATTTTATCTGATGGTTAAAAACATGCTAGTAAAACATTCAGAAACACATCAATTTTGACCAACAAACTTCTGCCCCCAAAAATCTAAGGTATGCTAGTCTGAGTCAGAATGGGGAAAGTATGTTGAAAATTGCATTACTCATTGATTGATCTCAAGTTCAGGTCCATATAGCAACGATATAATTTAATTGCAAGCCATCTTGATGGTAATGAAAATGTCAGTGATACACATGTATGTGACGTCACTTTTTTGTGAATTCAATTAGCGTAATTACTTGAGTAATTACAACAAAAGAAGAGGTAGAATATAGCAGTGCACCAATCTTTATCATTGGCCAATTTTAATGCATATTATTCATACCATTTTACTGAAGGCCATAACAGTGAAAGCAGGCAAAGTGCATCAAATTTTTTTATGTTGTCTATTAATTAAGATGCCAAGAGCTGATCTATTGTTTCCTTTTGTTATAACACTACATGTTTGTCTAGAAAACTTACTATCTTTTCAACACAATTAACTTTAGGTAAACCTAAACCAACTTGTTTTTCATCTTCTTCATTCAATTCAGCAGGCATATAAGAAGAATCTGTAGATATTTTAACTGATTCCACATCATTGATTGTATTAACACTTGAGACTCTTTCATCTTCAATCGATTGAGGAATTACATCTACTGTGTCATCACTGCCATCCTCAGTTTGTTGACAATCATCAGGTTCAGGAGTTTGTTCAATATGATCTGAAGATTGTTCTAATTCCTCCATTATTTCGATGCTCAGTTAGAAAATAAATGGAATGGGGTTCACATCCTACTTTTCTTCACCAACTGAATTAAACAGAAAATAGTATAAAACAATTTTCTTTTAAGAGGTAATTCCCCCAAAAAACTCAATCTATCTTTGCTATTTGTAACTAATTATGTAACCTAATAATACTAAAGAGATAAAACCTATATTCATTTTGGGGATTTACTTTAGAAGTCAAGCGGTCGGTCAAACAAAATCAGCCAACAGAATAACTATGCTTCAATCTTCACCATATTATCCACCTCTGCAGAATACTACCTGATGTTAGTGTGGTTGGAGTGAAATATCTAACTGAAACAAAGTTTAATGCAGACAGTGTACAGTCTATCATCTTTTTGCTTTTATGTTATGACACTCATACTCTAAAAATTATTGATTTAAATGTGTGGTCAGTGACTCTGAGCATAGTCAATTGAATATGTGGTAGTGTGTATTATTGTATGAATATCATTTGAAATAAATGTATTTATTTAGTGTATATTTGGTATTCGGTGAATTGAATTCTCTCAATCACAAAAATAGTGACAATCAATGGCTGCAGGCGGTTTAATACCTAGTTCATTCATACCACAAATTATCGTCAATAATCCCAACTCACTCATCAATTATCGTCAATAATCCAAAACTCACACATTAGAATGGGTTCAATAATCAACATCAGATTAAATATGAGCAAAAGGCAAGTAGCAGTATTTGGTTTTTTTCAAAGATCAAATATCATCAATAATCCCAACTTACTCATCAGTTGCAATAGTAGCCGCGTCATGTCTTATCAATATCACTCAGTTGCAAAAGTAATCTAGGTGACGTGAAATCCTGTGCATGTTCTAATTCTAATTTAAATCAATCAATTATTTCAAAAACATATATTTCTAGGAAGAGTATGAATCAGTTTGAGGTACGAATGAACTAGGTATGAAACAGCCAGGTTACGAAACAGCTCGCATTCAAATTTCAACTGACTGAATATGAAATTATCTCTACCAAAATTATCACAATTCTACTAGTTTACTACCCCAGTCACTGGGAATGACAGAATTCTGTGTCACTTGAATGCAATAAGTACAGAATCTAGGCTGACAATCGATCACCCCTTCTAGCACATACAATGAGTATGAGTTACGAGTACAGGTGCTTACTAGAGAAGGCCTCCTGCTAACTCAGCTGAGTCAGTCAGTCTCACAGTGACAAAAAAGAGTATTTATTATAATTTTATTAGAGTGAAATGGATATTGCCATTGGATATTATTTTTATCTTATATTTATTATATTAGTACTGTAATTATCCTATGTTTTAGAAATTAATCAGCTCCATGAACTGCAGATTATCGACATATCATTTAAATACAAAGATTAAATTAATAAATGATTCAACAAATATAATTTTAAAAAAGAGAAGTTTAGTTTGTGTTACCTTAATTTTTGTTTACAAATTCCCCCTTCCTTTCAGAGTTATCTGCCCTTATCCGGAATAAAATATCTAGTAAACCAAAATGTTTCGTTGTTTGTCTCTATTTTATTGACTACTGAAATTATAATGTATAATATTTTATCCTCACAGTTATTAGTAATATAATATAGATATTCCTTACATACATACGCTTATATTCTAATGCAGATTTATGATTTGCGACGAATTTCAATTTGGAGTCGAGATATTGCTGTAATGGCGAAGTAGAAGGAGGTCGATGAAAAAAACAGATTTATGATGTATTCTATCTTATTTCATGTGAACTAAGCTTCTAAATGTACATTGTTTTGTTTAGTTGATAAGCATATTATAATTATTTTCATTTAACCAAATAGGGAACTTACAGTTTAGATAGTCTGGACTCTTTTGGTGGCTCAACAAGATTGTCAGAAGATAAAATAAATAAAATGTCAATGATTAGCCAGATTGATGCTCGAAACTAGGGCCTAAATTAAGACAGTGACTTTGTGATGACATTCATTTATTTACAATCAGATAATATACATCATATCGAACGCATTTTTGTGTGACACTCAATATTCATTATTATGCATTATATACTATAGTCCTCATCTTGTTCTTGATGATGTATTATTTCTCAGTGTGCAACTACATGTAGGCTACATGTTAGGTGAGCAGTCAGACCCGGAGTCAGCTACAAGCATACATGTAGATCTGCGGATTATAGTATAGATCAGTCAAAAATGAATTTAGCAAATAGATCTATTGATGTATTCTATTTATCGTAATACAAGGCAAACAACATTTCTGTTACACACCAGTTCACCCTTGGTTGTTTATCCTGCTTTTATTTAACAATACCGGTACATGTACTACCACCATCGAATACTTAACACTTATTAAGTTATTAAAATATTATTTATCGTAATACAAGGCAAACTATTCCTTTTACAAACCAGTTCATCCTTGGTTGTTTAACCGGCAATTATTTAACAATACATGTACCATCGGAATCAAAATGTCATAAGGATATAGGAATCATAACTGGCTTGTTATCTTTGAACATTTTCTAACACTGCCAGAGAAATTTGCCATTAAATTTTATCATTAATAATACTATAGTATAGACAAATTTGTCTAAATATGAGTCATGATTTTTAGAGTTACATTCAGAGCAGGAAGAAAATTGTGATTTGTAATCCATGGTGTGCAGACTACATGTACAGTAGGCCTAATCCTAAAGTAGAAATGTTCAAGAAAATTAGAAGGCAAGAGATTGATAAATTTCACCTACGAACGAATCTACACCATCTTAACATAGATGTAACTTACATGTATACGCACCAGTATTTGTATTGGCTCGATTTTAATCCCTACTCTAAAACTCGTAAGCTATGTCATCAAGAAGATATGGGTCTTACATACATGTTGGTCGTTGAATGGAAATGAGTTGTAGATGTGATTGTTTATGTCTTGTACCTGTATTGAAGTACGCTTGCTGATTTCGTGGTTGAGCTTTTTGATAAGCATTATTCTTTAATATATTTTCAGATTTCCTTGTAACTAGAGTGGACACAGTACAAATAAAACATATTTCTACATAGTTTCGCTATGAACAACATCAATGATAGTGATCTTGAAAATAACAATACCTCTACCATAAATAACAATGAAAATAATAACAATAATCCTGCTAGTGTGAATAACAATGTTGTCGGAGCTGGAGCTGGAGCTGTTCCTGTTGACCCGAACACTGGTGGGTCACCAGTAGATCAACCCCAAAATGGAGCTACTAGTCAAGCGAGTGGAGGAGCTGGCAATGTCAGTAATCCTTCAGAAGAAGTTGAGGATGCCAACATCTCTCTCAGAACTGCAAATAATACTGTGCTTTCAAATGATTCTCCAAGCTCCTCTGGCATTGATGCCAGTAATAATTCAGAAAGTACTAACCCAGGAACAAGTGTTGATTCAGTAAATTCTGGTACAGGTAATGGGAGTCAGACAACTTCTAGTAGTACTCATGCTGCCACCAATCAAACTACAACTAGTGGTGATAATACAAGTACCAGTGCCGCTGGCAGTACTGGAGACAGTATTTCTAGTGGTGTAAGTAATACAGGGAATAATTCTTCAAGGAGTGGAAATGACACTGGAAATAATGACAACGAAGCAAGAAATGGTAGTTCATCTGAGAATAATGCTAGTAATGATACCAGTACACCTGGTGGTACTAATCCTGGGAATGATACTTCTACTGGTGGTAATAATAATAATACTGGAAATAACACTACTACTGGTGGTACTAATACTAGAAATAATAATACAGGTGGTCCTAATACTGGAAATAATGCCACCGGTGGTAATACTAATACTGCTGGAAATAATGGACCTGCAGGTGGGACTAACAGAACCAGGAACCGTAACCAAAATAATCCCATATTACATGTTAGAGACAGACTGTTTCATGCATTATTCTACAGAATTGCTATTACTTATGCACGAGCATTCCCTAAACCTTTAAGAAGATTTTTAGAATTTGCAATACTTGTCAAGGTAAGTTTTGTTTCTGGTACCGTAACACTATTTTGTTTATGTCTACATTTTGAAAAAAGTTTTCGGGGCAACCCTATCCATTAATTTAGAATAGACTTTGTAATTTTCTTCCCAATTGTCCAAACTACACCTCAAGATATAGGAAAATACTCTGATGCAACAGTTAGTTGAATTATCAGTTTGTAAAAAAGGAATCACTTTATCAAGTCTGCAGTCTTAAGACAACAGAAGTAAAATTTAATTTCTCTGTGAAAACATCTTGGAAAAAAAGTACTATTAATCCTTACTGAATGAGTACTCCAAAGTGTGAACAAAACCTCTAGATGCTTCAAGCCCACTTTACTTGAAGCAGGTTCCATTTGAATTGTTGGCGCATCAAATACTCACAAGCTGAAAGGCATCAGTCGGCAAATTCCAAATGCATGTCCTACCTTATTGTGTGAGCCATCATTGAACAACAATAACACTGACAAGCAATGACTGTCCAGTAAAACATGTATATCCAATGTTACATTCACCGAGACATAATAGATGATAATTCTACAACCATGTTAGCAGTAACTACATTTGTAGTTATCAACTTTTGCGTCAAGCTTTTGAGTGTTAGGATGTTAGATGTTGCGTCGCCAGAATACACGTATCAAAGAGTAACATCAAACTTGTTGGATTACTGAATGAGTAGCTGAGCTTTAGGTTATAGAAATTCCTATGCATCTTGAAATTTCGGTTTCTTTGTGATCCAGTTCCTAAGACACAACATATGTATTTTGCATACATATGATTTGTTTTGGAGAAAATAGTCAATACAATTGCAAGCCTTTTTAATAAGGCACCAGTGAAAGACAATGTTAGGTACAAATTCAGGCTTTGTAAGACACAACTATCCCTGGTGTCTATTATTATGTTTGGAACAATTGTGACTTTCTTCAACTTTTTATAGGTATTTTTAAAACCTATGTGGCACATAGTTCAAAATGCTGGATACTTGTTAAATAATGCCTGTCCTTCTGAGAAGTCCAGACATGCAATTGTCAGTTTGACCAAGGGTGTGACACTTGTGACAGCCAAGAATTCCATAATTTTGTGTACCGGTAGCTATTGTTACATGTATCTATTACTTTTTGTTTTTCAGGCTTTAGTTGTACTTGGTATACTAGTCTATATTCACATTGTTTTTGCAAGAACACCAATAAACTGTTTACAGCATGTTCAGAAGAGTTGGCCTCGACATGGAATTTTACGGGTGGAGATTGTGAAGAATGCATCTGATAATTATAGTATTATTAACTCGTATGAAAAAGAATACTCTGATTATCAGTTGTTTATTGATGGAGACCTAGCTCATGATTTGGTTGGTGAACACGATGAACCGTGGAATGATACAGAGCTTTTAAATAGTGATAATAGTACTAATAGAACTATTATTAAAGTTGAAGATATTATAGGGGTAGAGGTGGCAGGAGAACAAAGTCCAGAAAAAGAGGATGCTGATTATGGTAATATGACGACAGAAGATCTTATAGAAGAAAAAACAATCTATGAAGAAGTACCTGAAACTCTCAAAGACACGATTACAGAGTTAGAGATGTTAGCTAAAGCAGGTAGAAGTACATTCCACTAACAATTAAACATGTTTACACTGGCGTGATGAATTGATTTCAGTGTGTGCTAATACATGAAAAATATACTGAGACATTACTTATGTAGGGGGGTTGGGTGGTCCAATGGTAGAACTGTGCACTTGGAAGGGGCATTATGGGAGATTAGATAAAGAGCCTATGGTTCTCGCTATAATAGTTAAAAAACAGATAATGAAAAGACAAAATTCAAATGCAATAAATATCGCAGACTAGCGATGGCATTGAGAGTTGATTATGCTCTGGATAATTTAATTAATGTCTAATTAATAATATAGATATTATTTCAGGCCTAAAGAAACACCTGCAATAGACAGATTTAGCTCTTGCATAATGTATGTTTAGTTTAAATCATGATATGTGTCATTGAATCAAATGGCACTGTTTGGATCCCAAGCTAGTACTTTTGACTTCTTTTGGTTCACCAAGCAAAGTTATTGTCTCAGAAAAATACATGTACACCAAATGACATTTAAAAAATAGTGTTGATAGCATGATCAATTGATTTCATTTATTTCAGTATGGCCAGAAGAAAAATATATTGTAGAATATGCCTTAGAATATGGTTTTCTTCGCCTGTCTCCGAAGACCAGACAGCGTTTAAATATAACTGTAATGTTAGTAACACTAGGTATGTTCTACTTTTATGAAGATGACGTATGTGTAATACAGGCCTGGTGATTTTCCTAGAAAATACTTGAAAATTCTGGAATTGGCCTCTAGAAGCTGAAAATTTACATTTTGAAACAGAATTTCACAGAAAAATATTATATTTTGCTCATTTTTTCTCCAAAGATTATAGAATTTGTTATGGACTGGTCTAAAATTACGCTACAGATTATAAATCTGATTGGTCCAACAATTGTACTAAGTTAAACGTTCCAGAATTGAATTCTCTCATCATTAGTCTTAATTCCTCAGAAGATGTCAGTTGAGTAAAATGAGAATTTTGGGCCACAAGACATGTGCTGACTGGATATATTATCTCAAACTCATCACGATAGCTGAAACGTTTGATTACGTCATGATTGTGCTCACATCACATCTGTTTTCTGGCTTGCCAGAACTGTGTCATTGGATTGCAAAGCAATATATTGAAACAAAGATTTACCAATAGTTAGTCCAGATATAACTTCGTTAGATGTACATGTAACAAAACATATCCCATTTAACAGCCATTGTTGAATGATACCATCTTGTTGTACCTCGTAGCACTTCCGGTAATCACATGATTAATAGTTAATTATCTGGGCCTCCACCGATCACGTAAAAGGAACTGTGAAAATAACAATAAACCTGGGTTTATCTGTTAATTAATCTTTTGTTTTATTAAATGACAAACCCTGATCATTTTTTTCACACGTAACGAGAAACATTATTTGATACTGATTGAATAAACTATAAGTACTGACAAAGCTGAGTTTTGTCATGATCATCTAGTATCTATTGTCCATGTCACTTTGTTGCTAAACAGAAGTTTTAGCGCCTCCTATATTACATACAGAGTTACACCCCCTGAAAATCGGTGACAAATTTAGCAATGTTTTTTGCAAAAATAGATAAATATTATCGAATACATCACGATGGTAGACAGTAGTATCAATGTCTACTATAGGTACAAAATGATATGTTTACATCAGAGATTTGAGTCAAAGGATTTTCGTTCAAAGCAAGTTTCAGCGACGGCCAAATTTACCGATGCAAGTATTGATGTTTGCTCAAAATGCATCCAAGCGTAAAATTTACTTGACTCAGCACTAATAAACACTGAGATTTTATTAAGAGGTCACTCCCATTAAGCGGTCAGTCATGAGTGGCTGCTTGATACAGTTTCTACTGTATTTACACAATTAAAATATGTTTCAGACCCTTCAAAAGATGAGTGTTTTGGTGATGGGTTTAGTAGGTTTCTGTTAGAAGAGTTTCTAGGTTATGATGATATACTCATGTCAAGTATAAAGCAACTAGCTGAACAAGAAGAAAATAAAGGTAAAATCGTTTTCTGTTGGTTGTGTTTGGGAATGTGAATAGAATGTCCCAGGTTAAACTCCCAGTGTTGGTTGGTTAGGAAATGGTGGCAAGTTGTTAGATGTAAAGTCTGTGTACTGAAAAGATAATATTTCCTAGTGTTTTAGATGGGGTGGAAAACTATGGTCGACATAGGCTGCAACTTCAATTAATCCCTTACAGTTTGAACTAGAAGGCTATACGTGGAAAACACTGCTGACCAGGCTAGATTCTCCTTATCTCACATTTTACCATAGTAAAAAAAACATAAAAATAAGTTAAGTCACAACATAATTAGGTAAACAGTATTTTAATCTGTTTTTATTGCTTACTCAATAACAGGGAGATTTGATTTGGGTTCTTCACTTAATTTAGGAATAATGTTTAATATTTTTTATTCATTTTAGGTTTTTTGAGGAATGTAGTTACAGGGGAACATTATAGATTTGTTAGTATGTGGATGGCAAGAAGTTCTTACGTTGCTGCAGCTTTCATTATGTTAGTCTTTGTAAGTATATGTCATATTTTGGACTTTTTATTTTATACTGGGGAGCAAATCCCTAGCCATTGCAATGAAAAGTAGAAAAGTAGTTTTGGCTAAAATAAAAAAGAGGTAATGGACCTCACTTTGAGACAATTCAAAATGGAGGAAACGGGAAAAAACAGATCTAACACAGTAAGAAAGTTCTTGCAAATTATGCAATAGTTCAAACTCCTACATTCGCAGTGGGAGGGGGGGGGGCATCACATGGGCACAAAACCAGGCCCAACTTTTCTACATCATTTTTTTGCTTAGCAAGTTAAAATTTTTATTGAAAGAGTGATTAGTTTTGATCATTTTCAGCATGTTTTCATGATACAAGAATGGCTGCATATTCACTTTCAGTGTATATTACCTCATTTGACCTTTTACCCTGAATATCTCGAAAAGGCCCCAACGGCAGACTGATTACCACTCGGCAAAATTTTACTATAGAAAAATTGGGTCTGTTTTTGTGCCCATTTGATGGACATCCTCCAGCACTGAGCCTCCGGTCTACATACTGTTGACATTTCATAGTTTCATCACTGTACAGCATGGGTTCCATGTCGGCCATATATATGACCTAGGACTATGGGAAAGTAATTGAAACTAGGTCTGACCCATCATTCATTTTGTACGCCGGAAAAATACCATATTTTTCAAAACACAGTTTTCAAACATGGCTACGATCAACCTCCGCCATGTAACTATAAAAGTAATGTTGGTCATAATTTAACATGGTGTTATAAAACTCCCAATGTGTTAGTATGTAGTCATGGAGACCCCTTTGTCCTTCAAATTTAAATGTATGCAAAGATCTGACAATAAATACTATGTAATTTAAACTGTTTCTGCTACTTTCAGACCATCTCTGTTTCAACTTTACTGAGATATTCACATCATCAAATCTTTTTATTTATAGGTAAGTCATCTGTTTCTTACATTTCACTTACCAGGGTCCCCCCAATAATTTGGCCGCAAGTACTCCTTTCTCCAGGTTATTGAACGCAAGTAATTATGCGGTTAGATATAAACAACGCCTGGTGTTAACATAGAAGTGAGACTTTCAGAAGAAAACCCTATTCTCTAGACTGATCCCTGGGTTGAGAGACTCTCAATTACGAGGTCACGGTTAGTTAACTGAACAATCAATCTTTATTTCAACCCCATCTTACTTGTATTGTATCTGTGACAAATTAGGTAATTAAAAAAACGACAGAATAGAGTTTTTCTCACACACTTTCCGTTTTCCTTATCCATCAAATAATTCACTGCTATGCACCCACATTTTGCAAGAAATGTATGGAGAAGAGGTAAAATCAATAGGGCTCATCCTCTCATTTATGATCTTTTGATCCTTAACATATTTATTAAGTTTCCTCAGAATTTGACAACGATTGTAGCCCCTCTGGAGGGCCCACAAAATTCATACATATTTCACATTTTCTTTCATAAAAAGCAGGGGTTATAGCTCTAGAATGTAAGGTCTGATGCATACCAAAGTCGAACTCATCCAAGAACTTTTGATCCTTAACACATGTTTAAGTTTTATCTCATGAATCGGACAGAAATTGTTGCCTATGGAAAGTCCACAAACTTCATTCATATTTCAAATTTTGTGTAAAAGGCAGGGAGCCAATGCGCACCAAAATTGAACTCAACTAAGAACTAGTCACCTGTTTTAAGTTTCCTCTAAATTGAATAAAACTTTTGACATTTAGATGGCCCACAACCTGGGCAATACATGCTTTTATACTATTTGCGTAAAGGGGAGCGGCCATTTGACTGAAAGCTTCAGTCGGATTTCACAGAATTCGGATTTAACCATGATTATTATATATTTGAACAGTTTTGTAAATAAGATAAAAATGGTGACCTCTAGAGGGTTCACAAGCTAAAAACGTGATATTTCGTACAATCAAGCGTCATAATCCAGAAAGTTACAGTCCAATAGACGCCAATATGGAAAAGAACCCAGACCTTTGGGATATATCACTGATTGGATGAAAATTAGAACCTCAGGGTGGTCCACAACCTGGGTATTTTACATGCTTTTAAGTGTAGCGATCATTTTGTTGGGCAGTTTAGGTTCGATTGTCACGAAATTTGCACTGAACCATAATTATGGTGTAACGGTGATATAGTTGAACGTTTTTTACAATCAAATAAAAACTGTGAGCTCTAGAGGGTTCACAAGCTAAAAATGTATATATATAATATAGCAAGTGACGATCCTATATGCGCCAAAATCGAAAGAAACCCAGATCTTTCGATTATAAACATACATTGTCAGTTTCATTAAAATCGTATAAAAATTGAGACCTCTATAGTGTCCATAACCTGGTATTATTATGTTCAGTATCGCAGGAAACCACCACCAACTGTGTTTGCATGGTGAGGGATTTAAAAAAAGAAATAAAATCTCGCCTAAAGTCCTAGGATGGTAGACCCCCCCCCCCCCCCAATCAAGAATTGCTTCTGTCGGCCCTGCTTACTTGTATTGTAATAAAATGTTTAATAAGTGGACATTATTGTTGGTATATGTGTTATAACACTTCATTAACTAGTGTACATGAATGTTAGTACACCACTCTAGATATTTCTAGTCAATTTATGCACTGTAAAAATGAAATGAAATGGGATTTAACGTCCTGTTGTTCTGCTCCGACTGGGCTAATGGAGACAGGTATATGCCATACAGTGTGCTATGAGGGAAATTTTGCCCAGACAGTGGCACTATGGCCTACTCTTATATCAAATTCCAACTGCCAAGGGATCTTTTACGTTGACGGGACCTCGTTTTTTGGTCCCATCCAAATGACTAGACAGCTGTCCTTCTCAAGCCCTCCGTCCTGCACCACTGACAAGGGGAAAGCATGCCGGAAAATCAAGATGAACTTTCTCAGCCAATGTTTCTGCACTGTAATTAGTCTGCATGAATACACCATTCAAGATATTTCCAGTCAATTTTTCCACTCTGATGAAAATTGGAACTCAATTCGGTTTATATTTAGCTCCATGCTCTCACATCCAAATTTTGTCAGCTGGACAAATGAGAGCTTTAAACTTCAAAGTAGTTCAACAGTCTAGCAAGTCATAGTTGGCTTTTGAAACTATTACTTTACTATATTTAGATTAATGATTAAAATAGAAGTTTTTTATTTTTTTTCTAGTTGATTTACTACAGATGTTAGAAATGAATGCTAGTGTTGCTTTTCCAGCAGCACCCCTTCTGACTGTCATTCTAGCTCTTGTTGGTAAGTCTTGTAAAGTGTTATTAAGAAGAATTATATATTTACAAAAACACATAACATAACTCTGTTTTATGGAAAAAGAAAGTATGCTATGAAATAAGTGGCTTCATTTGTAAGCATTATTAAATAACATGATTCCGTGACAACTACTGTCCTGTTAGATGTCATCACATTATACAATTCTCATGATATATTTAGACCAGACCTAAAAACGTGTGGGCATTTAAAGCAACCTTAGAGCTCCATTTTTCATTTGGTAATCCAACTAGAATTGGTTTACACTAAAACTCGAGTTTACCTTTATTGATGGCTTTCAAATTTTAATATATTATGCTGTGGAGTGATAACTTTTGGCAGTGAAATTCTGAAATGGAGCAATCTTAAATAATTAAATTTTGTCATTGTTATTTTTTTTTTGTTATCTGACTAGGTATGGAAGCAATTATGTCTGAATTCTTTAATGATACAACTACAGCATTTTATATAATATTAATAGTATGGATAGCAGATCAGTATGATGCTATATGTTGTCATACTTACATCAGTAAACGCCATTGGTTAAGGTAAGAATAATAACTTCTTTATATACATATACTGTAAAGTCAGGCATATGTTATGCAGTGTCCGAATAGCGACGCTACTGCCTACTCTTACGTGCACACCACAATGTCCGATCCGAATGATTATACATGTCCCTTGCCAGGCCCTCCATCCTACACCATTAACAAGAGGGAACCACTCCGGAAAATCAAGATGAACTTCTTAGCTAATGTAGGGATATAACACGGTACTTCCAGGTTAGCGAGCCAAAGTCTCACTCCCTGAGCCACTGTGGCTCCTGTCCATAGAAAAGAAAACAATATGTGCTGAAAAATAGAGCAGACCAAAACTTTGTTTTGTGTTTGTGTGTGATTAACAGTTGATAATATAGGAAGGACAATGAAGGTTTTAATTGTTTCTTTATTTACACAACTTATAATGGCATTGGAAGGTGTTACACATGAGACAGAGTATGCATTCTCTTTACGAAGTGGATGATACTACATGTATTTCTTTCTGTTTATGGATTTGCACTTTAGGATCCATGTTACTATAATTTATTCAATGTCAATTTGATTTATTCCTTTCATTATTATCTGATTTGGACATTTGATTAATTTTAATAATGTGAATCGAGAAATATTACAAATGAATCGTTTTGACTTAGTAGTAAAATTTACTCTTTCATTTTTCTTTTTTTCCTTTTAGATTTTTCTATTTATACCATTTTGCTTTCTATGCATATCACTATCGTTTTAATGGTCAATACAGTGGTCTGGCATTATTTACCTCATGGCTCTTTATTCAAGTAAGTATCATTAGTACTATTAGATAACCGAGTCTTACTCCTCACTACAACTGAGCAAACAGGACAGGAATACAGTACACACAATTCAATATGTTGAAGTGAATAGAGCTATGTGAACCTACTATAATGGCACTTTAAAAAGATTCTATACCATGGAAAACCTAGTACAGAATGCGTATGTTCATTCTCAGAAGGTTGAAATAGGATTTGAAAAAATACTCACCTGGTCTTCTTTGTTTTGAATATTGCGATGAATAACAATTACAGTTATTATTGCACTTGATTATGTCATTGAATCATGTCAACGCAGCAATGGTACCATATGGTATAAAGATTTTGCTTTGTATACTATAAAAATTCACCTTTATGGACTGCTGGGACGACTTGGCTGCTGTGAGTATTGTTACATTGCCAGTTGTCGATTTTAACTCAAATGAAGAATACAAAAGATGTATAGGGTGTAACAAAAAGTGTTTTGCTATCAGGCATCTATTGTTGATGTATTGGTGAGAGATTAGGCTGTTTTACTTTAAAATTAAAGGGGCTTTATGGAAGATTAGATAAAGAAATCAAGCACTGACAGTTTCGCTATCATAGTTAAAAAAAAAGATAACTTAAAGAGAATATGCTGAAAATTTCAGCTGAGAAAACCAAATTTGAAAAAACTTGGTAGCCTCGATTGTCATTGTTACGATAATAAACAAAGTCTCGATTATCTATTCTTATGGTTAATCGTGAACAGCCATTGAATTGCAGATCGGATTCAAATTTGTTTAAAATTGTACCCATCGGATGGCATCAAGAGTTGATTATGATCTTATCATGTTAATAAATGCCTAATTAATAGTTTATATACCATTTAAGGCCTAAAGAAAGACCTGCAATAGGCAGGTTTAGCTTTGGCATAATGCATGTTATTGATGTACTTAAATAAACCTAAATCTTTTATGACCAATTTCTGTTGTAGCATTCAATGATCTACTTTTTCCACCATTACGAACTGCCAGCAATTCTTCAACAAGCTAGAATACAAGAAATAATTCAACATGGAGGCAACCCTGGTGCACAAAATCAACGTAATCAGAATAACGGAAGACCAAGAGAGGATGGAAATGATAATCCCGAAACTCAACTTCCTAACCAAAATGGTACAACAGGAAATGAAAATAATGGAAATAATGCGCCCGATCAAAACCATCAAGTGCGTGTTGCTAATCAAGGTTTGCGATTTAATGCCAGGATGTTGGAGAGAAGTGTTAATGATTTGTTAGCGTCATTAAATGCTCGCGTTAACCCAAATAATCCCAACAGACAAAATAATCCTGTGGCATTAAACATGGTTCGAGTTGTCACCCCTGGTAATTTTATGAGAACTTGTTTTCGATTGGTGCGGAATCAGACTAATACTGTGACGAATGACGCACAGACTGAAACTCAAGTAAATGTAGAAGAGGCTTCTACTAGTGCATCAGATAACGTTGAAAATTCTAGTACAAGAAATAGTGATAATTTTCAACCAGCGACAGTAGCTGACGTAAGCAGTGATGTTGTAACTAATGTGCCAGAAACTCTAAACATTAATAGTGCAAGTACTGACAATTCTACTTCAGATATTACTTCTGAACATGTTTCAATTGGTGCGGTAGGAAATACTGCACACAGCACTGATACAGAAAAAAATACTAGTTTACATAATTTAAAAATAATGCCAGAAAACCATTCACAGCCAAGCAGTGATAAATTAGTTTTCACTTCAAAAGATATTAATAGTTCTGAGCCTATTTTAAATAGTGTTTGTCCGTCCGATGGGGCTACTGCACAAAATACAAAACCTATAACGGTAGAAAATTTACAAAATGCACTTGATATGTGTTCAAATATCTCTCCAGCTGTTCAGTCTGGAACTTCTTCAAAAATTTCTTTAAATTCTTCGAATTCAAATTCATAACAAAATATTATGAAATCTTTATTTCAGTTGTGTAAATATCAAATTTGTCTGTTATACTTATGTAAATAGATGCATTTTATTTTTCAAATTTTCTATTGATTATAAATATATAAATGGAGAGCATCTTTGTCTACACACAAGCTTGCTTATACCCAAGTTTACACATTCTTATTCTGGCAAAATAAGACATTGAAAAAACTTTTCCTCTTTGATTTTGGTAAAAAAGAAGTTTCATTTTAATCATTAATAAAGTTTGATAAGTTGATTTGCCGTGTTACATCAGTCAAATTTTATCTCCATGGGTATAGCCAATATTGTTCCACTCTTGATAGTTTATGCCTAAAACTATATTCTATTACTAATGGAAATAACTAATCGTATCAACCAGTTCAACACTAACACTTTATTACAACCTTAATCAAAAGGCTTAGCTTTGTTGGGGGGGTTGGATGGCCGAATGGTCTGTCATTGAGTCAACTGGTGTGGTTTCGATTCCCCGGTTGTACATGACACAAAGTAGGGTCGCCTGTCCAACCTCATGGGTTTTCTCTGGGTCCTCCATTTTCCTCCCACTGCTAAAATTGAACCATGTGTTAGTCCCGAAGTGACCTAATTTGTGTCAAGTGGACGTTAAACCCCATTTCTCTCTCTCTCTTAGCTTTGTTAAAAATAAAATATGTTAGTCTCACAACTTTGTTGAGTTGATGGACCCCATTTCTGTTTTAGAGGATGTGTGTGTGTGTGTGTCCTCTCATTGCAAGTAACTACTGAAATAGAATACATATGTAAATGAAATGAAATGAAATGGGGTTTAACGTCCTACTGTTCTGCTCCTATACTGGGCTAATGAAGACGGGGACACGCCATACAGTGTGCTATGAGGGAAATTTTGCCCGGGCAGCGGCACTATCGCCTACTCATATATCTAATTCCAACTGCCAAGGGATCTTTTACGTGCAAATACATATGTATATGGTAATCCCAAAATAAGCTAGATGGATGATAAAATCCCAGTTCTCCCTTGGTTATGATAAAAGCTAATGTAATATTTTATCAGTATGAACAAATCAAAATATGTACTCCAGTAAACACCCTTTTAATGTTTAGTGGGTTGAGTGTTGCTAATATACTCTCCGTAGAATATAATACCTTTTTTATCCCCCATCTTTATCCAAGCCTTGTGGGATTTCTCAATTACAAAATAAAGCAAATTATGTGTGGACGGATTTGTCTTAACCATTTTCTATGTAGTATAATTAAATGTTCTATGAACTAATTAATTCTAAATATTTGTGTGATACTTTTTCCCTCTTTGTACTTAGACTGAATAGAGAGTTCATATTATACATGTACCAAATGGAATGCCTTTAATGTTCATGTACATATAAAACTCATGCTCAATAAACTCTAATTATATTTTCCGTATCTGGTGAAGTTTTGTTCACTTCTGTTTCAAGTTTTCTGTTCTTAAAGTAAAGCTTATTCAATATACTGGTTTGTTTACATACAGTGTGGAAATTACCAATTTATGATGTAGGATAAAAGTTGATGTAAGTATCCCGGAGGAAGTGTCCGATAGGAAAATTTGTATTTCAATAGATATATGTATGAGATGTATGATACAGAGATTTTCATAACAAATAATTATGTTGAAGTCGCTCAATCTCTCTTGACAAATCTTTACTGGACATGTTAATTTGAAGAGTTGAACTCTCTTTGATATGGTCATAATTTTGCATAATTCACCTCTTGGAACAAAAGTGATCATACAAGGTATTTTGATCTTAGATGCATGCACACATTTATAAAATGTGTCTTTAAGTTGCTAGTTTTTAGTTTAGATTAATATTTATATTATTTATAAAATTGCTTTATGATTATGTATTAATCTGTATGAATTATAATGAAGATATTTATTTGTGTGTTCAGTTACATTTTTATAAATGTTTATATCTGTTAAGTAGTAGTGCACCTAATTTTAATTTTTTGATTAGGTATCTTGGACCCTGTTTCACTAAATGGCTTATTTATTATACTTACTGGTAGGTATTTTACTTATATTATTACTATATGACATAATTCCATATGCTATAATTCCACATGTGTAGATCAGAAGGATGCCCATACTCATTCTGTTTATTGAAACAGGCTCTGTTTACAGAAAAATAACAAATTATTTAGTCAAATAGTAAAAGTAGTTACCAGTATTATTTAATAGATAGCCGAATGAATGTAGATCCATCCATATCCTAATACAATTTGAGCTCTGCCATAAAAAGGTGTTTTAATTAGTTCACCATTTATCTTTGCTTGGTATAAATACGTCAATCAGCTTTTAAGACCCTTTTTATTGCATATTTTCCAAATTATTTTGAACAATCATGTATATATTTAAAATGTTGATTTCATTGATTTTAGAATATAAACAGTTAAATTTAGAAATTACTGACTCACATCTCAAAATTACTGTAAAATTTGCTGGTAAATATGTTATTAATATACATGTACTTGCTTTTTTTTCCTATGAAATTTTTGAAAGTTTGAAGAAATATTAAGCATAATCATAATTTTAAAAAGACTGAATGCAGGGTGATGGTAGTGATTGTGTTTTTGCATGAATACAATATGGTCAAAATTGCAGAAACGATGCATTTATATAAAAACAACCTGATTTGAACTTTTAATATTGAGTTATGCGTAGATCAGTACATAGGCCTACACAGTGTATTAATATTATTTTGGTATGTATTTGATGATTGTGTATATATTAGCTATATGGAATGAATATATTATATTATAGTGACTTTATATGTGGATGTAAAGATATTGTTGATTTATTATTGAAGATGGTTTATTTCTTGGAACCAGCACTGATATATTTTGATGTTTATATTATTATTTCAATTACACTACATCAAATATCTCTGCTGTTGTAGCCTTCCAAAAATTATAAAAAAAACCTTTAACAATCAAAGAAATCTTGTGGTTTTGTTTAAATGATACATATTTGAGATACCAATATGTATCTTGAGTATGCATAAACACACCAATGAATGTTTGAGCCTAGAGTATAATGATGATTATAGATTTGGCCCATAAACAGCAAAAGTATGTCAAATACAAAATTATTTAGTGTCTGGTTAATGAATCTTTAAGCAAATCAAGAAATTTGCAAAAGCTTTAGATAAATAACAAAACTCCTTTACATTTCTTATACTAGACGAGAGTACATTTTACATGTTAATTTTATCAATACATACATGGTTTCAGAATAAGTTAGTGTGTGATTGTTATTAAAGGACAATATTGGCGCCAGTCATTATCACATATGTGATAGAGCTGGTTAAACACATTCCAAATATAATTTTAACACGGAGATCATTGCTACGATAGCTGAGTAATACAGGTTTCCTGAATCAGAAGTAAAAAACGCCAAAGGAAAACATGAGTCATCTCTCTATATAACTTCCTTCGAAGACCAAAAGTTGTTATATGGGACTGTAAGAGGATACCCGACAAGTCAATAAAGTAATTGAATGTCATTAGATAAGAGAACACGAGAAAAATAGAAATAGTCTGTACATTCCCTTGTTTATATTCATTCTATACCTTATAAAAACATGGTAATGCACAGACTTTTTCTGTTTTTCTTTCGTGTTCACTTATCTAGTGGCAGTCAATTCTTTTTATGAATTGTCAGGTATCCTCTCACAATCTCACACAACAACTTTTGGTCTTCGAAGGAATTATTAGTGAGCAGAAATTCGCCCGTATATCCGTTATCACTCGTCACATCAGTCAGTTATATAGAGAGATGACTCGTGTTTTCCTTTGGCGTTCGTCACTTCCGATTCAGGAAACCTGTATTACTCAGCTATGGTAGCAATGATTTCTGTGTTAAAATTATATTTGGAATGTGTTTAACCAGCTCTATCACATATGTGATAATGACTGGCACTACAGGTCACAATTCTTATCCGATTTTGACAAAACTTGAAATATAGGTTTATCTCCAAAATAATTTTTATCCGATTTAAAAAAATGTATTATTATATCACCGTTACACCCTAAGGGTGAATGAGTTTAAATTTCATGAAAATCGGCCCAAAATTGACAGACAAAATGGCTGCCGTTCGTTCTCAAATAGCGTAAAAATATGGTATATCAAGGTTGTGGACCCTATAGAGGTCACAATTTTTATCCGATTTTGTTGAAACTTGAAATGTAAGTTTATAACCCAAAGATCTCGGTTTCTGTCGATATTCGCGCATATTGGACCGTAACTTGCAGAATTATGGCCCCTGATTGTACGAAAAATCGCGTTTTTAGCTTGTGGACCCTATAGAGGTCATAATTTTTATCCGATTTAAAAAACTGTATTATTATATCACCGTTACACCCTAAGGATGAATGAGTTCGAATTTCATGAAAATCGGCCCAAAATTGACAGAAAAAATGGCCGCCGTTCGTTCTTAAATAGCGTCAAAATATGGTATATCAAGGTTGTGGACCCTATAGAGGTCACAATTTTTATCCGATTTTGTTGAAACTTGAAATGTAAGTTTATAACCCAAAGATCTCGGTTCCTTTCGATATTCGCGCATATCGGACCGTAACTTACGGAATTATGGCCCCTGATTGTACGAAAAATCGCGTTTTTAGCTTGTGGACCCTATAGAGGTCATAATTTTTATCCGATTTAAAAAAACGTATTATTATATCACCTTTTCACCCTAAGGACGAATGAGTTCGAATTTCATGAAAATCGGCCCAAAATTGACAGACAAAATGGCCACCGTTCGTTCTCAAATATGGTATATCAAGGTTGTGGACCCTATAGAGGTCACAATTTTTATCAGATTTTGTTGAAACTTGAAATGTAAGTTTATAACCCAAAGATCTTGGTTCCTTTCGATATTCGCCGATATCGGACCGTAACTTCCGGAATTATGGCCCCTGATTGTACGAAAAATCGCATTTTTAGCTTGTGGACCCTATAGAGGTCATAATGTTTATCCGATTTAAAAAAACGTATTATTATATCACCGTTACACCCTAAGGATGAATGAGTTCAAATTTCATGAAAATCGGCCCAAAATTGACAGACAAAATGGCCACCGTTCGTTCTCAAATAGCGTAAATATATGGTATATCCAGGTTGTGGACCCTATAGAGGTCACAATTTTTATCCGATTTTGTTGAAACTTGAAATGTAAGTTTATAACCCAAAGATCTCGGTTCCTTTCGATATTCGCGCATATCCGACCGTAACTTCCTGAATTATGGCCCCTGATTGTACAAAAAATCACGTTTTTAGCTTGTGGACCCTATAGAGGTCATAATTTTTATCCGATTTAAAAAAACGTTTTATTATATCACCGTTACACCCTAAGGATGGCCGAGTTCGAATTTCGTGAAAATCGGCCCAAAATTGACAGACAAAATGGCCGCCGTTCGTTCTCAAATAGCGTAAAAATATGGTATATCAAGGTTGTGAACCCTATAGAGGTCACAATTTTTATCCGATTTTGTTGAAACTTGAAATGTAAGTTTATAACCCAAAGATCTCAGTACCTTTACGATATTCGCGCATATTGGACCGTAACTTCCTGATTTATGACCCCTGATTGTACGAAAAATCGCTTTCTTTTTAGCTTGTTCTCTATCCATCTCTCGAAAATGTGGGCGTATCCTGCCTGGCAGCCGCTGGTTCATCTTCTACTAATTGAAGGTTGCAGTTTTTACATAATCTCTCATTATGAGGAATAAAGGGTTTACTATATCTCCCCTTTTCAACTTCCAGTTTATGTGCACTAAGTCTAAATTTACTGAGTGCACCCCTTTCACCTTTTTTATACGCCCACATTTCCATGTAGACGTATATTGTCGTCGCCCCTGTCCGGACGTACGTCCGTCTGTCCACAATTGTTTGTGAACACTCTACAGGTTACAATTTTTATCCGATTTCAATGAAACTTGAAATATAGGCTTAATATCACCCTAAGATCTCGGGTCCTTTCGATATTGGCATGTATCGGACTGTAACTTCATGGATTATGGCCCCAGATTGTACGAAAAATCACGTTTTTAGCTTGTGAACACTGTAGAGGTCACAATTTTTATCCGATTTGGGTTAAACTTGACATGTATGTTTATAACCAACAGATCATTCCTGTAGTTCGTCTATTTATAGCAATTCTCTCCGTCTCCTTTCTCCCCTTTTGCATGTCCATTTTTGTTGATTTTTTGGTCTAGAATGGACGAAGAGTGTTTGAATTAACATTTCTGCCAGGTTTTGGTAAATATTCATGATTTTGAGGCGGAAGGATAACGGAGTTATTAGGTTAGCTACGGTGATATGTACCGCAACTAGTAACATGTTTTTAGTATATGCTTCTTCAAGTTTGTGTATCTCAAAATTTTGGGGGTCAACCTCATACAAATTTTAGTGCATTCAGCCCAACGAAAATTAGGGGAAAACTTGTAGGTGGGCAAAGAGGCCAGAATTAACATTGAAGTCAATGGGGAAATAAGGGTTGTGGACCCTCTGGGGTCACAATTTTCATCTGATTTTGATGAAATTTGAAATGCATGTTTATAACCCAAATATCTTTATTCCTGTCGATTTTCGTACATATCGAATTGTAACTTCCTGAATTATGGCCCCTGATTGTACGAAAAATCATGTTTTAGCTTGTGGTCCCTCTAGAGGTCACAATTATTATCAGATTTAAAAAAACGTTCGAATATATCACCGTTACACCGTAATCGGACCAAAACTGTCGGATAAAATGGCCGCTCCCTTCATACGCAAATAGTATAAACATCTGGTATATCAAAATAGAGGCCACAATTTTGATTCGATTTTGATGAAACTTGAAATGCAAGTTTATAACCCAAAGATCTCGGTTCCTTTCAATATTCGCGCATATCGGATCGTAACTTCCTGAATTATGGCCTCTGATTGTACGAAAAGTCGCGTTTTAGCTTGTGGTCCCACAAGAGGTCACAATTATTATCCGATTTTAAAAAAAAAAACGTTTGAATATATCACCGTTACACTGTAATGTTTGATGAGTTTGAATTTCTTGAAAATCGGGCCAAAGCTGACGGACAAAATGACCGCCCCTCATACGCAAAAAGTGTAAACATCTGGTAAATCAATTCCGTGGACCCTCTAGCGGTCACAATTTTGATCTGATTTCGATGAAACTTGAAATACATGATTATAACCCAAAGATATTGGTTCCTTTTGATATTCGCGCATATCGGATCGTAATTTCCTGAATTATGGCCCTTGATTGAACAAAAAATCACGTTTTTAGCTCGTGGACCCTATAGTCACAATTTTTACCCGATTTAAAAAAAAATAAGTGTGAATATATCACCATTACCCACTAAGATCTTGGTTCCTTTTGATAATTGCGGATACAGGAACATAACTTCCTGGATTATGGCCCCTGATTGTTCGAAAAATCGCATTTTTAGCTTGCGGATTCTCTAGAGGTCACAATTTTTTTCCGATTTTAAATACATCACCTTTCCACCATAACGAAGGTTGAATTTGAATTTCAGGAAAATCGAAATGAAACTGCCCAACAAAATGGCTGCTCTTTGTACGCAAATTGTGTGGAAGTGTGTAATACGAAGGTTGTGGACCCTCTAGAGTTCACAATTTGTATCCGATTTTGATGAAACATAAAACATATCTTTATATCCCAAAGATCTCAGCCCCTTTTGATATTTGCACATTTCAGGCCATAACTTTCTGGATTACTGCTCCTGATTGTACAAAAAATCGCGTTTGTTTTTTGTGTGTTCTCTACCCATCTCTTGTAAAATGTGGGCGTATCCTGCCTGGCAGCCGCTGGTTCAGTGCACATGAATAATTTTTCATGTTTTATGAATTCTTAATATTATAATACAAATCATGTTTTGAATTTGATTTCATATGTCCATTTAGTGATGCTGGATAGTCTTACTCTGGCCAGTGTGTTTCCAGGACTGGATATATATATATATATATATATATATCATGTACGGGTTTTAAATAAGTGTAAAAAGAATTCTGTATTAAAATTTTCATTTTTTGCGGCAGTAAATATTTCACCCATTCCTGTTTCCTCGATAGTATAATTTGGATTATGACTAAGCCATTTACTACGATCAAAGCCATTAAAAACGCAATGCCAAATTCAAAGTTTATTTACTGCAACAACTTTTAACAAATGTACATAACAATTGACAAAATCGAGATAACAAGCATCTGTGGATAATTTCATGAAAGAATTCACTAGAAATGCACAAAACCGAAACGTCAGAGAACCATGAAACAAAGCAGGGGTCAGTTGAAGTCAATATCGGGTATGTCCACCATGAGCTCTTACACATGCCTGAAGCCGCCTTCTCGTGGACTGGCACAGATGTCTCACTACATGCTGTGGGATTGTTTGCCAATGATTTTGGAGTGCCAGTGCCAACTGTGCAACAGTTTGTGGTGGCACGGCTTTAGTTCGAACCCGTCGTCCAAGTTCATCCCAAAGGTTAGGTCGGGCGTTGTCATGCTGGAAAACCATGTTGAGCCAGCAATGGAAGCAACACCGGACGAAGGATGGCGTCAACATAATGTTGAGCGTTGAGATTGCCTTGGACCACCACCAACTGGGATCAGAAGTTGACGTTGATAGTGCCACCTCCCCCCGAAAATTGATCCCTTTCCAGCACGCAGTTACGAGCAAAGCGTTCAAGTCGACGTCGGTAGATACTGTGCGTCCATCAGGAAAGCTGAGGTTGAATCGGGATTCATCCGAGAAGATGACATTTCACCATGCAGATGCTGTAGTCGGATGTGGCGATCTTGAGTATCGGTTGTTACAGGTGGCGCTCTAGGTCGGGGTCGATCGGCAACTCTTCCAGTGGCGAGCAATGGTCGATGGGTGGACATTGAAGTATCTGGCGACGGCTACCTGTGAAGACACTGATCCAGCATGCCAATAGCTCTGTTCCTGTTTTCTTGTGTAAGGCGTGGCATTTTTCCGAAGTGATGAATGTTGAAATTTTGATATGTATTTAAAGGGCCAGAGTGCAGGGAATGCACGTGCAAAATGTGTGACATGGGACTGCTTAAAATCGTGAAAAAAGACAAGTCATTACCGAAAACTGATATTGGGTTCAAACCCAGCAACTCCACAAAAAGAGACCCATCACAAGTTTCACCTATGTGCCATAATATCTAGGAAAGCCCAAGAAAACGTTTACCAGAAATATTTCACAAATTAGGCATTGCGTTTTTAATCGCGGATACCTGAACATAACTTCCTCGATTATGGCCCCTGATTGTCGAAAAATCGCATTTTTAGCTTGCGGCTCTAGAGGTCACAATTTTTTTCAATTTTAAAAACCGTTTAAATACATCATTACTTATCCGGTCCAGGCCTTCACTCTTGCCACTTTTTAATTTTGAAATATGGGTGTGAATCTCTAGAAGAGATAAAGGAAAATTTAACTCTTCTGCAGTAGGGTGACAGGAATATCACACCCATTCCTGCACACCGATTTAAAATAAAGTTAGCAAACATATATATCTCGCGATATTAAATGTTACCTTTATTTTACAAAATAACATTATGAGATACATTAATGCATAATAGGCCCAAGACAAAAAAAAAAAAGTTTATTAGTCTACGGTAGATCTACACTATGCTAAGTGGGCAGGTATCAAAAAGTATTCAAACTATATATAGCTTTGGTGGCAAATATTTTTTCAGTTTACAGAATCAAGGGATGAATAACCTACTAGTAGTAGACAGTAGTACAGTGCAAAAAATCAGAAGCCTCCTAGTCCTATGTTGCATTTTCGAGATATATTAATTATAAAGCCTAATATTATTATACCGTCCTACATTACCAAAAAAATGGAGAAATCGTGTTAGGTTCTAGGTTCTATCGTTAGGCTCACTGCGTCTGCAACTTCTAAGCTAGCTTTGGTGGCTCGCGGAAGTTTATAATCAACAAATCGACAGATGCATAAGGTGTGGATGCATAAGGTGTGAACATGCCAAATTGAGTTATATCACCCCAAATTCCTAGCACCCACATTCGAGGCAAAGTTCGTGGAAGTAAAGGCAAGGGCAGGTCCACGACGCTCCATGAACAGTACTAGTACACACATGACATGATAAAATGAATGCTGGACTGGTCCTTCGTGCAAATTTCTTTGGAAACATTTGGACGTACGACAGATCCCTATCATAACTTTTACGATAATTTATTTAGAAGAATACAATAAGATCTATCACTCAGTTCAGTCTTTCTCCCCACCCATTCACAAAAAAAAGAAATCCCAGCCTACACAAATCCATTTTCGGCGGAGGAATACAGGCAAGCGTGATTAACAATAACCGTCTAAAAAATGGGCACGACACTAGGCTGGTAGAGCAAATGATAATTTAATTTGTTCAGAAAATAACAATGACTAATGAAACACATATAAAATTTATATCGCCAGAATCTGTAGTTTATTACTTTGGATATATTTGAATATATCGCATGTGTTCTTAAAGTTTTGACAAAATATATAATATGATGGATTTGGTCCACGTCAATAATTATATACTTCCGAATGTGGGACGTATCAAAATGGCTGACAACTGAAGCGATTGGATATTAGTTCTACTGTCTGGCCTATATTTTAAATGTTATTCTTTTAATTTCGTATTGTTTTGATACCAAAGAATTCGCATATAATGAAGACGATTGGTATTAACAAGTCATAAACATATGTGAAAAAAACTTTTAATGTAAGTACATTCGATGTCCATGACATATTTTTTTTTTCTACTCCCCTATATAAATAATATCAAATATAGACGTATTTTCGCACGGCATAGTGATTAGTGTAGTTATTCATCAGTCTACCAATCCAAGGACCAATTGAAAAATTAGTTTCCAACTTCTATAGAAACTGGGTATTTCCAGTTTCTATAGAAGTTGAAAGTACTGCACCATGCATATTATTATCCATTGTTTGCGTGATTCCCCGTGAATAAAAAAGCAAGGTTAAACTGAATGATGATGAAGCCAACTAAGGCCATGCATTAAACCCATTCCAATATGTATGGTCACTGATGTTTGTTTGCATTTTAATTTTGACTTAGGTAAGTAACTCAATTAGCTAGCTCTGGACAGATCAGCTAACTGTCGCCAAGTGCAATGGTCTCTGTGTACTACAGACACACTGACTGTTCTGACACAGTAGTCAGTATATAATTTAAAGTCTGGTCTAGTTAGACTAGTAATTAGTAACGATACTGATAGTACCAGTCCTAGTACAGTACTACAATAAATTTGTTAGATGATTTTGACATGTTCTGTGAATTGTACTACTAAGACAATGTTATTAATTAGTTACTTGTAGTATGCCCTTTAATGAACTGTGTATTATACATGTATATTGTATGTAATGCTTAAACACATATCATCCCCCATATACATTTGGAATGGCCACAACTCATTACCCGGTTTTATTTAACCATTTAAAACATTGAAAACAGTGTCCAAGTTGGGAGGGGGACATCAGCCTCACTGTCGGCTTGTTTCCCTACATAATTGGCCGGTATGTAAGTTACGTCAGTATACTGATATGAATCAAACATAATAAAATCAGAACACCCAGAGCCTGTTAAATCAGTTTGCCATTTCTTTCTGAGCATTCATTTAAAGTCTAGTAGGAGAACGTGTTCGCATAACAATAAATTTGCGTGGGTTGAATAAGCTTAAATGGCCTACATGCTTGAGGGAACAGATTTAATACTAAACTAGAACTGCGATGCAGTAATGACGGGTTTCACCGGTGCCACTTTACCGTAAACATGTTACTTCCGGTACCAATGAAACCATTAAACAGGTTTTCACATAAGCATTGCACACATCAAATAAAATGGACGCCGAATCAACAAAATCCAGCAATATCAATTCATTTTATACATTTGTTACATGTAAGTGTACTGTACTTCCGGTGATAATGAAAATGTTCAATTAGTTTTATGAAATCAGAAATGACATAAGGCATCACATGGTGAAAATTTTATGTAAATCGAATAACAATTACCACTTTTATAGACCAAAAACCTTGAAAAGTGACTTGTAGAAAATTGCCTATTTCTCTGCAACCGTACAAGTTAGAAACCATTTTCTGGTATCTGTATGATCGTATGGGTTCAATCTATTTGCTGATTGGAATCAAATATCATAATTTTAAAAACAATACAAATAAGACTCATTTGAATAAAATATCTGTTTTGAAGGCTAAAAATACAGTTTTTGCCAAAATGACGTTACTTACGGTGATAATGAAAATCTTAAATTACTTGTATGAAATTATAAATGGCATTAGGTATCACACAGTGAAAATTTTATGAAAATCGAATAATAATTGACACTTTTGTGGACAAAAAACCTTGAAAAGTGACCTGTTGAAAATTGCCTATTTCTCCGCAACTGAACAAGTTAGAAACCATTTTGTGATATCTATATGATCGTATGGGTTCATTCTTTTAGTTGATTAGAATCAAATATCAAAATCTTAAACAAACACTAAATACGACTCATTTGAATAAATTATTTGTTTCGAAGGCTATAAATACAGTTTTTGCCCAAATTTCGTCATTTCCGGTGACATTGAAAATATAAAATTGAGTTGAACTAGTCACAATTGACATTATGCATCAAATGGTGTCACATTTATGAAAATCCAATAATAATTGACTCTTTTACAGGCACAATAGCGTAAAGAGTGACTCATGCAAAATTGACCATTTCTCGGCAACTGCGCATATTACAAATTAATTTTCACATACATTCTCTCCATATAGATTATTGCAACGAGTTTATGAAAGTTACGAAGTAATATTTTAAAATATGAAAACGCAGGATGGGTTGTAAATAGCTTAATTTTACAAGTTTTTTCACCTTTTAATCGAAATAGCCCGAAAACGGAATCGAAATTAAAAAAACTGGGCACAACATTTTTTGTGCCTTTAAAGGGCGCACCCTTTCAGTTATACCAGATTTGAAAAAAATAATATTTGCTTTCGAAAAGTGGTACCTAACTGTCAAAATTTTAGTTTTTGGCAAAATTACGCCACTTCCGGTGCCGACAGATAACTCTATCGGGAACAAAAAAAATGGGAATTGAGACAACAGGGTATATGAACTTTGTTTTATACAAATCGAACAATAAATAATTAATCTAGGACTGAAAAACTGAATTAGCCAATGGCAGCCAAGGAATATTACGGAGACAAAATTTTTTTAGATTTTTGCTCAAGTCAGATGACTCGTTAATTTTGTGTAAAGCACGACTAAAAAATATTCATAAATAAAAAAGTTTTTTGTAAAAATTTTAATTTTCGAAATTTGGCGCCTAATATCTGTGAAGATTTGCCGAAAATCAAAAATCAAAAGTAGCATAGCTATGTGCCCTGTGTCCGGCTATGCCAAAATGTATCGAAAGTTAAAATCCAATGATTATTGTTAAAATTACTGCGATATTTCTAAAAACGATAGCTTTGGTGATTTCGGACATTTCGCATTGTCGCAGAACGATCAAAATAGCTTTATCCTCTAAGTCACACCCACTTTTCCAGTAAAACCGAAGAAATCGTAACGATCCGACAAGGAGTTGCTGAGATCTAATCAAAAATAATTTGGAATAATAATAATAATAAGAAGAATAATAATCTTAACAAAAACAATAGTGTTTCACACAAGCTACGCAGTGTGAAACCCTAATGATATGTATTAATCATTTTCAGCCATGTGTATGAAAGAGATTTGTAGGGGTTTTTCTTGTCAATGGAATATCGTTCATAGACAAGCTAACTAAAGCTACATGTATATTCACGACAGGATTTGTGCATAAAACTTGTGTCAATGTATTCATTACATACATGTACATACACATGTTGGATGCAAACAGTTTCTTGTTTATTAAACCAAGTGCAAACTGAAATCTGCATAAATGTGATGATTGTCATATAAAGACATCAGTAAATTAATTAATATATAATACACATTTGTATAGTCAAAATTATTGCACTGTTTGGATCTGTTTTCACAGGTACTACCTCAAATTAAAAGAATAACACTCTTAGCTATTCATGAGTCATTATTGTGTATATTTTTGAAAAAATGGCAGAATACAATATGAACATTTCAAATTTGACAGTAAACTGCATACACATCAGGTTCACTAGGTTATTCCCCCTTGTCTTCATGCAGGCCTGCATGATTCTAGAAAAAACGAGCTTAGTTGGATTTCTTTTAGATATTATTTGCAGTTTTTTAGTTAAAAACCAATTATGTGTATATTTCCATTCATTTATTCCTTTAAATTAAAATAAGTATCATTCTTCTGAGAGAGAGAGAGAGAGAGAGAGAGAGAGAGAGCAGTAGGCTACCTGTGCATGTGTCTATAGTCTATGTCTCTATAGACATTGAATAAATATAATGTGCATGGCGATGAGTGCAATGTGTTTAAAAGTAATTTTATGTCGAATGAATATTTTTAAGGGAAACATGCTAAGTGTTAAGTTTACACAAACAAATTTATTGAATAAATAATATGTACTCTTACACATAAAGCCTATGTTGTATAATCTATGACTCATCATGAACATGATGACATGTAAGTAAATGAAGTTAATCTTTCCTTGGGTCAATCTACTTAATAATGCACTAAAAATCCATGCTTTACTGACAGTGTGAACATATGAAATTAACATCAGTAGATACGTCTTCATTTGAAGTATTCATATTTGATGTTAATCTCTTTCCTCTATAGTATAGCCCAGCATGACAGTAACATACGGGCTCCAATTACTTATTTAGGGTGTTCACATTTTGTTAGATATTATAATAGATATTATTTTATGGTTGCATGACAAATTAGATTATTGATGATAGATAGCTCCAGGGTTTAACACTATTATTTTTTAAAAAGTCTATAAAATCAAGTATCTTGATCTGATAGACATCCCTGTCATGTCGAAGCTATCAACATTTAAAAAATCAGTTTATTATTAATGTAATATTGATGTCTAATGGTATACACTGTGAAATCATATAATTTTGTCTTTCTGTGCCGATAGGTTTCATTATAAGTACTTTCTTACTGGTATAGATTATGAATCAAAATGTTGATTTAAAAAAGACACAACACATTCAGTGAATGAACTAAATTTAGAGATGGTGCAAAACTAGGGGTGGGTGGCCAACCAACCTTTTTCATTCCATGTGTTAAATATAATCCTTAGGACTTATATTAAAAAAATTTCAAAAGATTACATTGACGAAAAATGTTAACACAAAAACGTTAGTTACGTGAATGATAATTTTGATTTCACCAAGCTGTTGATGTTGGAAGTACTTTTTGTCCTCCATCTTTTGAAGAAAGCAGGGGACTATTAAAATGGGTTCGTCCTTCTGTCTGTCTTCTTCTAATTGAGCTAGAATGTTCAAACATGGTGTAGGTGTTTATTAGGTCGAGGCCTTGATGGAATTCGAAGATGAACTTTATCTACTTACGGTAAGCAGAGATGGGCAATTTGATTGGTTGATCCTTTTGGGCACAATAACTTTGTTATAATTAAGTGAGAGATATATGAAACTCTGAGCATACATGTAGATTCATTACATGTACCTTGACTAAGTTTGATGAGAATTTTCTGCTAAGGCTAAGGAGCGATAAGCAATTTGATTGGTCAAGACTTTGGAACATAAAATCTCTGCTTATAATTGA